CAATCTATCTATGGATACTTATATATGTATAACTTTTGCTGCAAACTTGTAGAATATCTAGTGATTTTCGTCACGCATATGGGACTATATTGTATTGTGATTATATATCAGTATAGAAGCTGAACTTGATAATTCTAGGCTTTAAACTGTGAAAGTAAAATTTTTAAAGTTTGATCTTTTTGTAGAGCTGTTAAATGGTAAAATGCTTGCCAGTTTTAGAGGCTATAGCTATAAATCTCTAGAAGATTCAGATTTTGGCAGTAACTACAGCAAGTGGAGCTAAAGCCCCTAGCTTTGATAGTCTACAGTCTTCTTCATTGAAGAGCTTACACTGAAGAACCAACAAAGCCCAAGCACTGCCCTGAAATATAAACCAATATGAACTGCAGCTGTAATGATTTTAAATGATTTAGAAATGATTTAAGTAAAAAACTAATGGGAAATCTATGTATGCTATGTTAGCTATGTAAATCTAAATTCATATGCATGGAATGGAAGAACTCGCTCTGCCTCTTATACGCATACGCACAACTCAATAAGACCCTTTTAACCCAAATTATACAATTATATATAAATGAGTATATATATAGCATTGGCACAGACTGAAATGGCCGGCACATGTTAGATATTAAATATGATTTGAGGCATTTATCTACTTGCTCTGATATGCATATTCACATACAAAGACAGAGACGAGACAGAGAGTGAGAGGGAGGGGCAGATATGTGATAACACTTTTTGAGGTATGCACAAGAAAAACGTAAAAAGATAACAAAACTGTGGTAGCTGCTGCTTATGTGTTGCTTAATTTCCGCCGATTGCTCAATCCGGACAAACGGGCACAAGAAAATGTTGAGCAATGAGCCGGAATGACATGCCGCGCCGAGCCAACTGACATGCGAGTTGGCCAAAGAAATGAGCTGCGAATAGATGCAACGGCACGTAGCATGCTCGGTGGCACGCACATCGCAGCCGACATTGCCGTGCCAGTCAACCCAGCCACATTAACCCACAGAGCGCCGAAGCAACAACCAAAAATCGAATCAGCAGCCCAGCCAAAGATGCAGCTCTCTTAGCGTGCACCCATATCAAAGTAATTTGATGATCGAGTTTAATTGACTGTAATTGGACTATGACGACGACGATGACGTTGATGTTGACAACAACAACAACTAAGAAAGTTGTTAATTTGGCATGACTTGCAATCAAATGCCACGCCCACTGGCTGCCTACCCAATTTGGGTTCAATTTGATTTCAAATTAAGACAAAATTGAGTTACAACAGCAGCCACAGCAACAACAAAGATTGCAACAAATTAGAAGAAAAACTGATCGAAGCATAAGATTTGATCGACTAGAGAATATCCTGCACTTGATAAGCGCCTTATGCATATCATTAGAAACTCTCTAGTAAATGAAAGTGAACGACTTGAATATGCCCTGTATGTACTTGCTCTACGTGGGCTCTTTTCTATCATATTTATTTCTTTATTTTCTTGATTTTGCTGCTGACTCTTTCTTACTTTTTCCTTTTCTCTTTGCTTTTATTTCTGTCTCACTCTCTCGCAATATTCCTTTCTTTCTTTCTGATTATTGTCTTTTTTTTGATTTTCTTGATTCTTCTGATTTTATTTTATCTCCCCTTATTATTCGCTCTCTTATTTCTTTCTCATGCACTCTTTCTTCTTATTTATCTCCCACTCTTTTCTCTCTTTCTCTATCTTCTATCTCCCTTCATTGTCTGTCTCTCCCTTGCCCCTTCAGCTTGCTCTACATTCCACCCGATACACTCTCCTTTTCCCACATTCACTGTCTCTATTTCTGGCTACATGCCTCTCTGTCTATAAAGTATCGCCTTTCTATGTGATTTTCAAACCATTTACCTAATGTTACATCACTGTTTACACTATCAATGCATATTTACAATTTGAAATATCACAAATTGTATCACTAGGTGTTTGGAATACATTACATTACATTACTCTATAAACTATTAGGGTGTATATATACGTTCCTTATAAACTAGAATCTCCTATGACATATCATTTTAGTAATCGCTGCTAAGCACACAATATTCTGTGAGACGCAACAGAATTTAATCTAATTGAAATGACAATATTTTGGGGCCAGCACAGACTATTGATGGGTGTCTTGATGTGGGTTTTGATTAATGTGCTAAGTTGATTAGTTATCACGTGGCAGAGTGTCGCCGGCAACGCGATATGCAACTTGAGAGCCGTCACCGGAGCCAGTGGAACCACTGGGGCCATTGCTCCATTCCGATGTGAGGCGAGACGAAGCGATGTGAAGCAAAACTTTTGCCAAGTCACAACAAAAATATTTTTGCGTGGGGCCAACAACTCAGTAGAGTGAAGTTGTGTGTGTGTGTGTGTGTGCAGGGTCGCCATTTTGGCCAAAGCGTGTGTGTGTGAAGTCTGCAGCGGGTGCAGCGTGTGGCGGCAAGCAAGTTGCAACGTTGACAGTCGCCACAATCGCAAAACTCGACGATCCAATGCGCTAGCCATTCGCTTGCATGCATAATGGATGACAACTGCAGTTGTTGTTGGAGTTGCTGTTGCTGTTGCTCTTGCTGTTGTCGCTTAAAGTTTTTTTTATTTTAAAAATTGTATGTTTTCCAAAAAAAAAAAAACAGAAAAAAACCAAACAAATGCTAAAAACAAACACACAACAACAACAACAATCGTTCGGAGGCGTTGATGAAGTCGACAGCAGTTGTCGTTGTTGTTTTTTCTGCTGTTGTTGCTGTTGTTATTGCTGCTGCTGCTCCAGCAATGCGTTGCCGGTTCGAACAACAGCTGCTGCCATGATACGAATAGAATCGTATGTATTTTTGTACTTCAACAGCCCATGGAGCAGAAAACAAGTAAAACTAATTTTGAAAGTAAAAGCACAACGAAACTAGCAATACCCTACGCTAAGCTGCCTGAAAATGAAAGTAATACTCTATTTAAACAGTGATTGGAACACTTTTTAAGTTGAGCTTAACTGGAAATTAATTATATATCATAGCTTGCATTTACAGTTATTTCCTATTCACTTTGTGAGTCATTCTGAAATGTTTTAGTCATTGTCAGCTGTTATTGAGTAGAAACCAAATTGAAATGGCAAATGATTGGAGAAATATCTTAAAGATGTATGTTTGCTCATGTAAATTACATTTTTGTGTATTCTATATAAATAATTTTAGAATTGATGTAATTTATTTTTATTATTTTTTTTATTTCTGTAATATATATAGATATATATATTTTTTTTAATTGCTGTTTTTATTTGCAATCTGTCTTATACTAGACAATAAACAACTTTGTTAACAATAATATATATATATATAGAATTATGATTTTAGTTTAAAAATATCACAGATTCGCATTAACCTTGCTGCAGTTAGAGTATGTGAAGCAAAGGCCTGCACTGGCTTGTTCATTTGAAATATGTATGGTCAAAATGCCAGAGAGAGAGGGATAAAGAGAGAGAGGTGTGAAGGGAAGTTAGTCAAGAGAAATACATCGAATGCTTGAACGCCGCGGGGCATATGGCATGCGTGCATTTGATACATAAGCAGAAGACGAGGCAAGCGAAGGAAAGTGTAGGGTATATCGATGGCCGAACAATGCCAAACTATAATTATAATTATATAAAACGCAGCTGGTGACGGAATTGAAAATGGAATTGAAATGTGTGCAGATGACACGCCTGCAGGCAGACTAAAAGAGCAAGAGAGACAAAGAGAGTTAGAGTGAGAGAGAGAGAGAGAGAGAGAGTGACCAGGCGACCAGGCGACCAGCAAGCATGTCAAGTGACGCCCTCACCATTAGCGAGCGGCAAATTGACGCAGTCTGATTAAAAACGCATCAAATACGACTAAGCGATGATGTGAGTGGGAGAGCGGAAGAGCGGAAGAGCGGAAGAGCCTGCGGGGTGTCAGGAAATGAGAGTAGGAAAACACAACCTATGCTAAATGCTCGTAAAAGTAATTTTTGTTGCCCCACACACACGCTCACAATCGCACACTCGTACACCCTGTGCAAGGGAAGGAAAGACAAATAATGGACCAGACATAACGGGACAGGGTGCAAGAGGAAAAGGGACAACCCCCTTTTTTGGCCACGCACACAGCAAGCAGCAGCATCCGCCAAAAAAGCAAGCAAGAATTGCTAATGCTTTGTGCGTGTATTGGTATAAACATACACATGCACACACACATACGCACACGGCTAAAATCAGTGCGGGTGCGTCGCAGTCGCAGCTGACGTCGGCGTCTTTTTGGCTGAGTGCCGTCATCAAAACACACACATGCAGACTAGCACGCAAACATTAAGTGTGTGTGAGTGAGTGACGATGATGAGGATGGGGGCGGAGCTGAAGGCTTCCAAAAAGGACTGCTGTGACAGCTTCCAACGCATTGCTGATTGCAAAAATCTGTTAAATGAAAACAGGTCGAGCTTTTCCTTTTTTATACACCAATTGCTGATGGACAAGAACTAAGCACAAATACACGCACACATACATGCTTTGCATCAGCAGCAGACAGCAGCAACAACAACAAGCTGAAGAAGAAGAAGTCAGCTTGTTGTGGCCCCTTTCATCTCGCATCTCGCTCATCGCTCGTCGCTTCCGTGTTTCGAAATTCAATTTATGTATACTTTATGAGGTTGCCCCGCATTTTGGGGCGCGTTGCCAGACGCGTTCCATGCCGCATTTTGAACGTTGACAGCGCCGCTGGCGTTGGCCGGCTGCCGCTGCTGCGGCCGTTGGGGCTGCTGCTGCTGCTGGCAGCTCCACGGAGTCAGTGAGGCATAGAAAATTGCAAGTTCAGAAAAATCGATTTTCGTATTGTAGATTTGGCTAGGTGAATGCTGTGACTCTTTTCTTCCTTATATAGCTTACTTATTAAACTAATTAGCGGGCAGAAACAAACACACACATATGCACATATGCACACACTCATACAGTTGCAGTTAGAGTAAAAATAAACTTACCTCTGCTGGCGCGCTGCACAGTATTCTATTTAAGATTTGCGATCATTCATGTATAAAGTGCACTACAATTTTTTGTTCTACTGCTGCTGTTGCAGTTGTCGAAGAATCTGCTGCCAAAATTGTGTTTCCAACATGCACGCACGCACACACACACGCGAAAATTTACTTACACACGGCAGCTGCACTTGCATACACGCACACGACTATACGTACACGCACCTATATAAATATGATGAATGGTATGTAGGGTTTTTCACTTGCAACTTTGAATTGTGACTCTCCAATTAAAAGTCACCATTTATTTACAAATGCGCCGCGTTAATTGATTAAAACGCGTTCAAGTCTAAACATGGTTTGCGAGCGAGCTTTTCACTTTTTCTAGTATAACAACATACAAAACACACGGCTCCAAAGCGTTTTATTGTTGGAGCAAACGACGGCACTTGAATGTGACCGCAGGCAACAAATACGAAAATGCAAACAGCGATTACTTTATCGATAAGAGTCGATTGATTATGGCGCGCGTAGGCTTTACAACACTGTTAGTATTAAATTATCGAATACGGTCACTCCACTGCTGCATAACTTACTTAACATGTTGCAAGGCTTACTACAAAGGTAAAAACATTAAAAAAATAGGTATTAATATGTGGAACATTAATTAACAATGCACTTGCAGAACCTGTGTGTCGGCGCTAAACACAGCCCAAACATTGTTTGTGCGCCAGAAACATGCTTTTGACCGTGCCGTGCTCAAGCCCAAAGTACGCTGCCATTTCCCGAAGCCCCGCGAAGTGAAGCGCATTAACGTTCACGGCTGGGACACGCGGATGTCGACCCCAGAAGGAAGGCGAGTACTGATGCGACGTATACTAAAGGGCAGACATGACCTCTCCCATTAGACTAGGCAATAAAATCAAGAGAATAGCTTTAACAGTTAATATATCTTAAATTGTTTATACAACTGTACAATGTACAAGCTTTTTTGGGTCTGTTGCTTTTAGATATTTGTTTTCGCTGGCTTGCGAAAGAAACCTGGTGCACGAAAGTAGATCTGTTGTATGCTCTTAGAAGACCTGTTGTCATCTATAATGAACACAAAAGGGACATTGTTAGCTACGCCGGCACCTTGATTCTTGAAGAAGCCTTGCGGCAAGCACATATCGCCGCCAAGCACCAAGCTGTTGACCTGTGAAAGCCGTTCTAGAGGCATAGCTGGGACTAGGTATAGCTTCTTCGACTCATAATCAATGGCGCGAACAACACCTGCAATGAAAGCAATGCGCTTAATATATATAACAGGATTTTAGATAGTTATAGCTTACCAATGCCTAGACACTCCTTAGGTTGATCATCCATTCCACGCTTGCATAGATAAACCAAATTGGCCTCCATTCCAGCTATAAGCTCCTCCCGTTCATACTCCTTGGAGATGAGATGCACAAGCTCCAACGCATCCAGATCAACCTTCACAGGCTGACAATCGGTCAAGTATTTCGCATTGCCATGCAGCGCACTGCTTAGGCGTGCCAACAAATTGGCATAGCGCACATCCTTGGCGCTCATCCTCCAACGACGCTCATCTGGCTGTAGCTGCGGCAACGCACTACGCAGATTATGCAAAGTGTAGTTGGACAATTCTCCGCTAAGCTTAAACTCATCAGCTGTGTAGATAATGGGTCGTACCTTCGACAGCGATACTCGATCGAGTGATGTGTCGAAATTATTGACGACCTTATGGCTAGATATTTGCACCACATCTGTGGGCTGGACACAGTCGACTAATAGAGCCATCAGCTCCAGACCAAAGCCTTTATTATAGCCCATCGTATTAATTACCCAAGGCATTTCAGCATAGCTTTTGTTTGCCTTGCAATGCAACAGCAACTGGCGCACCGCTCGGATATACTGCTCCGCGCACATTACCACATTCACATGACCAACTGCATAGGCTCGGTCTGGCTGTCTGTTGAGGAAGAAACCAGCTCCCAGCAGTGGGGCATCGACGACTGTGCACGAAACCGTTTGAGGCAAAAACAGCTCTGGCTGCCCAATATCCAGATCGATGAATAACATGCGCTCGAAGCGTTCCAAATGTCTGTTCAGCATATACCGAAGCAACGTGGATTTACCCACACCTTTGCCGCCAGCCACCATCCAGCGACTGCTTGGTTCCATCGCCAGCTTCGTCCACACGGTCGGCACCTGCAGCGCTTGCCGTGCATCTGCGCTCTGTACTAAGCAATTCAAGATATATTCACTAGCATAATGCGGACGATTGGAAGCATTCACCAATGGAAAAACATTCTCCGCCATATGCTTGCCAAAGATGTTGAGTATATGTTGTGATCCACTGTTCCGCTGAAGCAACACAATTGCATCGCGCTGCCCGTCATAGTTAGCCACTATGTTATCCAGCTGGCCACGTGAGAAACTCTCATTCAATTCATCCCAATTTGAACTTGATTCAATTTTAGCTTTGATTGGCTTCTTGTTCGACATGGGGGAAATAACAACCCAGTTGAAGCCTTTAGGTGAAAAAATGGTTAATGGAACATTGCGACGTGGCTTATAGCCATTGATTATAATACGTCCGCACAGCAAGGTAAGTACAATGGTGCCATATATCTCGATGTCCTGTTTAAGAACGGCCAGCACATTGTTAGTCTTAAAACTATTCTCAAAGATACTCAATTCGGGCAGAACTCCATACATGTTGGCCTCATTCTGTAGCTGCAATTGGCTGCAATCTTTAACGTCTTCTTCAGTATTAATTGAAGTTTCTGGACTTGCATCCATATTGTGCTCTTGCATCTCTTCAACTTCAGTTTCTGCAGTCGTTTCCATCGTCTGTTCCTCGTCAAATTCATCCTCGTTATTAGATTCAGTTAAAGAATACTTTCCCTCAGTTTCCCCGGAAGAGTTTTGTGTTTCGAGCTCTGGTTCAGGCATCATTCCATCGAATACCAAAACTTTGGTAATCTCTGCCTGAACTTTCGGCAGTTCCATAAGCCACGGTACCTCTTCCTCCGGTTCCATATCATTCTCCCACTCTACTGAGACTTGCCCAGTTTGACTTGACTCAAATACTTGTGGCTTTCTAAAGAAATCCTCATCACTATCCAACGAACATTCAGACTCTGATTCGTCAAATTGAGACTCTGATTCGTCATATTCAGACTCTAAATCCTCCTCGCCCCATGATTCTTCGCTCTCGATTTCTGTTAAAAGAAAATTATTATTTAATATTTAGTTGTGCAATTAATTAAGTTCTTACCAGAAGCGTTTAGATGTTCATCATCTTCATCTTCATCTTCAATATTATTTTCTATTTTTATCAGTTCTGTAGCTCTAACATTTTTTTTCTTATTTCCTTTAGTTGGCATCGAACTTGTCGTCTTTTTGGCATCAATTACTTTCTGTGACTTTTTTACGGCTATTTCTTTCCTACTGGGTGCACTTTTCCATTTTTCCTTGGATACCATCTCTAGTTTGGCCCGTTTGTTGACTCCATTCACGGGAATAGCTTTGGCTTTGCGTTTTACAATCCCAGCTTTATTTTGTTTGTTTTTCATTATATATTCCCCTGAATTTGCAGTAGATTTAAAATTTTCTTTGTTTTTGGCTGTCTTTCCCATTTGTTTATTTGCTGATGATGTCTCGTCAATTTTTTTAGATCCCAAAGTTAGTTTAATCCGGATTCCATTTACAGCTTCAACATTTTCAACTCCCTTTGGAAGCTTTTGATTTTCCGTTGGTTTATCTATGTTTCCCTGTGTATTGAAAAGACCAACTTTTGGCTTACGATTAACTGGTTGCCAGGTATTTGCTATTGCGGCCGATGTATGTGATTTGACTTTGCGATTTTCGGTTAGTTTAAAACTCATTTGAATTTCTTTAAGAATTTGCTCATCACATTTTGCGCTCATGTTTATTTGTAGGAAATAAACAAATAATTATTCGTGCCGGGCCATGTGTCTTGAACATGAAGAAGCAGAAACGGATTAGCGATGGGATATTCTATAAAAGTGACAGTCAGGTCATGTAACGAATTACTAAAGTAACTAAGTCATTAATCTTTTCAGAGCAACACTGAATTATTTATCTAAGTGATAAGACATATATAATATAAATGTTTATTAAGTGATTAATGTAACTGTCTATTTCATATTTGTAAAAAAATGGCAAAGACGAATAAGTTGTGCTTATTTTGTATACCCAGATCAGGTAATCCTTTTATTGATATTTTCCAACACTATAGTTAAAGTGCAACTCTGGGCGCACGAAGGCGTTGGTTGTTCATCTACCAAGAAAATTCATCGTCATTTTGCATGAGAAAAAAAACGTCGAATTTTTAATTGTAATAACTTTTATACGAAACGAATAACGGTAGACGCATAAGAATCAACATATTTGTGCCATTTTGTAAGCATTACGAATAAAGTGTACTATTCGAACCAAGTGTTGCAAAAAAATATATATATTGTAAGTGAGGAAAGTTGAAAGAGCAGTGAAAAAATTCCACACACACACTCATACACATAGAGCTGTACGCGCACATACAAACACACACACAGCCATGCAATCGAACTCACAGACAACATATGTATGTGTACGTATGTACATAAATGCGAGTGGATGATGATGTTTTTGGAATAAACGTACGAAGAGTTGGTGGCGGGCGAGGAAGTAGACCTATGACGCGACCAGTGGACTATCTCGAGACACATTCGTATAGAATTGAAGAAAAGTAAATAAATGTATATATCTAAATGGGAGCAGTGGTGATTCGGCCAATACGAATACCAATACACATAAAGGCACGGGCTTTCATTTACATAAATAAATCTATGTGTGTATGTATGCATAAAGAGCTGCACAATTGGAAGCGATTAAACTACGGCCCAAACATTGCATTCTGATTTGCCAACATACATGCATATATACATAAATGGCCTAAAAGAACCCCGCACCACCAACAACGGGTGATTGTCAAAAAGAGTCTCATGCGGCTGTTCGCTGATGCTTCTTCTTTTCCATAGATCGTCAGCAGCAGCAGAAACAACAAGAACAACAACAACAAACGGGAGAGCCATTCAAATTGTATGACTCAAATGTGTTTGTGAGTGTGAGTGAGAGATTGTGGCACTGCTGTGCGCGAGCGTGTTAATGTATATGTATGTGTGTGTGCGTGTGTATGGCTTTTTCACTTTGATATTTTTCAACCAGCTCGCGCAATTTTCGCAAATATATTTAACACAACGCATCGTCCGTCGTCGCCGCTGTCGGTGTCGTTGCATCTACTCTGCCACTTCCAGAACCTCCAATGACGACGATTCGCAAGAAATTGGTAATTGTCGGCGATGGTGCCTGCGGTAAAACTTGCCTTCTGATCGTCTTTAGCAAAGACCAATTTCCCGAGGTCTATGTGCCGACTGTCTTTGAGAATTATGTCGCCGATATCGAAGTCGATGGCAAGCAGGTAAGCTCAAGTTTGTCACCTTTTCATACACACACCGACCCACCCCGCCACGCCCCGCCCAACACACACAGCATTCAAAATCATCTGATCATCGGTCTTTGTGTACATTTTGTTTGTTGTTTTTTTTTTTTTTTCATATATTCTCGTCTAGCATCCCGTTCCGTTCCCTCCACTCGGTTGGATTTTTAGTGCACTCTGCGCTCATGTTGTAAAAAAAAAGTTGTGAGTCAATATCAATTGTCGGTAGGCATACTTGACTCCCGCTCTCCAGCTCTCCTGCTCGTACTCTCCTTGCACACATAACGACACACAGGCGAACACACGCGTACCCACATCGACGACGTAAACGCACGCACTCACACTTACACACGTACTAATACTAAAACATGTACTTGTATAGCAAGCTCCCTTCCTTCCGTTTCTTGCTCTGCTCTTGCTCTTTTTTTATTCGTCTTATACACAAGCCCGTTGCGCACATACGGTTTTGCGCGTCGCCCCTCGCGCTCTCACGTTCGCCCCCCTCTCACACAGCCATTGCATACCTGCGCTCACGTTTGGAGCCAGTAGCACGCGCTCTCGCTCTCAATTGTAATAAAATATATATATATAAAAAAAAATAAGATATACTACTGTATGCCATTTTGATTTGCATTAAGTCATGTTTTGTGTATTTGTTTTTGGTTATTTGCTAAACAATTTCGTTTCTAATAATTTTATACGACTTTTGGTTTTCTTTTAATTTTTTTTTTTGTTTTGGTATAAACAATTTGCGCAGCACAATATGGCGGCGTTTGTGTTTGGATAGTGCTTACATATGATGTACAAACATATGTACATACTTACAAACATACAGAAATACACCCGTCTGTCTGTCGTTCACGTCACTCTACGTATTGTGCCTGATTAATACGTTTGGCATTTCCGCCAGTTCCTTGCTATCTTTCAACTTGAAGTTGACTCTCGTCTTCGTCTTTGTGATGGAAACGGGCTTTTGTGCTACATAATTGCCAACTTAACGGGCGTTATCACTCCACATGTATACATACAAACATACACATATATATATGTATATACTTACAACAAAATATGACGTGATTCTTTTCTCTATTTGTTATAGGTGGAGTTGGCCTTATGGGATACAGCTGGTCAGGAAGATTATGACAGACTGCGACCGCTGAGCTATCCAGACACTGATGTTATACTTATGTGTTTCTCAGTGGATTCACCCGATTCGCTAGAAAATATTCCCGAAAAATGGACGCCCGAGGTAAAAAGGATCTCAAAAATAATATATCAATATTATTATTAATAAGTATTTCTTTGTTTCAGGTCAAACATTTTTGTCCCAATGTTCCAATCATTTTGGTAGGCAATAAGAAAGATTTGCGAAATGATCCCAACACAATTCGGGTAAGACTTCTAGAATATTAGTTAAAGCAACTATTGTCTCTGTTTAGATATGAAATTTAAATAACGTTTTAAAAATTTCCACAGGATTTGGCAAAGATGAAGCAGGAGCCGGTTAAGCCACAGGAGGGACGCGCTATGGCTGAGAAAATTAATGCCTTTGCCTATTTGGAATGTTCGGCCAAGTCCAAGGAGGGTGTGCGAGAGGTATTCGAAACAGCAACCAGGGCTGCACTGCAAGTTAAAAAACGGAAGAAGCCCAAATGCCTTTTGCTCTAAAAGAGCAAATAACAAAATTCTATACATACACACAACAAAACACACATACACACACACACAAACACACACCTTTTTACAAGAATAACAACTACTGGAATCAGATAGCATGGGGAATCCGGCAACAGCAACGCAAAAACAGCAACAACAACAACAACCAGCAGATATTGCTTAAGCAACAAACAAAACACGCAACAACAACAGCAGCAAGATGGAGAAGAAGAAAGGGGCAAAATGTCAAATGCGGATTTGATTTTATATACAGTCTAGAGTAGTTATTAACCGAAGTAAACAACAATAATAAATATCGCATTATTATTATTATTATTTGTAACTCTTGACGGCGTCGAAAATCAGTCAACACTCAACCAACTATCAATACATACTTACTCGTATATATATATATACACACACCTATGTATATGCATACTACTATGTCCTATATATATCATCGTATCCGTTTGATTTTGAGATTAAAAGCCAAACAACAAAATGTCTATAAACATTACTAAACGTGTGTGTGCGTGTGCATGTGTGCCAGTGTGTATGTGCGTGCGTGTGTGTTGATTAGTGATGATGCAGTTATTCATATTTTTTCAAAGTCTTAAGGCCGATATATATATTCTGGTAAACAGACAACAAACAAACAACTGAAGAAAGAGAGCCTAAAATGCAAGCATTCATAAACATACCAATTACAACTTTTTTGACTCATATATATATATTATATATTCAAACAGAGACCGCCAATAAACTAAACAAAATGATAAACTTATATATATATATCTAAATATATATAAATACTACTTTGCAAACAATTACACAAAAAAAAGAAGAGAAATGTTTAAACATAAGCCACAAGTGACAGATGCATTCAAATTTTTTCAATGTGCAAATGCAAGTTCAGAGTTTTTAATATTTGTATTTTGCATTAAACAAAAACAAAACAAGATAAATAAGTGTATTTTATGATTTTATAAAATACCAATATATATATACAGTACATATTTGTATGTATGTGTGTATGTCTCTTTTTTGTATTTTGTACCGTCAAAAATCGTGTAAAATTCTCATACAAAAACTCAAATGCTAAATATATAAATATATATGTGTGTATGTATATGTATATATATATACATATACATACATATACGTAAACTATTTTCTACAGTTACTATATTACACAATTTAAACAACAACAGAAAGAGCAAATTCGTCGAAAGTAATTGTAAATTTGTGCATTCAAGTTTTGCTTCCTATACAATAAAATAAAAAAACTTATTAAATATGCAGAAGAAGAAGAAACAAAACAAAACACATTTTACCAGATTACCAAAATTAACATGAAAATATATGTGTGTATATGTATACATATGCATATGTAAACCAAAAAACAACAAATATCATTTCTTTTCAAAATTTAAAATAAAAAAAGAATATTTTACTAAATAAATAAATAAAAAAAAATACAAAAAAAACGATAAAAATCAAAATTCTAAGTGTTTTTTTCTATTCCGGGGCGTGGGCTGCTAATTAATAATCGTTTTTATTTTTGTTTTTTGAATATTGTCTTTATTTTCTTGTTTTGAGAGCTGTAAAAGTTGGCAAAGAAATTTTTATATATTCGATTCTAAAATTAATTTGAATTTAGCTTTACAAAAAGATACGAGACTTGAAAGTAGTTTACAACCCAAAATTTTAGTTAAACAAATTTTAAGAGTAAAATTTGAAAGTCGGTTAAGATTCCAAATGAAATATTTTCATTGCAGTTTGTAGCATTCAAAATATAAATAAATTATTGTAAAAAGTTCCAAACTAAAGATACTTCTCTGTGCCGATTTCAGGTTATCTATAAGTAAGTAGTAGAAAAAACACTTATTTCAACGGGGGTTCAAAAATCTTTATTGGGTTCTTTTTTTTGTCGTTTTCATTAATTTCTTGTACATTTAAAATGTAAGAATTAAATAGTGAAATGACCGAAAGAAAAGAAAACAAAAAAAAAACAGCATTGGCCAGCTGGAATTACCAGACTTGTGCATCTATTATAATACTCGCGTTATAGCTACTAACTTCTAGTTTCATTTTCTTTTTTGGTTTTGTTATCGTTTTATGGGAAATAATCGTAATCGTATGTGATATTTAACATTTTTATATTATTATAATTATATTATATATATAAATATTTTATCTTGGTTTTTCTTTTTGTTTTTTTTTTTTTTTGGAAAGCTTGCTTTCAATATACCCGCATTCAATTCAACTGACAAATAGAACTAAAGTTTAAACATTTACACAGTTTCGTTTAGCTCGTTATTCGTTTGGTTATGCTTAATAAATAAAAAACATACAAATTATTCAACGCCTGTTAACAATTTTCAATTGTCTTTTTAACAAATTGTGTAGACTGTAGTTAATGCCTTGTGCTAAGATGCAGTTGCAGTTACAGTTGCAGTTGCCATTGCAGTAACATTGATGTGAGGAACTTATGGTGATGCTTAGCGAAGGACCTGAATGTTTAGAATGTAATTAACAAAAAAAGACATAATATTAATAATAAATAAACTTAGACAAGTTAACAATTAAAATAGGTAAACAAATGTCAATGCATACTACATTTAAAAATAATATTAATAACATTTAACAATGGATCTGCATATCAATCAATCAATTAATGTGTCTTGTCAATCGTCTCATTTGTGTTTAGTATACATATGCGTTAAATTCAACATTTATTCGATTAGTTAATGTGCGTACGTTAATTATAAATATAATAATAATAATACATGCACATAATACACTGTTAACACTTTCCTCACTTCTGTTGGACAGTTTACTTTGCTTTTGTTTTTATTTCTTTTGTTGTTTGGCGACTTAAAGCTCTCTATGACCTTTACACACGCACATATATAAATATATATATGTGGGTGTGTGCATGTGTATGTGTGTGTGTCTATATAGCTACCACTATTGGCTGCAGCTAGGACTCAGTTTTGTATATCGTTTTGTTGTTTCGTTATTTTTGATTTAACATTATTGCTATTATCATACATTTTCATATGGTTTCCTTTGCTTCGGCTGTTTGTTTAAATTTTAAATGCATTTCATTTAGTTCGTTTTGGTTTTTGTGTTTTGCCAATTGGTTTTTGTTAGGAATCAACATTTCTTATTAGTTATACTATATACGTGTATAGACGTATGTGCATTGCTATATAATATTGTATCATTCGATCTTTCGAAATCGTGCTTAAAACATATTTTGATATACATATCTTTCTCTCAATATATATATATATATATATATATATATATATATATATATATATGAATATGAATATGAATATATATATTCTTATATCAGTGTGCACAGCAGCACCTCAACAATACAAATACAACAAATACAATGTGGCATAGTTAACAAATGAAATAAACTATTAAAACTAAAACAATTAACAAAAGTTTTTAAGTCCAAACAGAATGTTACTTAGTTCTTTTTGCCCTTGTTGGCTTTGACAATTAGAATAGCTTTACACGTTTTCATAAATTCATTTGCTTTAAAAATGATTAGACACAAATACGTTTGATTCTTTGTGCCATATACAAATCGTACATATATATATATATATATATATATAATTTAAATATATATATATATTAATATAGTATAACGCATTGGATAAATATTGCACTTGCGAACCGAGGAATTTCATTTTCATTTGTTTTTGTTTGTTTTGCTAGTTTAAATTGCGCCTGCGCCGAAAGACCAATGCGAATATGGATCTTATACGCCACCAGCGGCTGCGATGTCTTGTGTGTATCTTCTCCGAACTGGTATCCGTGCCCAGTGCCTTTTGCATCTCTTTGCGGCGGATTTCACGCACCAACGTATAGAATGCCTCGTCGATGTAGTGCCTCAGTGCAGCGGATGTCTCGAAGAACGGGCAGCCGAATTGATTGGCCAAATTCTTGCCCTCCTCGGTGGTGACGCGTCGCTGAGATTCCAAATCCACTTTGTTGGCTATCAACACCAGCGGTATGTCCTCAGATAGACGGACGCGTGTTATCAATTTGCGATATTCGGATGCCTCCTGAAAGCTGTGACGATCGGTCACCGAATAGCAAATGATGAAACCTTCGCCACAGCGCATATATTGGTCCCGCATGGCCGTAAACTCGACCTGGCCAGCAGTGTCGAGTATGTCCAGCAGAGCGGCCTCATTGTCAATTACCGCCTGTTGCTGATACGAATCCTCTGCACATATGCACGCACACACAGACAGACAGAGAAAGAGAATATGACAAAGAAAAGTTCAAAGGTGGAACGGACAGTCAAAGAGAACACACTCACCAATTGTGGGGTCATGATAGTCCAAAAAGCTGTGACTGACGAACTGCAGGGTAACAGCTGTTGTCCATGTATATGTGTGAGAGGCAGACAGAGAGAAAAGACCGTGTATGTTTGTGTGTGTGTGTGTACACGCAAAGTTTGCCGAACGCACGAAGCAAGAATTAGGGGTTGGTTGTGGGGGGTTGGTTGTGGGTGGTTTGTTGTGTGCCGTCGGGTAGTCGTATGCCGTAAAACAAAGCGTAAAAGAAATTGAGATAATTTATTGATTTTTCCCATAGACAGGCGGTCGAAATGTAAAATGCGCAGCAGTGATTCAAATGAAAACTTACCGGACTTGCCGACACCGCCATCGCCCAGTATGACAATCTTGTAGACCCGCAAGCCGCCACGCATATTCTGTGGTGCACTTGGTGGTTTGATTAATATGCCGTTACTATGGCCATTTTCTTTTCGACCGTTCGGCAGCTGCATGGAGTCGGTGTCGGTGCCGCTGGTGCAGCTTTTTAACTTCGTGGATCGTTTTAGAGCGGCACAGCCTATGGACATGTCGCCGGCCATAGCTGGGAGGCGTTGCTCCCTAAATTGCTCTAAAAGGCGTGGCTAATTTTGATCTGTTGCGGTCACCGCCGTCGCCGCCGCCACCACCAAAATTGTGCGTAGTTTGCAGCGCCTGGCCTGTAAATGTCAATCAATTTAGTCACAATTTATTTTTAATCACTATCCCTCTTTTTATCTTTTTTTCTCCTCAACTTACCACAACTTTGCACTTGGCCCGGAATCCTACAACGGCTTTTGTTGACTTCAATTTCAATCGTATCTATACATAATTGCACTGGGTTGTTTTCCCTCGTTCCGTTCTATTTTGTTGTTGTTGTAGTTTTTATGGTCGTATAAGTGTGTGGCCAAGCCAGCAAAAGAGCTGAAAATACCAAAAAATACTAAATGCTAGCTAAGAATTTTGACTGTTATTATGAGGGGAATGTAAAATTATGGCAAAGGGTGCCCATGTGCAATGGGTGGTATGTAATTGTAAAATAATGATAATCGAAAGAAACCAGAAAGATAAATTTTTTTAGCATAGCGCGTCAACAGATGTACCACTTAGCTTCTAAATAAAAGCATTTGCAAATTAACTTCTACGAACGTACTGTTATTGCCAGATAGTAACTGTTATTGCAAGCTAGTAACATATATAATACTGTTATAGCAAAGGACGAAAGAGTGCGGCAATTAACATACGTTTGCTATCGCGTCATTATAGCACGCACAGTATAAACGATTAATCGGTAGTAGCTATGATGCTATAAAAATGTTACTATAAATTAACTGATTTTTAAAAGAAATATTCTGTTGATTTATTTACCTTGCAAGCAAAAATATTAGTCAGCAAAAGAAAAGATAATCGATTTTCCCGATATTTTCGTATGAGTGAAGAAAAGCTCAACCACCAACGCCGCCTATCTGCCTGCCAGATTGGCTAATCGTTCGGTTTAGTTACGTGCTGCGATCGCAGTTGAGCTGTTCGCGTTCGCGTTCCGTTCCGACACCGACACCGACGAACAGAGAAAATCGAGAAGAAGAAAAGCTGAGCAGAAAACAATATACAGTGGTGCTGAAATCAAATACGGCCTGCAAATTGGCATTTAACGAGCTTCAAGCCAACTGAGTTATGTCGGGCGACGTACAGCCGCGAAAGCGCAAGGATAAGCGCAAAAAACGTGGTAAGAGTTCAGCTCTGGCTGGCATATTCGCATCAAACCGAAATGTTTTCTAGCATAGCTGTCCATTTCTTTTATTAGAATAATAATATTGTCGAGCGCCTTTAAAAATAACTTTGCCCTATTATATAAAATTATACATTGCTCTGTGCCGCTTGTGTCGCTATGCGTGTGCCAAGCAAACTATGAGATAAATTATATACGTATATACAGAGAGAGATATGTATATAGATATATATATATATATATAAATTTATGATTTCTTAACGTTGTTGCAATGAAGTATATATAAATATAAAATATTTTCAAAAACTTAAGTTCTTTGGACCCATGCGACAGCGGGTTCAAAAAAATCATTTGCCTCTAATAAACCAAATCTTAGAATTTTTTTTTTTCGAAAATATCTGCTTGTGTTTATTTAAAGCCCGAGCAGATGTTAGATAAAGTGTATTTATCTTTTTCTCTGGGCAGCATAAACAAAAGCCGGTAGCTCGCTCGCTGCTTGCCGCTCGCTGCTCACTGCTCACTTTGCTGTCTTTAATCTTAAAGCTTTCATTTGGAATTACTGCATCGAGTACAAAATATTATAGCCATGAGAATGTAATTGAAATGTGTCTTATTATTAGCTGCAATGTTATTAATTTAAATGCGCCAAAGTCATGAGACTTCCGTAAGCAGACATTACAACGCCCCCAACACAAAAGAGAGTTTTTCCATCATATACACACAAATTTACACACACACACACACAGAGGGAAATACTATGGACTCAGTACAGTTTTTCTTTTATTTTCATTTGAATTTTCTTTTACTTTTTGGCCATTTGCCCAAGCGCATGACTTGCGCCTTCTTTGTTTTGCATCAACATCAAACAACAACAATAACAACAACAACCTACAAAAACAACTAAAACATATCTCTCATCATTATCTTTTAAAGAGAGTTTCTGTTATCATTGTCTTTATATATACCCTGTAAACGTTGTCAGATGTGTGTGCAATGGGGTGTTCTAACTATGCGCTTTAATTGGTCGAATGTTATCCAAAAGAAAGCATATAAACATAAGGTTTTGACCAGTTACAAAAATTGGAATGAAACAAAATTTTTTATTGAAATGAAACTATTTTTTGTGACATTCACACGACCCCTACAACAGCTCACAACTGTCTACAGGGTATATACAAGTCGACCATGTTCAACTAATTAACTACTTTAACCAGTGTAACTAACTTTTTGTCTAGATGATCGCAAATCGGAGGGCGACGTCACTATACTGCGCCAGTCCAGCTTTCAAGGTAGAATGACTTCCATGCAGTTCATATATATATATATCTATATATATATATATATGATCGTATATCTTATGAACCCAGCCAAAGCAGCTGTATCATTCCAATTTAGCGTCTAGTATTGACTAAAATCTCGTTGCTTGTACTAAAGAAACCTTCAACCCGACTGCAGTTAATCAAGTGAATTCTAATCACATATATGTATGTATGTGTGTGTGGGGGTGTGTTTGTGTGTGGGCATTTATCTGTTATCTAGATGACGACGACTCGTCTTCCCATGGCGTGCATATCACAAAGATGGGAAACGACGACGTGCATTTGCACGTGCAGCATCAACATGGCACCGGCGGGCATTGGTGCGCCAAGATTATATTTTTCTCCCTAATGGCCGTGCTGCTGGGTCTGGTCGGTCTGATTATTATGGAAAATCGTGGCATGGAGGACTGTAAGTAAAGAAACACATAAATATAGTCAACAGATGTCATTTGGCTACTTAATTATGGCCACTTCCAGTGGATACACCCTTGTCGGAGTCACGTTATTCCAACTATTTTGATGGCTGGGTGGAGGAGCATCGTGCGGAGGAGCACGATGAACATGATGAGCCTCATTCGCATGAAGCGGCTCTAGATGAACATGATGATGAGCACGATGATGAAGTGGAGGAGCCGTATGAACAGCATTCAGGCGAGGAAGAGGAAGCAGAGCAGGAACATGACGACGAAGAAGCGGAGGAGGAAGAAGAGGAAGATAATACTGCTGCGGAAAATGTAACAGCTGAGGATGAGGAAGAAAAAGATGAGGTAAGATATGGTTCACTCTTTTGAATTGTTTCGCCTAACTAAATCTCTGGTTAGTTAATTAGTCTTCTAGTTAATTAGTCTTTAAATTTTTAATCTATTTTATTGTTATTTTTAATGTAAATTAAACATTAATGAAGCTAAAAATAATATTATTTAACAGGATGATGAAATAGAAGAGTCTGCTGATAGAACTCAATCCTTGGCCGATGATGCTGAAGAGGTAAAAACTTCACAAAAAAAAAAAAAAACAAATTAAAATTTTTGCAATTAACAACTTAATTTAATGGCAGGAGGAAGAGGAAGCGGATGAGGAGGAGGATGCAGACGATGACATTGAAGAGTCCATTGAGCCAATTGCATCCAAGTCTAGAACTCAGAGTGCGCCCGAAACAGCTGAGGAAGATGACGATGAAGAGGATAATATTGAGGAGGTAAAACACTTAAAGCTAAGCTAAATAAATATTGTTAATCAAATGCCTTACCAGGAAGAGGAAGAGGAGGAGGAGGAAGAGGAAGACGAAGAGGAGGAGCCGGCAGAATCAATTGAACCAACGATTTCACAATCTCAGGCTGCTGATGATGATGAGGATGAGCAAGATAATGATGAGGTATATAAATATATATATTTGATAATATATAGAATATTAATAAATGTCTAACAGGATGCTGCTGAGGAGGAAGAGCAAGAGCTGGAAGAGTCTGCAGAGCCAGCAGCACAAAGTGTTGCTGATGATGATGAAGATGATGAACAGGTGAGCATTAGCTTATTACGATTCCAACTGAGTGTCAAACCTAATCATCATTACAGGATGACAATGATGAAGATGAATTCGAATCACTCGATCAGGACGTAGATAATGAGGCTGAGCTGCTAAAGGCTAAACAGGCGAAGGAGAAGGCAGCTGAAGAGAACATTGAAGCCATGACGACCACATCCTGGCTGGGCTCACGTAAGTATCCAAGAGGCGACACTTAGGCAGCTCCATTGAACGGTTTAGATAAGCAGGTTGCTCCACTCGAATATATTTAAAAATTACACAAATTTTCTATAGACAAAAATTGTACAAGAAAGTGCAAAGCAAAAGATATATAAATATATAAAATATAATTATATTTTCTATTTATATTTATATTTATATTTATATTTTATTGAAAGTTGCGTTAAATTTCGACAAAAAATTTGTTGTTTACTAAACGAAACGTAAATCATTTTCCAGTTGCCGTAAAATTTGGCGTTGGCATTGCACTTGCCCTTGTTTCACGCCTTGTATTGATACGGAATAATCCAAATACAAGTGAGTTTTCCACATTTGCTGCTAAATGCCAAACAATTGTTATCCAAGCAATGCACTTTGTTAACGTAACTCCTATATCATCATATCTGCTGCTTACTCAAGAAACTGCTCTAAAAAAACGAAACCTAAATGTCATTTGGCCTAGCTGAATATTTAAATATATACATATATATGTGTGTATATTTATACATACGTATAAGTGTATATATGTATATTGAAGGCTACGTTTACACAGCCCAACATAATTTAGGCCTATACTGCCTGGGACATGCTGAATCTGTAACTGAAACTGGAATCGTTTCTAAGCTTTTGTGCTGCTACATTTAAGCTCCTCTATCACTCATACTTAACTTGTTTGCTAATTACAGTTACAATTTCTAAGAGTACTCAGCTCAAGCTACATGATCTCTTTTAAATGATTTAAAAATCTTTTTTTATCACTGAATTATCGTCTGTGGAACGTATTGGCTGCTGACAGTCTCTCTACGTCTCTCGCTCGCACTTAAGTCTCTCCTGCGACAGACAATAACTCGCTGACAAAAAAAGATTTTTTAAAAATTTAAAAAACATCATAAAGTAGAATAATAGAACTTTCACATACAGTTTTAATCTTCTTTGGCAAAAATTGCTAAAAATTGCTCTGTCAGCAGCGCAAAATTAAAGTTTTAGAAACTTCCTTAAACCTAGTTACGGCTGCAGTTACAGTTACAGCACATCAAAAACCTACGGCAATATATGGTCTAAATCTTGGTTACTAAATCTTGTTGGTCTATGTATTAAAAAATAAACAATAAACTACTCTCAATGTTGTATGGAAACGAAATGTGAAATTAACTTTTATCTCATGCCTTCTTCTTATGTTGCTGTCAAATTATTTAACATGTACAGTGCTGCGGAGCTTGAAACATGAGAAACTGGCTAAATTTTGAAACTAACTTTTTTAAAATTAACTTAACAAAAAATCTGATTCGAACTTTGAATATGAAACAAAATTTTTGCACTTTCTTCATTTGTTGTTTAATTGAATTTTTAATTTTCGTTAAGTTTAAGCTTAATTAAATTTATTGTTGTTTTTATTGTAGTCAGCGCTTTGTTAAAACTGTTAAAACCTATGCGCCAATGTATGTATGTAAATTTAATATTGTATGGCTTTGTTGTTAATGCCTGAGAACTATCTTATATTTATATATACATAAACATATACCATACAAACTGATTTCTTAGCCGATGAGCATCAGCCGACGCCGGAAACTCATATGAGACGCCGTTTGACAATTGCCACAGCCGAGGATCATATACCCGATGATGATACGGAGGAGCTGCCGCCGCTTGATGATGGTTGACATAACATACTATATACATATGTAAACTTCGGTCTGGCCGAAGTTGTTTCCAAATAATTTCAAGCCAGATTCCACACTTGAAGCTATTTAGAACTCAGTTCAATTAGTTCGTTCGGTTTATTTGGGTTGTTTCATATTTTAATGCTTGCCTATTTCCACTAAAGAGGCATATTCCGAAGAGGAGATCGAAATCGAGGAGGAAATCGAGGTGGAGATAAGCGACATAGAGGAGAGCGATGATAATGTTGCCCTGACGGCCAGCTATGTGCCGGAGACCTTCGAGCAGCTGAGTGCCATGTTCCGGCCCAAAGCTGAGTCGAAGCCCAGCGAGTCGGCGTCAGACAAAGAGCCGGAGCCAGAGCCGCAGCCGGAGCCGGAGGGTGAACCAGAGCGAGAACCGGAAACAGAACCGGAAGCCGAGGCAACAGCTGCCACAGATATTTATGTGGAATACGAAGATGGAGACATTGAAGATTACGAACACGACGAAAGCGAAGATGATGATGAATTGATCAGCGACGAGGAGGAGGATGAAATCTCCGATGTGGATGATGCTGACCTTATGAGCCGCTTGGAGGCCAAATATGGCCGATTGCCAGCCAAGGAATATGAAAGCGATCCCGATTCCGATGATCCGTCCTGGACACGTAATTACTAAATGTACAATTTACACCAAAAAACAAACAAATCGAATCAGTCTACAAAGCAAAGCTACAACCAGTCCATCCCAAGCATTGATAAATCTGATATATATATATACATATATATATACATATGAATCTGACATATAGACACGTATTATAATCTATCTCTAAAGTTAATTCGTTCATGGCATACGTTAATCTAATCATAGTAAGTCATAGTCTATAATCGAATTGCTAATCTTACGTCTAAGGTGGAGCCCAACACACAAATTAACCGTTCAGTGGTGTCTTTAATCTTAAGTTTTTCCCTTTATCTATTTCCATAACTCTAATAAATATTTTTCTTACCAGAAATTAAACCTAAGGAACCAACTGGTGCCAAGTCTGTTGAGGACGAACTTTTCGAGCAGGAGCTGCGCCGAGCTCAAGCCGAAATGATCAATGAGGTGAGTGCGCTATCTAAATTTCCCAACAGCAACTAAAATTTGATCTTACCACAACTTTTCTAAAAATAGCTCAACAATCATTAAAAAGAAAACACATTAAACAAAAGTCCTTTCATAGCTTTAATTTATGTTCGCTTTTTAAGTTTATGTGCTTAGCTTTTAAGAGAGTTTTTTTTTGAGAAATAATTGAAGATGAGTAAGAATTTTGAGAGCGGAGTTAAAGAGAATTCGAGGAGGCAGTTGTTATAATTTGGGTATTAAATGGAGTGTTTTTTTTTTTTTTTCAAAAAAATAAAAACATATTAGCCAAAGGGCTGAAACTACGGAAATACTGTGGATCCTAGAATCACCCACCTAAGACCTACAGTTGCAGTTAGCCAGCCCTGAGGCAATTATGGTTTTAATAAAAAATGAGAAGTTTGAATTTTTTCTTAACATTTATATGATATTATTTATATCAATATTTTTAATTTAAAAAAAAAATTAACTAGGAAATTAAAGACTATTTGAGATTTGAGTATTTAATATATAAAACAAATAATTGCTAGTTAATAGTTATATACGAGTATTAAGAGGTCTTAACAAACCAATAAGCCCTTTTGATTGTAAAACATTTTGAAAGGCTATTTTGCTAATCTACTCGTTTATGTTTGCTGTTACTTGAAACGCTTTTCTCCTTTTTTGCTAATCTTCGTTCTATTTGCATGTGTTTTGCTTAACCCAAAAAAATGCCGAAAAAATACCAACTTCTAACACCCAGAACCATGCGAATGCTCTGCGCGCCTTTAACACGCTCACAAACACATACGCACACAAGCCGTTGGCTCATTTGCGACGAGCGCAAGCGCTGGAACGGATCGCGGAGCTGCGCCGCAGCAATCAAATGCTTGTGGATGCTATTGAGTCCTATAAACGTTATTTGGCTTTCGATGAATCGATAACAAGTATCGAATATCGCACAGCTGGCGAACGTTGCATAGAGCATATGCGTTTTCTGGGTGAGTAACAGTTACAATTACACAATTTCTCATTCAAATTTAGATTCTATGGAAACTAACTGTTCGCAGGTCACACACAGCAGGCGGTTGACATACACGAGCTGCTCATCGAGCGTTATCCGGAGGAGGTGCAGCTGCGCAATCAACTATCGCTTACCTATCTAATGTCCAATAAGTGGGTGTGTGACGAACTGTTTAACTTGCTTGCAGACATTTTATCTACAATCTACTTGCAGTTTGTTCAAGCTACGGCAGGTGTCTCGTGATACGCTTAAGCGCTGGCCACAGGATCCCTTAGCACAGTTGCACTTCGGGCTGACGCTCAAGCAGCTCGATAGCGACTATGCCCAGGCATTGCCCTACTTACAACGAGCCATAGACTCTCAAGCGGCGGGCACTCAGGAGCCCTACTTCTATCTGGCGCTGGGCGAGACGCTGCAGCGTCTAGGCAAACAGACTGAGGCCTTGCAGCTGTATGAACGTGGCGTGAAGAGAGGTTACTTTGCCAGCGTCTATCAGCGTTCGCTCTACAACGTACCTCGGCTGCGTGCACAACCCTTTTGGCAAATTGTAGATACGGATCAAGTTGAAGAGCTGAAGCAGCTGCAGCGCAACTGGCGCTCCATTCGCAACGAGGCGCTTGCGTTGCTCAATGTGAAAGGCAACTTTCAGCTGGAGGCGGAGCAGCTGCGCGACACGGGCAACTGGCAGCAGTTCGAACTTTTTGCCCGCGGACAGCGTCTGCAGCGCAACTGCCAGCGCGCGCCCATCACGTGTGCCCTGCTCGACAAATTGCCAGCTGCTAGCGGCTGTCGTCGTGGCCAGATCAAGTTCAGCGCCATGCAGGCACAGACGCATGTCTGGCCACACTGCGGACCCACCAATTGCAGGCTGCGTGCCCATCTCACGCTGGTGGCGCCGGAGCCACACTTAACCAGTCTTCGAGTGGCCGAACAAGAGCGGTGAGATTGGCATAAAAATACTACTAAGAGTAGACGCCTTTTGCGTGTCTTTGATTAGCTAAATTTATGATTTAGACACTAATCAAATTATATCTGTTTCTTTCTATTGCTAGCACCTGGCATGAGGGCGATTTGTTCATCTTTGATGACAGCTTCGAGCACGAGGTCTGGCACAATGGAACGCAGCTACGTTTGGTGTTGATCCTCGACCTTTGGCATCCGGACTTAACTGTTGAGCAGCGACGCAGACTGACGCCCATTTAACTCTTAACTCTTATTATCTAACTCTTGTTAATATTTCCAACCAAAAGCATCCAAAGTCAACGCACTCATTCTAGTTCTTTTGTTACATACTTCACATAGATCTATTTGTATCTCTTATCTGATAAGTTTACTTTGTATGAATGCGCGTTTAGCTGTAAACACAAAACTGTGCCTAAGTCTCAAATTTAATGACTGCTTCGTTGGCAGCGTCTTTTACTGTTAAGTTAAAGTCAATTTATAAAATACAGTACAGTTTTTTGATTGAAAAAAAAAAACAAGGATTTTTATTTGAATGTTTAAATATGCATAAATAAACATATATATATTTCTAAGGCCTGGTTTATAGGGTATGCTCTCGCCAGACATATGTTCTAACTGAGCTCTATAGAAAATAATCAATTTTAAGTTAACAACAAATTACCATTAAATAGTGAACATTGAGTGCACTCCACTTGATCACTATCATTAATAAGTTGTTATTATTTTGAAATATATATTTAATGGGCACTTAAAGTTAAGAGCTTCATTTAATTTAAGCATCTCTTGACAATAGGCTTGTGTTTGCTTTGTTAAAAGCTGCTTAGTTGCAACAGATTGTTAGTTTTATAGTTGTAATTTGCTTCTTTTTTTCAGTTAATATTTTTATTGAGAATTAAATTTGAATTAAAATACTACAAGAGTGGCCAGTCCTAAATTAAAATATTGTTTTTATTAAATTAAATATAAAAACAAATGACAACAAATAATAAAAACAAATAAAAACATAATCATTTATAATCAACGTAATATAATAATACAAATAATATATTATCAAATATTTAATTAAATTTAAATATAGTAATATTTATAAATTGTTGTTACGATTTTGGGCACGCCCATTTGAGCAGGTGAGCATGCAAATAGTTCGGCTCGAAAAACTATATAAAAGCCAGCAGCTATTAGCATATTGCAATATCTTCATTCGAGATGGCTAAGACTATTCTCTATTTAATATTAGTGTCAGCGATTGGCTACAAGGCACGAGCGGACTTGGATGTGTGCCTCGAGGAGTTGGGCTGCCTGCATGGCATCCTAATGCCGGACTCTAGGCAGCAGCAGTTCGAAGCCTTTATGGGCATACCATTTGCCAAGCCTCCGATAGGGGAGCTACGCTTTCAGGTGAAATAGCTCAGGTGTAATAGATCTCTGTATAGCTGTTATCCTTGCAGAATCCTGTGGCAGCGAGTGCCTGGACCGATGTCTTGGATGCCACTGCACCACGTAGCCATTGCCTGCAGAAGTGCTTTTTCTTAACTGGTTGGCCCATCTCTGGGGAGGAGGATTGCCTCTATCTGAATGTCTATCGACCTGTAAGTATTGTCAGTTATCATAAGGCTCTAAAAGATTCATCTATTTGCGTGCCTGCAGCAACACACTACGAGTCCTTTGCCTGTTATGGTCTACTTTCACTCGGGTGGCTATTTCTGTGGTTCCGCTTGTCCTTTGGCCATCGGACCAGAGTTTTTCATGGATACGCAGCAAGTTATTGTGGTTACTGTCAGTTATCGACTGGGTCCGTTTGGTAAGAGAAGAAGTCGCATAAGAGCTGATATCTGTATAATGTAAGTATTCCTTCCTTAGGCTTTCTGAGCACGGGCGATGCTCAGATGACTGGAAATTTCGGATTGAAGGATCAACGTTTGGCTCTTCAGTGGGTTCAGCGACACATCGCGACTTTTGGTGGCGATCCGAATCTGGTGACAATCCTTGGCCACAGCGCAGGTGGAATATCCTCCCACCTCCACATGCTCAGTTCCAGCTCAAATGGTTAGTTGATCTCTAAGGAACTCCAACCTATAGCTGACTGCCTTCTTCCGCAGGACTCTTCCATCGCGCCATGTCCTTGAGCGGCACAGCAATGATGGCCGCTATAATGGTAGACAATCCACTTGAACAGGCTCAGCAGCTGGCAGAAGCTGTCGGCGTGGCTGGAGCCAAAACCCTGGACAGCCAGGCATTGGCCGCAGCTCTACGTGCGTCGGATGCTACAGATTTGTTGGAAGCAGGCAAAGTTTTTAAGCAATGGCACAGTATACCCATTATTAACTACGGCGTGGTTGTGGAAAAGTCCGATGCACCCGAACCCTTTATAACCGAGCATCCCGTAGTGGCGCACCAGGGTGGACGCATTAATCAGGTGCCCTGGCTGCTGAGCAGCACCTCACGCACTGGCGAAGGCGCCTTCTTTCTCATAAGCACCTATTCAAATCCACAACTCTTGAAGGAGTTCAATGCGAACTTCTTGGAACACTTTGGCCTAATGCTGTCCCTGCCCAAGGGCTTCACCAAGGAAACTGTGCAGGACATCCTAGAAATGTATGGCGTAAAGGAAATGCAACTCAATGAGAACACATTGGTGGACCTCTGTGGTATTCTGGGTGATTTTATGTTCAACTACCCGGTCTACGTGTCGGCTGCCAGCTACGCGGAATATGCCCAGCAGCCAGTGTCCATTTATAGCTTTGAATATACCAGCAACATCACGTATACCGCGGTGTTTGCAGGTGGAGTTGTTTACGAGGGGCTGGGCGCATCTCATATGGATGATGGGATACACACAATGCGAATGTCCTTACTATTTCCAGATTTTGCTAAGGATTCTGAAAATGATCTGGTGGCGAAGCGCATGACTTCTCTGTTGGTAGAGTTCGCCAAGAATGGGTAAGTTGGGCGTCAATTTTAATGGTTTTCATAGGGTATCTATATAGATATAGATATATATCTCAATCTCTTTAACGTTATCTATTTCTATATTTAATTTCAGTATTTTCCCTGAAGACACCCATTTGCAACCCTGTAAATCTGAGGACTTTAAGGCTGATGAGATATGCAACTATTTCCGTATGGAAAAATTGAATGGGGCCTATCATGAGACAGTGGAGAAACGTGTTGATACGCGCGCATTGGCTATATGGAAGAAGCTCTATTTGTAGACAAAATATTAAAGCATATGAAAAATATTGCACATGTTAACATTGAGTTAACAATGAGTTAACCTTGAATTATCAGTATAATGTTAATAAACAGTACATTTTATGTTGCATACTTTTAGGCATGTTTAAATGTAAATAACATAGCGCAGTGAAGTCACTGTTAAGTCAATGTTAAACAACATTTTACACCCTATTACTCATTTCTGTTCGCCGGGTACTTTTAAAAAAATTGCCTAGCACTTTGAGGCTATGAAGCCGCGATTAATTAACAGAAATGCAAAGCGACAGCTGAACTGCTGGTGCGGCGATCGGGCAGTCAAATTTTAAGGGCAAACAAAATATTTAAGCATATGGAAAATATTTCACTATTAGAGAAGTGAGTCATGACAAGATCTAAAGCGGTATAGCTCTCCATTGTAATTTTATAACTAGTAATAATAAATAGCAAAATCAAGTTAGAATGACGCTGAACCTTACTTGAACTTATGAGAATCGCAGAGACGAGCGCTGGGCAAGACGATGCAGCTGGAGGCAGAGCAGCTGCGCGACATGGGAAATGGCAACAATTCGATTTATTTATTTCAGTTATATATATATATATATATATATATATATATATATATAAAGGGGTATAGGGCAAGCTCCAGTCAGACAATTATTCGATATGAATTCAATAGGAAATAAGCAATTTTTAGAAAGTTAACAATAAATCAACAATAAAAATTGTATGCCCTCGCCTCGTTAGCTACTCTTAATAACTTGTTATTATTTTGAAATATATATTATATATTTGTTTTGCATTTATACAAATGTTAAGAAATTAATTCAAATGGAAAATCGCCTTTTGATTTGATAATGGGCTTGTGTTTGATTCGCTGAAAGCTGTTTACCGTTGTAATAACTGCACGAAATTTTTGTTTTGTTTTTAAAAATCATTTTATTAATATAATTTTAGCAAATTTAAATATAAACCTTCATTAATACATGATTCAAATTTTAAAAAAAAATAAATAACATTTTATAATTTAAATAAATTTAATTCAAATTCAAACATTTGAAAATATAAAATCTAGAAATTAATAAATTTATATAGAAAATAATAAATAAAATATTTCAGTATTTTATGCAATAGGCATTGCCCAACGATTTATCAAATATATAATTTGAAATGATGTTAAATATAGTAGTTTTTATAAATTGTTATTTCGCTTTCTGGACACGCCCCTTGGGACACAAAAACATGCAAATAGCTCGACTCGAAAAGCTATATAAAAGCGAGCAGCTATTAGAGCATTTAATGTCTTCATTGCAAAGTAATTCGAGATGGCTAAAACTATTTCATGTGCCGCTCTCTATTTGATATTACTTTCAACAACTGGACTCAGAGTTGATGCCGATTTGGATGTGTGCCTCGAGGAGTTGGGCTGCCTGCATGGCGCCCTAATGCCGGACTCTAGGCAGCAGCAGTTCGAAGCCTTTATGGGCATACCATTTGCTAAGCCTCCGATAGGGGAGCTACGCTTTCAGGTGAAATAGCTCAGGTGTAATAGATCTCTGTATAGCTGTTATCCTTGCAGAATCCTGTGGCGGCGAGTGCCTGGGCCGGTGTCTTGGATGCCAGTGCGCCACGCAGCCATTGCCTGCAAAAATGTTATTTCGTACCTGGTTGGCCCATCTCCGGCGAGGAGGATTGCCTCTATCTGAATGTCTATCGACCTGTAAGTAGAATTAGCTATCAGAAAGCTTTACAAGCTTCTTCTACATGAGTTCCTACAGCAAGGCAATGCAAGTCCTTTGCCTGTTATGGTCTACTTTCACTCGGGTGGCTATTTCTGTGGCTCTGCGTGTCCTTTGGCCTCTGGGCCGGAGTTTCTCATGGATACGCAGCAGGTTCTTTTGGTTACAGTGAGCTATCGACTGGGTCCATTTGGTAAGAGAAGAAGTCGCATAAGAGCTGATATCTGTATAATGGAGGTATTCCTTCCTTAGGCTTCCTGAGCACGGGCGATGCTCAGATGACTGGAAATTTCGGATTGAAGGATCAACGTTTGGCTCTTCTGTGGGTTCAGCGAAATATCGCGGCCTTTGGTGGCGATCCGAATCTGGTGACAATCTTTGGCCACAGCGCAGGTGGAATATCCACTCACCTGCACATGCTCAGTCCCAGCTCAAATGGTTAGTTGGTCTCTAAGGAACTCCAACCTATAGCTGACTCTCTCCTTCCGCAGGACTCTTTCATCGCGCCATGTCCTTGAGCGGCACAGCGCTGCTGGCAACTACAATGGTGGACAATCCACTTGAACAGGCTCAGCAGCTGGCAGAAGCTGTCGGCGTGGCTGGAGCCAAAACCCTGGACAGCCAGGCGTTGGCCGCAGCTCTACGTGCATCGGATGCCAACGAGTTACTGGAAGCCGGCAATAGCTTTAAGCGATGGGACAGCGTACCCATTATTAACTACGCTGTGGTTGTGGAACAGCCCGATGCACCCGAACCCTTTATGACTGAGTATCCCATTGCGGCACACCAGGGCGGACGCATCCATCAGGTGCCCTGGCTGCTGAGCAGCACCTCACGCACTGGCGAAGGTGCCTTGTTTCTCATGCACATCTACTCAAATCCGCAACTCCTGAAGGAGCTCAATGAGAACTTCTTGGAGCTCTTTGGTTTGATGCTGTACCTGCCCAAGGGCTTCACCAAGGAAACTGTGCAGGACATCCTAGAAATGTATGGCGTAAAGGAAATGCAACTCAATGAGAACACATTGGTGGACCTCTGTGGTATTCTGGGTGATTTTATGTTCACTTACCCGATCTACGTGTCGGCTGCTAGCTACGCGGAATACGCCCAGCAGCCAGTGTCCATTTATAGCTTTGAATATACCAGCAACATCACGTATAACGCCTTGGCTACGGGCGGAGTGGTTTACGAGGAGTTGGGCGCATCTCACATGGACGATGCCGTACACACAATACGAATGCCTATATTCTTTCCAGATTTTGCTCGGGATTCCGAAAATGCTATGGTGGTCAAGCGCTTGACTTCCCTATTGGTAGGGTTCGCCAAGAATGGGTAGGGTATCTATAACCATATCAATATCTTGAGCATTATCTATTTCTATATTTTCAGTATGCTCCCAGATGATACAAATTTGCAGCCCTGTAAAGCTGAGGACTTTAAGGCTGATGAGATATGCAACTATTTCCGCATGGAAAAATTGAATGGGGCCTATCATGAGACAGTGGAGAAACGTGTGGATATGCGCGCATTGGCCATATGGAAGAAGCTCTATTTGTAGACAAAATATGGAAGCCTGTGAAACATATTTTAGTATTAGAATAGTCATGGGTAGATCTCTATAGTTTGGTCAACAACTAGCAATAATAAACAGTGAGAATCGCAGAGAAAGGCGTGGCATAGAAGGGGCATTTAAGAAGACCTACTTAAAGGTATAGCAGTAGACTCGTCAGTCTCTTATTAATATCGTATAGCTTAGAATGAAAGTATCTAAAGATCGCACGGGAAGTTGATTTTTTCTGGATATGCAGGGTATCCATTGGCTGGCAGGGTATCAAGAAGTAATGCATATATTCACGTAAACGAAGTGCTGTATATAAATATAATGATAATGTGTCTACCGCCGCAAGCGAATATCTTAAGGAATTCGTATCTGAAGCTGAGGCTGTAGCTGTAGCTGTAGCTGTAGCTGCAGCTGCGTTGACCTATTTTGCACTCGAACTCATTCTCAGTGCAGACGAAGGTCAAATGAATTTACATTTCGTCCAACTATAGGACGCAACAATACCACTAACTATATATCTGAGCTCGCTCACAATGGAAAGTATGATCCACGCGATGCATGCCAACAATGCGGTACACACAAATAGAGTCGCTTCTGCCACATCTAAATTTATGACAGCTGTCTGCGAGCGGCCAATAAAGATTTATATTGGAACACAATTGAGTGCAATGAAATGGTCGAGAACTTATCTTGAAAAGTGTAATAAAATATAATTTCAATAATAATGTGTTATCACAAACCAATTTGGGGAACGGCCCACAGCTAATTATGCGAAGAATAAAGATATAAAGATAGACAGGGTATATCTTGTAGATAGAGTGCACTTTGTATACCCTATTAGTGTGGCATACCCCATCTAGCCGCTAGCTACATTAACGAATTCTTGTTTCTGGTTGGCTGACCACGCACGTGATCATAATTATGAATAATACAATTATCACTATAATAATTAAATAGCCTAAAAGCAACATTTCATTTTACATAACCAAAGCAAGAGACTAGACATATATGTGTGGACACGACTGTACCATGCATATGTAGCACATGTAAGTGAAGACATTTCTGTAAGTTATAAAAGAAAAAACTTTCCTCATGCTAAAATGTGCAGTGAAGAGCCACAAAGTGGTTAAGAATCGCGACTGACTCTTATCAGAATAACCCAAATCGAAGGCGAGAGAGAGTGAGGGAGAGCGAGCCAGCAGACGCAGCAGACGCAGCAGAGTATATAGAGCGACTCGAGTCGAGGCAACAGGATAAAAGTGAAAGTGACTCGCCGAGTGGTTCGTAGTTGTGCTTGCGACTTCTCTAGCTGTGGTTGCAGTTGGAGCGGAGGCTGCTTAACAGTTGGTTGCTAGGCTATACGCTACTCGAGCAGGTATGGCTTGGCTTGATTAAGCATACGCCCTGTGTGCGCTTGTTGAATAAATTTCAATTGAATATCAAAGCACAACAACGCCAACAACAACAACAACAACAACAGCAACAACAATAACTTTAGATTCGCATATTTCATGCGAGCCACCGTTGCTAAAAGCGTGATACACACACACACACACACACACCTAGAGCGACTGACAACACAAAGTTTTTCTTATTTATTTATATATATATTCATTTTTTTCTTTCTTGCATAAAACTGAATGCTTCAGCTTACAAAGCCGTCAGATAAATTTCGTACGCTGCCGTGTTAGAAGCTCGTGCTTGGACGCTTCTGCTAGTTACGATCCATATCGATCTGCTTCTAGGGCTCGATCTGGTAAGTGGCGGAGCCTTCGATTCGTGGGAATATCAATTTCTGATATTTCCTCAGCAAGCAACAGTTGACATCATCGGCAAAAAGAAGCTCATTTTTTTTGGGGCCATAAACAAATGACTACATCATTTAAATGAGCTATGCATAAAATTAATGTGTCTCGATTTCTTTCACAGACAGCACATAACTAACCATCTCCGATCAGACATGATTCATGCGGGATTTACTTTACCTTTACTGCTACTCCGGCTGCTGCTGCTGCTGCTGCTGCTGCTGGTCGGCGCTAGCCAGTCGACGCCATCAATAGTTGTCGGCCAAAAGGCCTTGATTGTGTGCGGCGGCAGCTTGGGCTGCCTCAAGGGCATCTACATGCCGGGCTATCAGATCAAGCGCTTCGAGGCATTTCTCGGCATACCCTACGCCCTGCCGCCCCTAGGAGAGCTGCGCTTCAGTGTGAGTAACTCCTTAACTAACCAGCTCCTCAAGCCATTAAACTAGCTTTAACTTAAGCTGCTTTAAGCTCTTTTCGCTTCTCAGAATTTCTAAATTTTTGATGTTGCCAAGTCTTCAAACTTTTTGAACTCTTAGAATTTCTTATCTTTATGGAGTTGTTGAAACTATTGAAATGTTTGACCAACTTCAGCTGTTCATTTCCTAAGCTAATTTAATTCCTAAAATTCCATTATATTTTAAGCTACTAAAAGTTCCGAAACTGCGCACTTCCTGACACATTTTAAAGTTCATATGGTTAAAGTATTCAAACTCCTTCATTTTCTTCTTTAAACTCCTCAAGCTCCATGAAGGCCTTAAGTCTGAAAATTATTCCTACTTCCTCTTACAACTCAAACCCCTTTAGACTGCTCAAGCTCCATGAAGCTTTGCAGTCTCTTCCTCTTACACCTCATATCTCTTAAGCTCCAGAAATTTAACTTAAGCTCTTTGAATTCTTTGTTATTCATAAACTGTTTCAACTGCTTCAAGCTCCAAGAGCTGCTTATGTCTAGCAATTCTTCAAGCTCCTGGATTTCCGTTTACCCCTCAAGCAGCGGGAAGTCCACTACTTCCTACATATTGTACAGCTTTTAAAGTACTTTAAGTTCCTAAAGTTTCTTAGGCTTCATGAAGTTGTGGAGTTTATGAGATCTTTAAAGCTCTTGACTGCCGCAGCTAAACCTCATTGTTGCCCAAAATAGTTCTTGAATTTCTTAAATATTTTCAAGCAACTTAAGTCTCAAGTCAAGTCTTTAAGCTCATTAAAGTTTCTCAGATTTCACTTCCACCTTCACCTTGTACAGCTTCCTCAGCTGCTGCCTAACGTCTTCCTATACTTCCTTCCACATTCCACTTTCAGAATCCAAAGGTAATGCCCAAGCTGCGTGGCATTTACAATGCAAGCGTTGCCAAGGCGGACTGCATACAGAAGAACTATCTGCTGCCCACGCCGCTTATCTATGGCGAGGAGGACTGCCTGTACCTGAATGTGTATAGGCCGGAGGTAGGTCGGACTTCACTTTGAATTCTTTTCTCCCGCCTAACGAACTGTCGCAGCGTCGTTCCAGGCAGCCGTTGCCTGTCATGGTCTATATACATGGCGGTGGCTTCTTTAGTGGCTCTGCTGGGCCACAGCTGACTGGACCCGAGTACTTCATGGATTCGGGTGAGGTGATCCTGGTCAGCATGGCCTATCGCCTGGGCGCCTTGGGTGAGCTAGCGACATTGAATATAGAGTCCTTAAATCTGAGCTAGCGTTCGACTTCGGCTCGCTTTAGGTTTTCTGTCCACGCAGGACGCAGCTGTGCCTGGTAACTTCGGCCTCAAGGATCAGCAGCTGGCGCTGCGTTGGGTGCAGCGGCACATCAAGTTCTTTGGCGGCGATCCACGTCGTGTGACGATCTTTGGCCAGAGCGCGGGAGGCGTGGCCACGCACTTGCATATGCTGAGCGCCAGGTCGGCCAGCCTGTTCCAGCAGGTGATCAGCATGAGTGGAACTGCCAATGTGCCCTTTGCCATAGAGCTGGAGCCACTGCAACAGGCGCGTCGCACCGCCGAGCTCTGCCAGGTGGAGAATGCCCAGAATCTTAGCACGCCCAAGCTGGCGCGCGCTCTGCGCGCTGTCGATGTGCAAACCCTGATAAATGCTGGGGATGGTCTGAAATTTTGGGACGTGGATCACATGACCAACTATCGGCCGGTGGTGGAGCCCAGCTCCGAGGAGGCCTTTCTCACCGTCCATCCAAAGCAGCTGCTGGCCGAGGGCAACTATCAGCAAGTGCCCTGGCTGCTGAGCACTGTGCCCCAGGAGGGAGCCGTGCGCGTAGTCAACATAATGGAGAACGTGACGCTGCGGCAGGATTTCAATGGACGGTTCGATGAGCTGCTTCAAGAGCTGCTCGAGCTGCCCAAGGAGTTCAGCGCGGAGCAACTGGCCCAAACTATGCAGTTAGTGATTGAAAAGTACTTTCACAATACACACGAACTCAATGAGCTGACTGTACAGGGCTTCCTCGATGTAAGCGAACGAAAGGCGGAGTCAAGCAGTTTCATTTTCATGCTCTTCCTTCGACAGCTCATCTCCGACAGAGGCTTCAAGCAACCGCTATACAATGCCATCTGGCATCACTTGAGCAAGGTGCACGCTAGCCAGAAGCCACTGTACTTGTATAGCTTCAACTACCAGGGCCCCGTCAGCTATACCTCCGTCTATACCAGCGCCAATGTGGGCCCCAAATACGGCGTCGTCCATTGCGACGATCTGATCTATCTCTTCCGTAGTCCCATGCTCTTTCCCGACTTCCCGCGCAACTCCACAGAGGCGCGCGTTATCGAATCCCTCGTGGGCTACTTTGTGCACTTCGCCAAGTTAGGGTAGGTGTCTCTAGGTCTAGCCATAGATAAGCGCCAGCATTGTAATGAGTTGCTCTGTTAACAGAAAACCCAGAAACGCGGAAACTCTGAGTCGGTGCACGGAAGCCGTTTTGAAGTCACGACCCGAAGGCATCTGCGATCATCACGTGTTCGAAAATGCGTCCAACGATCCGGAACAATTCGAGGTGAACGTTTCGCAAAAGTTTCGCTCGACAAGCGCCAAGTTCTGGAATGAGATACTAGATGAGCCAAAGCGTTACTAAAACCAGATAACCACAAAGCAAAGCAAAACAAAACAAAACAAAACTAATTTATTTAATTTAATAGAATATAAAATTATGTCAAGAATTATGTTTCTTAGAAACACCATCGAATGGTCTAGTGTTCCACTGAGTATTTGCATTAATTAAATGGATTTTATGGATCGCATGACTAATTGATTGACAGACTGATTGATTGGCCTCGTGAATGATTGGGATTGACGGACAGATTGAATGAATAGAGACAGACTAAGAGAAACCTATGCAGAGTGACTTTGATCGAGTGATTTTATGATTGATTGACTGATTGACTGGTTTACAGGCTGACTGATTGACTGACTAATGAACTGAATAACTGACTGGTTGACTGAGTGTATCAGTGAATCAGACACAGCAAGTGACAGCCTTGCTGACTGAGATCGATTGATTGACTGACTGACTGATTGAGTGACTAATAAACTGAATGACTGATTGACTGATTTATTGACTGACTGAATAAGCTACTTACTGTCTGACTGATCCATTGATTGATGGATTGACTGAATGATTGAATGACTGTCTGTTCGACTGATTGATTAATTGAATTAATGACCAACTGATTGACTACTTTTATGATTGTTGACTTGATGAAATCATTGAAAACTGATTAGAGCTGACTAATAAACTGAATGACTGATTGACTGATTTATTGACTGACTGAATAAGCTACTTACTGTCTGACTGATCCATTGATTGATGGATTGACTGAATGATTGAATGACTGTCTGTTCGACTGATTGATTGATTGAACTAATGACCAACTGATTGACTACTTTAATGATTGTTGATTGTTGATCATTGAAAACTGATTTAGAGCCTAAATAACTGACTGTATGACTGACTGATTGATTGACTGTTTGATTGGCTGATTTTGAAGATTGAATGCATGATTGAACTAATGATTGACTGAGTTGCTGGGTGACTGCATGCTGGACTAATTGGCGTATTGACTGACTAAGCGACTGAGCGATTGACGGGGCAAAAGGATTTATTCAGCATCTTAATAACTGCTTCAGCAACTGATTAACTGATTGAAGCTTGAACTAACCCTTAAGCAACTGATTGACGTTTCGTCTTAATGTTTAATTTGTGAACTGCTGAGCTGGATTGACTGAGAGATTGATTGATTGACCGACTAACTATAACCCATTGTCGATCTCTTGCCTAACAAATAAGTGAAAAGCAGCCCGAGTGACACTCTTAACACTTGGAATTCCAAATTACAAATTACTTTTAAGTGACTTTTCTATGGCAGACTGTCTAACTCAATGGGAATTTGGTTCGAATATGCGTAGTATTTGAGTATGTGCCTTCTAACTGTGTCATGTTGATAAGAACTGTCTGTCGGTCGTACTGCCTCGGATACGTGCTCACGTTTGGGGTTCTCATGGAAATTGCATTGGCTTCTGAGGCATACGCTCGATACATATCTGTATACATATGTATTTGGATCAGTTCACTTTTTTGCCACTTTTGCTATTGTTCTCCTTTATTCAAACGTCATATAATTAAATATTGACTTGTGCTTAATTAACATTCATTAGCATATAAGCGACGAGTTATCCGATCTCAAGCTCTCTTTCAACCGAAGCCGGATGATCGAATTGATGGATTGATCGGACTGATTGCTGAATTGATTTGTTGCGATCCCCAGGTTTGCTATCCAGCCTCCAACAAGTTGCATTGCACTAAAAAAGGGAGGCGTGCCAGCGGAATAGACCCATTCAGGCGCTAAATGGCAAAAAAAATAAACTAAACTCAAAACAAGTCTCACATTGCGTATACGTCACCAGACACCTGCCGCCCATTAAGACGAGTATAGAGGAACCAGCTCGAGCGCAGCTAGTCAAGGCAGGTCGAAGCGGAAATACTCTCGTCAGCCTAACTGTGTGTGCCGAGAAATGTTATTTGATTGCCTGCTGCATATTCGATAGATCAAGGTCTAAGGCTGGAGTTCATATAAAGCGCTTTGCCTATGAAAATATTTAGAAATATTTCAATATTTCCTGTACAAAGCGCACAAATTAGATCATTTCAAAGTTATTAAATATATATATAAATATAAATGTATATATTTTTTAATAATGTGCATAAAAATCTATCTAAATAGATAATACTTAATGCTTTATTAAATTTATAATTGTTATTTAAGCCGACGGTCGGACAAACGGAAGGATAGTTGTACAGACTGAGAGAGAGATCTGATAAACAGATGAATGGATGGATAGATCAACGACGGACGGACAGACACACGGAAGAATTGAGGTTCGGACGAATGACTAAACGCAGGAACAAACGGAAAACTAAATGAACGAGCAACCGGAAGAAATTGTTGAACAAACAAACAGAAGAATAGATAATCGGACGAATGGATAATTGGATGAATGGCCAATGGTATAAACGGAAGTACACACAGAGACAGACAAAGGAACAAACGGAAGAATTGGTGCTCACTCAAAGATACAAACAGAAGTATAGATAGACAGACGGATGGACGGACGGACGGACAAACAGCCAGACGAAGGAATCGATGGTAGGACGGACGAAGAAGGAACGAACGATTTACGAACGGGTAGATATATAATACATAAAGTAAAGAAAAAAGAGTAGAGGCTCTCCAATCGCTACTCAAGACGAAGCTCTTGTTTCGAAATACACATAATTTTTAAAATACCTGAAAATATCAATATGCGAATAACGGTTAGCTCTGGTCTGATATTTGAGTAGAGTATATAGAAATGCGCTGGTTATTTATGGCAGTGAATCGTGATTTAATAAACAATTGAGTTTATTTATTGCTACGACTGTCTGAACTGAACTGAATATTTATGCGAGCAGGCAGCGATTGATGGCGCCAACGATCGGATTCCACGCTGCCGATCATATTATAATATGCGACCTGGCTAGACTCGACTGGACTCCAGTTAGGGTACTTATTATTTGAGTCATTTGGGATTTAGTCCAAAGTTCAGTGGACTGTCTATGCGCGTTGCACATGCAACTGTCCAGCGCTTTATGTCAACAATTATAATCAATAAAGTGAGAGTCCTGCGGGTCCTGCCAGTCCTGCTACGACATTAGCTGTTATTAGTTGCCTTTGCGAGTGCAAGTGGAAAAGTTCAGCATGAAATTGGCACGGAAAATAGTTTTGTGGATTTTGCCGCTGTTCCTGTTGTGTTTCCTGCTGACCATTAGCGAGGCCTATTTGAATAATGTGCGTGTGGAAGAGATACCCTTTAAGCGAATGCAGCCGCGTGCGGCCAGCCTAAAGGGACGACGTCCTGGTGGCATTCATCTGATCTCCAGTCTGGAGCACCAGCGCACTTTTCTTCATCTGTTTCATGTGCCCTGTGAGTATAGCAAATGTCATAATTCACACTTATTCTTCTTCTTCTTCTGTATGCCTATTCTTTACTCTTCAGATATCATTTGTTTCTATGCCGCCAAGGGCAAGTGGCCCTATGTGCCGGGCTTTATGAAGACACGCGTCGATAGCGCTGCCAAGAGTTTCTTTCATCAGAATGACAGTTTCATAAAGCAGTTCTGCACCAAGTGGATACAGGTCAAGGAATGCTTCAGACCCATCTTTGGTGAGTCCATATCTAACTCAGAGCGAGTTGATTTCATCTATTTCCAAACCAAAATTGTAGATAAATCAAATGAAACGGAGTTGGAAATTTTGGAGGCGCAAAAGCAGAAACAAAGCTGCAACTGCGAAAAGTTGGTATCCACGGAGTCGCCAGTGCCTGTTGTATACTTTGATAAGAACTACATTGGCAATGTCAGTTCGGAGACCATTTTGACCACCATCGAGTTTCTTGAGAGTTTCTTGCCGCCGCCTACTAAAAAGCACAAGCGCAAGAATCGCGTACGTGGGCGCTTAGATGAAATTGATATTGATTGAACATACAAAAAAGCATTTTACAATAACTTAACAATATCGCTTTATCGTTTAAATAAATGATACGTTAATCTTAAAAATATAATTCAAAAAATGCCGCCGATTGTCATACACATACATAAAAAAGCGTTGCCACCTAGTCAGAATTTGAATTCGATATATGTTAACTAACAGCAGTATTTATGTATGCCATCAATGTTAATAACAGTTGAGTACTCGTTAGGTTTCTGAGAATGCCATCGGTTCGATAGTTGTTTAAGATTGTTGGACGCGTGTGGATGTGCGGTGAACGGTCGAAAATCGTAATAATAATAATTAATATAAAGAAGCACCGCAAATGCATACAAAAAGCAAACGCCGCATTCAATTATTCAACGTATAAACGTTATTTATATAAAGTCTGATAATTGCCTAATTAAAGGGAACGACTTATTTTGTTAAAGAATTGAAACGTAGCCAAAGTATTTAAAGCGAGAGAGCGGCAAATAGAAATTTGCCACCAACACATTTTTTTTATTATTGCTTCCTATCCAAATTCGTGCATCGCGTGTGTTTTACGCGGCATTGTTGACGCGTGTGTGTGTGTGCGTGCGTATTCAACACAAAGAGAGTGCGAGAGATATAGCAAAAATACTTTTGCTGCAACTTTTTGGTGCCATACTCACTAAGGAAACTTTCGTTATACGTACGTGTATATACCTCGTACGTGTGTGTGTGTGTGTGTGTGCAAGTGCAAGGCACGTGAATGTCGCTGAAAAACCAACAAGCCTATCAACCGCTACCAACTGCCGCGGCCGCCATGGACAATCCGGCGATGAGCAACAGTAGTAGTAGCAGTGGAAGTAACGAGGATGTTGCCCGACTAGCTCAGAATGGGATACCTCCGACATACTCGTCACAACAGCTGGTTTCGTCAGATTCTGATTCCATGGAACACCATCGCTTGCATGGAAACGGTATAGTCCCCCAACCCCGATCAAGACCAGCCATAAGCAAAAGACAATGGCTGACAATATCGGTGCTCTGCTTTGTTAATCTCATTAACTACATGGATCGTTTCACAATTGCGGGTAAGTTGTTGTACTCCAATTGGACTACGTATCAGAAAGTGACACATTCCAATAGCAATTCAGCAATAGACAAGAAGCGTGACCCGCATGCTGCGCTAATTGCCAGCCGCGACGTCACTTTCACCAATTGGAAGTCACACAGGGTCTCTCTCTATTTCTCTCTCTATTTCTCTCTCTCTCTTTCTCTCTCTCTCATTTGTATTTGCTGCTGTTAACTGATAGCACAAGGCATATATGATTATCTTTGTTACGTCAAAACTGTAAACAGTCTAAATTTCTGACGTCTTTAACAATATTAAGCACTGTTCATACAAACCAAGAAGAAACAGACGTGTGACTAATTCACATTTAAATTTTGGCGTATCGTTCCAACTGCGCTAATGTTTTTCTTATCTGAATCATTTTTGGCTTATGTACTGCTTGCACCTAGCCACTACTGTGGGTGAGTGCAAAGTAATCAGTCAGGCCTTTCGTCAGTTCTGTATTTCATTTAATCTAACACTTGTGTGCGAAACGTAGCGCCTGATGTGGCGTGATGGAAACACGATCCATGCGCATTCACAGTTGTCAAACGTTTTACATATCTAAAAAAAACTCATTTTTAAAATCTAATATGAATGTTCCAGTTGGACGTCAACAACTGCACTCGTTCAGATTTTGAAGATTTCTAGCTTTTATTTATTACAAAATTCAAATAGTGTTTCTGTTATACTGGATAGAATATTACCTGCCTTGTCACCAGATTTGTGGACGCATCGGGTAAATCTTAGCTTTAGGCAAGGATACCAAATTTCAAGTCTCAAGATTCAAGTTCAAGACGTGTATCATGTATCTGGTTTCAAATTCCGTTCATAAGTGTTTACGTCTTCAATTTAAAATTCGCAAGAATTTTCAATGGATTTGTTTAGTTTCCTTTGTTTACTGCGACACTGAAATCAGGAGACGCAATGTAATCAACTGCTTTAACACTTATTGTGTACATACGTACATGTATTTGTATAACAGATGAGGGAATTATTATTATGGCGTGATTGTTATGTGAATCATTTGTTGTTTTACAATCGTTCACAAGTAAGGGCAAAGCAGGAGTAAACTCGCTTCCAGCAATTACAGCTCAAAAGCGGTTAACGGCTATCGGTAAGCGGCTAGCGGCTAGCGGCTAAGCAACCAGTTGCACTCTTCTTGCTAAAGTACATTGCAAACCAGTTGTTAATTTCAAACTCAAATGGCTGCTCAAATGACCCATCAGCACAGCTGGTAACATTTCTATATGCCAATTAGTTATTTAAATATATATGTATGTTGTATATTATATATTTATTTATTCGCATCTTAAATTATTTTGACTTGGCCTTTGAGTTGAATTTTGCAAGTTTTACCTACCGTTATGCATATACAATGAACTTGGACTCTTGAGCTCGATCAGCAGTTTTTTGCCATTGATAACATTTTGAAATCAAGGGCACATAACAGCAGCAAAAGCTGTTACCTAACATTGACAGTAACCATGAATCTTATACATTTAACATGCATCCTAATGTTAACAGCAACTTAACTTGGGCTATACTACTCTTAAGCTAGTTAACATTCTCATGTTAAATTTAACATCAGAACAAACTGTTAACTACCTAACTGCTTATCGTGTGTCATTAATCAGCCTAAAGTCTGTAATAAGCCACCAAATGCAAATATCGTACGATTCTTATAATCAGTAATCAGGGTAGAGAAACTCATGACCAAACCGACAGGAAATGATACATTTATATACATACAATTGTGAACAAAATATATATATATATTTATATAAATTGGGCGATAAGTTTTATATGCGGGAAGAAAACCAACAACAAACTCGATATACAATTATTCATCATGTTTGCGCTTATTCATATTCATATTCATATTCACAATCAACCATCAGTGTGGGCGTGGGCCAATAAGTTAACAATTTTCTCCATAATCGTCGAATCGTATTCACTTGATGGGCATTATATATATATATATAGCAAAGTCGATAAATCAAAAAAATGGGCATTTACTTTGCACTCGGATGTGTTTTGACATATTAACTGCTTGAGAGACTTTAGAAGATCTGTGTAAATAAGTAACTTATCTGATTTATTTCTGTAAAAAATTACAAACAAAAAACTGTTTGCTAGCTACTTAACATTTAATAGAAATGTTATTAAGGAATGAGTTGTATACTGCCAACAGCTGCTTAACATAGTGTAAATATGTTAAAGCAATAATTACTCCTTTATATTGCTAGCAGGTTCTTAACAGATTGGTTTATATTGGTAACGGGTGCTGAGGATGTTACGAAAATATTAATGAACTGTCACTAAATAAATATAATTATCATTTAGACATTTGTTGTTGTTATTTTTCACTACCTTGTCATAAATAATTGGTCTGGATGCGCCTGCAGTTGATAGCAGTTAAGCGATAAGCGTTATCTGTTATCTCCTAATTAGGTATTATTGCTTCTATCAAAGGCCGTGCTATTGATTGGATGTGTGTGGGTATGTGTAGGTGTAAATCAACTCAAATGAATTGCAGGTGAGGCACGTAGTTTGCACTTGATGGCACGTGGTTAGAACCGATTTAAATAATTTGTCAGTCCAAATATTTGCAATATATACCTGTATGCATATATATATATATATATATAGTTTTGAGTATTTCGAAATGTGCTCGCCTTCATTAACATTAAATTTAAGTGTTAGCTAAAATGTTGTGCCACACTATTTGAATGTGTTATATATCGCGCGATGTCTGGCATCTATTTAATATTATGCATTATGCATTATATTATTATGCTTGGCCGCTCAACGTGACCCCAAGCAAAAGCTGAAAGAAAAATAAAAAATGTTGAAAATAAAGCCAAAAACAGATTGCGGTTTATTTGTTGGTTTACATCGCAATTTATCGCCTGATTTTTTCGTTTATCCAATTAATTCACATGCCTAATTTTAACATTCATTCATACAATACAAAATTGAGAATAAAATATATAAAAAATAAAATAAACGGCTGATGCCAGCTGTAGGAATTTTCAAAGTAAAAACAATATATATATATATATATATATATATATATATCTATATATATATATATATATATGTTTATATATATTTATATATTCATGTATTGAACTTTGTTCTATATGTCAGTATCTTTTAAAATTTTAAAATACCAATTTAAATTCTATATAATATATATACACATACATATACTTATGTATCTGTTAAACAGGCCACCACTGGCTGCTACGTAATTTGTTGGCCACTTTCCAACTCAAAGACCATTCAAACAAACAAAAAAGCAAAAATAATACCAAGTACAATAATTGTCAGCAGTTTCATTGCTTGCATTCGGTATTTTCTTTCTTTTCCCTTCTTTTTTTGTTAAGTTTATTTACTAAAAAAAAAGCTAGTCGCATGTTTAGCGAAATCGTTTTATGCTAAAATATTACGTGATATTTTCTTTGTTGAAAATTTTGAAACTTTTGGGTATCTTTATTTATATATTTTGCATTTTATTTAAGTCTCTTTTTGCATAACAATTTGTTGAATTCAGTTTTAACAAATTGTACGATATTCCCAGGCAAAAAAACTTTCATTTTATTCATTTATCAATTTCACTATTAATGGGAAATATACAGTTATCTCACGTTTATCAACTATGAAGTCTCGACTGGGAATTATTAAAAAAACAAAAAAAAATCATTTTGGCTCTAGCGAAGCTTATAAAGTGTTCAAAGAAGGGGCTTGGCATATGCTTGATTCTATCTAAATAGAAACGAGCCCACAAATATTATATAATTGCTAAAGATATTTTTTATTATTCAGTTTAAAGAGCTGATTAAACATTTCAACATTTTGGGCATTTGGTCACACTCTGTTAATGCCTTTACACAAGCTATCATTTACATTTATGTGTTTACAATTACATTAAACGTAAACTTCTTACATTCTTTTATGCTAATTCTGTAGTTCAAAGAGCTAAGCTTGGACACACAGACACCACACATACATGCATACGTTAAACATTTTGAACGTTAAACGATGAGCCCAGGCATCGGCAAATCTTTCTTTCTATTGAATATATATGTTCTTTTGTTGTCGTCTGCTTGTGCATTGCACAATGTGCAAAATGTTGACGTTGATTTTGTTTTGCTGCATTTTTTTGCATTATTTGAGCGTCATTTTTGTTGCCTATGTCAATGACCGGCAGCAGGCGTCGGCGACTAACGCGACAAAAGAGTAAATCGACTCTTAAGCTCAAATTCAATTAGAGGTGTGAACGCTTCAGAGAGAGTCTGTGCTAGTATACAGATGTGCATGTGTGTATGTGTAACAGTGTGTGTGTGTGTGTGCTTAAAACTTTACTTTTGTGTTGTGTATTGATGCGCTTCCATTTTGAACGATTTCTTTTTCCCCTCCAAAAGAAAGTGGCATACATATGTAAACATCAAGCTTTCCCAAAAAAAATTCAAATTTATAAAGAAAAAACGGCACATTAACAGTGTCAGTTAATGTCGGTTAAAATCATCTCAAAGTCGCAGTACTTCAGGTTGTAAATCGCGCGATTTTTCAAGGCCAATCACAATCGCTTTCAAGTTAGTAACAGCTTTTTGTTTTCTTTTTTTTTCATATTAATGAGGCAGAGCGTCGTTCCACTTTGTGCAGTAGCCATTCTTGGCAAGCAACTGCCGCTCGATAAGTAACTGCTACTAGCTGGCTGTGAAGTCTAGAGCGTCACAGCTAGCGAGCGTAGGAGAAAGAGAAGAGAACAGCGAGAGATCGCAAGAGAGCGATGAAAAAACTGGTTCTAAAATTACACACACAAGTTTCTATAACCGGCAAAAATAAATTCCCGATCGAATGCGCAAGCATTTGTCGCGACGTTTTGTCTCACCTCCTCCTCCATTCTCTCTCGCACTCCAATTGCAGTAGACGGGCGCAGAGCCATAAACAAACCTTAGCCCTGCTACTATTGCCTGTCCAACACACACACACATGTACACCAATGCAACACATAGATGTTTACAAAACTTTTCGATGCGGCTTACACACCCCACATTGCATTTATCGCGTGGCCGCTCAGTTGGCGGCCGTATGCCGTTACGTCACTGGCTAAACAATCGCGCTGATTGGTTGAAAACATCGTACGATAAACTCGTATAAAGCGAAATGTGCAAAAGACCCAGAAAATAAAATGAGAAAATATAAAATAAACAACGCGTCAGCCGAACATTTGCGGCTTGCTGATTCACTTCGTTTGACTTCGTGCCACGTAGTCGAGCATAGCATTCGGCATTTTCTGTTTTCGTTGTCCGCTTGTTCGCGTTTCGTTTCGCTGTCCACTCACTTGTTGAGCGTTTTTGGCCATGTATCGCTTTTTGGAATACCGGCGCTAGCGACCTTCCCTTCGTTTCGGTTCTCTCGCCCCTTTCATGCACAATTTATTGGCCATTGATCATCTCTGAATTTTAATATATTTATTTTGAACTGCTTTTGGGCTCTACGGAATCGTAGTGCATAATGACGTTAACTGTTAACGGCGGCCCCAATAAATAGTAGGAAATGCATTGAACAGTTATTGACTAGGTCGTGTTTGTAATATTATTCATTATTGCTATTAGTGACTTGCACATCCGTCCTCATAATTTGAATTTTAAATATGTACGCAAGCATGAGATAATCAGCTGGTCATATGAAAAGAATGTCTGGGTTTTGTTTTTAATTTATTTTCATTTTGATTCCGGATTTTGCGTTATCAGTCGCACATCAGCTGTTCCCAAAAACAAAGTAAATAAACGTAGATTCATTTTTATCATTGTTATTTTTTATGGCATTGACTAAAAACTGATAATAGTGAATAATTACGACAACCAGAACTTAAATTTCGTTAGTCTTGTTCTAAAAAATTTGTTTACATTTCGTAACTTAAAAATAAAATGATTCATCATGACTAAATGCCGGAATTTTATGTGTCAGAGTAATAATCAATTGAGCAGCGACACTATATTTTTAGAACTCTGAAGCATAAATCTGTTAATTGTGGTAAATGCTGTAAAAATGTTGTTTTTGTTAACAGTACTTAAGTAACTTGAATTTTATATCTTCTCTTCCCATCTCTCTCTCTCTCCCATTACATACTCGAAGCATAAATATGTTAGTTTTGCTTGCTGCTGTAAAAGTGTTGTTTCTCTTAACAGTGCTTATGTTAATTCTATTTTAAAATTTCCCTTCCCACACTCCCGCTTTCTCTCTCTCTCTCTCTCTCTCTCTCCTTTTCTTAGTTATTAGATATTGTACTAAATGTTACAATAACATATCTTTTGAAGATGTTCTAAATTTTATATTAGCACTGTTAATGTTGTAATTGAACGCGTAGAGCCAGCTTATTTTATGTTGCAACTCTCACCTGCAACTTTTGTATCCATCGTAAAATCAAGAGTATTTACAGTTTAGTTAATTGCCAGCTGTAAGTAGTCAACTGATCTACCAATTTACGTAAGATCATAAGAGCTTTAATATATGGTTGTTATATTTACTTAACCAATTAACAGGAGCGGCAGCTGCTGCAACACATGTGAGGCATATTAAACAATCACGCGCTTATCGCAAATGGAGACCCATACATTTTTTAGTCATATGTATATATGTATAGTTACAAAATCTAATCTTCCTCTCTCTCTCTCTCTCTCGCTTTCCAGGTGTTTTGGAGGACGTGAAGAAAACCTTTGATATAGACAATGATTCTGCAGGCCTCTTGCAGACAGTATTCGTCTTATCTTATATGGTTTTCGCGCCACTCTTTGGTTATTTGGGCGATCGGTATTCGCGTCGTTGGCTAATGGTTGTGGGCGTGGCTCTATGGTCAACAACCACACTGTTGGGCTCGTTCATGAAAAACTTTGTAGGCTTCATAACGTTCCGCGCCTTGGTCGGCATCGGCGAAGCCTCCTATAGCACCATAGCCCCGACGATTATCTCCGATTTGTTTATAGATAGCATGCGCTCCAAAATGCTGGCTTTCTTCTACTTTGCCATTCCAGTGGGCTCCGGAATGGGGTAAGTTATCTTTGAGAATAAAGTTAAATTAGAAACATATATATATGTTGGCATGAGCTCGTTGAAAATGGGAAATGGTTTTGAGCAAACGTATGCAACAGGCAGCAGGCAGCAGGAGGCGTGGCAGGTTGCATAGAGTAAATGTGTGCTTGATAAGATCATAGAGCAGAGTTAAGAGAGAGCAGAGCATAAGAGAAGAGTTGCGGTATCTCTAAGTCGGACACTCCCCAATAGGACCCTCTAAATTGCTTAAATCATACTCAAGTACGTTTCTATATGCTCAGACGAATAATTTAGTATAAGATTAGGCTAAATAATCAATCAAGATCAGCAACCGGTTCCCATATCAGCTAGACCAGGCAGCACAGACAGTAGACAAGGCGAAAACAAAGTAGTGCGTGCGGCTGTTGATAAGGCGCAGCTGCTTATCAGTGGACATCGTCCGAGTCGCTCTGTGGCATGTTCGGCTCAACGCAGCCAGCATCAGTAGCTCTGCTGTCGCTCGGTGCAAAGTTCGCTCATGCAGCAGCCGTGAGAAAGCCGCAGCGGCAGCTCCTGGCTTTCGATTTGTATTCATTCACCTTTGGGGTTCAGTTGAAAGTTTAATTGTGAATAAATTTAGCTTGAATTTATTTTGTTATTTATAGAAAGTCGTCAAATCAAATGTGAATTTAAACTCAATTAGGGCGCAGCTCTTAAGTGAGGTCAATTGCTAGAATCTCGCTGTCAATTGGTTGCCAATGCAGGCCCCTATGCTGCTTGCCTCATGCCTCATGCCTCATGCCACTGCCACTTGCCACTTATTTATGTTACTAATCATATTTGATGCACCCGCAGCTATATTGTGGGATCAAAGACGGCTGAACTGGCCAACGATTGGCGCTGGGCATTGCGTGTCACGCCCATTTTGGGCGTTTTCGCCGTCGTGCTGCTGGCGCTGCTGAAGGATCCGAAGCGTGGCGAAAGCGAAGGCGTCGCACAGGTGGAACGCGAGAGCTTCTGGGTGGAGATCAAGGATCTGCTCACGAATCGCACCTTCATTCTGTCGACAGCTGGCTTCACCTGTGTCGCCTTTGTGACCGGCGCCCTGGCCTGGTGGGGTCCCAACTACATTCATCTCGGCCTCAAGATGCAGCCAGGCAACGAAAACCTCAAGCAAGAAGAGTAAGTTGTCAAACGCCCAAAGAAGAAGTCGCCATTTCTTTCTTGCCCCAAGCAGCTATAGACTTGACACTCATCAAAATTGTTGTTGTTGCGCCCTCGTCGAATTGTTGTTGTAGCATCTCCTATAAGTTTGGCCTGGTCGCAATGGCCGCTGGCCTGATTGGTGTCCCGCTGGGATCGGTGCTGGCCCAGCACTATCGCACCCGCGTCGCCAACTGTGATCCCTATATATGCGGCATCGGATTGTTCGTATCGGCGCCGATGGTCTTCATCGGTCTGCTCATGGCCCGCAGCAGTGCGACGCTCTGTTTCCTTTTCGTGTTCGGGGCGCAGGTGGCGCTCAATCTCTGCTGGTCCATTGTGGCCGATATATTGCTGGTAAGCAACAGTTAGAGCAAGAGCAAGAGCAAGAGCAACATCAGCAGCAACAGCAACAGCAACAACAACAACTAGAACAACAAATAACTTTGTTTTTGCCACATTTTGCTAACCAAAAACTCTTTCTGCTGCCTTCCTTCCTTTATCCTACTCTCCCGCCATCCTTAACCTGGCCGAAACGAATTTAGTGTGTCATTAATATTTGGGATAATTACAATGGTCGCCGGGCTGGTGGGCGTGCCGCTGGGTTCAGTGCTATCGCAAGTATTGAAGAAACGCTATCCGTCCTGCGACCCCGTCATCTGCGCCGTCGGCCTGCTGATCAGCGCCCCCTTGTTGACCGGCGCCTGCCTGATCGTCTCCAAGCACCCGATCGGCACATATGTCTTAATGTTTTTCGGTCAGTTAGCTTTAAACCTGAACTGGTCAGTTGTTGCGGACATTTTGCTGGTAAGAATCAAACGGCGAATCGGCTCGTATCTATCTCTCGTGCTACTCGCAACAAAACAAAAGAAAACTTAATCCAAAGCACACAAATTGCAATAGATAATTGATAACTATCTTTATCTTTATATTTATCTACTTATTGACTCTGCTCATCTTGCACAATTCTCAATGTAATTTTACTTTTATGTTTCGATCGATCAATTTATTAACTTTTTACTGTTGTAACAATCACACACACACACACACGCACACACACACACCTGCTACACACTCTGCTTTGTATATGTATATATTTTGTGTTAGTCTTTAAGTTGGCATTGGTTTTATCTGCAAACATTTCGTCTTCATCCAAGATTTTAAATCCATAAACTCTTAGATACCCTTTTAGCATCTGGAATGTAATCAGGTTGAATGTGTTTTCTAGACCAGTTCAAAAGTTAATATGAGACTTGATAAGAATTCCACACGAGACGTTCTGTATATGAAAATCGCACAGATAGTCTATATATATATATAGTCTATATATGCATATATATATATTTACAGTCAGGCGCCATCGACTGCATAATATTGTCTAATTTTGTAGCTATAGCTATAAAACTCTTTCCGTCCGATTTATATATATTATCAATCAAGGAATTCTACGGAGTAACTCAAATGCTTTAGTTTAGTTTAACAGTAGATCGATTCATTAACTATATTATATTTTTGCTATATTATAATATATCCATAAAAAAGTAGAATATTTCCATATTGCAGACATAGATCTAGAGTGAGTCATAATATCGCATATCTATATCATATATCTGTTCTGGATGTGGTGTTGGTAACTCATTCAAAGAACCCTGTGATGGTCTATCCTATACTTGTTATAAGGTGGTTGGCCAAAAACTAATCTACTTAAAGTCCTTTACCGCTAGACAAAGTCTTAAAGTCACGCACAATTTAATCGAATATTCCTACCCTCTGTTCCGGAAAACATCTCCAAAGCAATCTCTCGAGCTGCATAGCTCTGCATATCATGAGACCTAGAAAAAAACTTATTATTGCTTTCACTCCTTGCATTGTAATGCTCTAGACCAGGGGCATTTGTCACCCTGTCAGCATCCCCCATTAAACAAGGCGCCTCGAGGGTGTTGCATGAAAGCGGGCCAAACTGACAATTGCAACCCCAAAGGTTTGATTACTGCTCAAATTTCCTTGTCTGATTACTTGTATATATATATAACAGATATATATATATATATATATATATATATATATATATATATATATATATATATATATATGTATGTATATACATTCCTTGACACACCACGTCCCAATTTGATGTGGAACAAGTGTAATCAAATCTAATATTCATTTTGCTGTAAGCGTGCCACAAGTTTCAGGTCTTACAGATATATATATATACATATATATACTGCAAATTTTTGATCTATTTTTGGTATTTTGAGAACAGTTCCGCTTTGGCAACGGGACGTTTGCTTAATGTTTGCTTCCTGCTGTTCACGCTGACATACAAAAACAAAAACAAAATCAAAAAATAAATTTTCAATTAGTTTTTTAACAGTGCCAAGAAAAAAGTAGCTTTCGAGTAGATATTTGTTTTTATTTGTTATGTATTTACGCACACATACACACACACACACACACACACACTGCACATTTAAAACAGTAAACAGTTAAAGTAGTTTAAAAACAAAATTTGTAAATTTGTAAAATTATAAAAAAAAGTAGACAACAATTTGCCACAGTTGAGTTTCGGTCGGTCGGTCGGTCGGTCGGTCCGTCGTTCGTTCGGTCAATCGGTCGGTCGAGCGTACAGAACTGTTCCCAAGCGCGCACCACACACCAGCTGGCTGTTCCCATTGGCGATGCATGTAATTAGTGACACAAACCAAGTAGCTGTGACACACACTTTATCAAAAGTGGCGCCATCTCTTGTGAGCTTTTGACTTAGTAGACACCCACACACGCACGCACTTAACACACTGCTTAAGCTTAATTTATTCTAGTTACTGTTGTTGTTGATAACACTGCTTGTGGATTTGTTGCTTTACGCAAAGCTTTGCATTGCAAATCTAAAAAAAATACTAAAATACTATACTGTTAACCCTCATGTAGTACGTGATTGTGCCATCCCGCCGCTCCACTGCCGAAGCCTTTCAAATACTCGTATCTCATGCACTCGGAGATGCAGGCAGTCCGTATCTGGTGGGCGCTGTAAGTATATGAAATCTATACAAATTATATTTTAATTAATATATTTATATATATTATCACTTTAGATATCGACGGCCATTAGAAACAGAATGATCGCCGAGTCGAACACCGTTAATGATGCGATGATAAAAAGCATGTCGCAATTGGCGGAAAATGCCACGGAATTTTACTCAGATAACCTACCCTCCAGGGTAAGTTAGCAACTATAGCAATTGATGTATACGAATATTTGAATTATCAACTCGAATCTTGCAGTCTGCGGTGGACCTTTCAACATTCGAATCGTTGCAATATTCGCTATTCTCCACCACATTTGTTGAGGTGTTGGGCGGCGTCTTCTTCCTTATTACCGCCTGTTACATTGTTAATGACAAGGCAAAGGCGACAGCTGCCGTACTGGGTAAGCATAAACATACATATATAAATACTCACACAGGCACACATACATACAGAGATATGTGTATATATATATATATGCCGAGTCAAGGGTCTTTAACTAACTTTTCGGCGCCCTTCTCAGCTGACAACGACTCGAGATCGGCGCCCGATCCATCCAATCCGAAAGCACTTTTCGAAGCGGAATGCCTGGTCAATTTCACAGACATTGCATTGCGAGAGCGCGCGTGAGCAGCTTAAAGAGGCTTTAAACTAGGTTTCCTTTCTTGTTTGATAGCCACAAAAACAACTTTCGGTAGGTGTGGGACAACAAAATTGCAAAATATTTCAAATTCTGTTTTTGTCTTTGTTCAGTTCGTGTGAGGCTAAAGAAACTAACGAATCATGTTTTGAGCGCAAATTCCACATTGACATGAGGCTCCCATAATCGCACACACACACACACTTACACATAGATACACCGGCACACAGATACATCTCACACACACTCGCTCACTCGCTCGTTCCTTTGTTCGTTGAGATTTGTTGATGCTGTTGGCAAATGCGTAAATCGCTTTGATTGTTCCGATTTTTGTCGCCTTTAACCTGTGTCTAACCTAACCTAACTGTTTGATAACGTAAACAAAAGAAATGTTACTGATTAAAGTCAATATTCATTTATTTCACTATCTTGCAGAATACAGTGCGCAGCAGCAGCAGCAGCAGCAGCCGCCGCAGCAGTCGCCGCGCAGCCGCAATGCCTAATATCAGCCGATCCAAGAAGCTTTGCTACGCACTCAGCGCGAAGGGATTCTGTGTGAATTGGCACTGACTGATTATCATCTTTAAAATTTGTATTCATAAACGAATCATCATGCATTTTTAGTAGATTCCCATAAAGGTCGAAATACGTATTTTCTTTGCTTCATTTTAGTATTTGTTTCTAAGCCACATGAGCATAAGCAATATGTTTTATAGAATGGCGCATGTTCCTATGCATACATACATACATACATACATGCATATGTATATGTACAGACACATACACTCACACACACATACACACTCTCATGTAGGTGCCGGCACATATGCAGATATATATCTTCAGCACACACACACACGCATTGTATCACTTGATTTGATAGTTAGTTTATTTTGATGTTAATGTAAGCAATCGATTTATATTACAAATATTCATTTACTCTAATATTATGGCAATCGACTATAGTTACCATTTATCATCATATGATAGATTGTAAATAGTTAGGAGCATTGGATTTTGTTTTAAACTCTCGCTCTTATCTCAGGCACACGAAAAGTTTGAATGGGCTAAAGAAAACTGTAAATATTTTAATACACGGCCATAAATATTAAGCATTAGCCTAAAAGCTCTACATACAGATATATATATATATATTTTAATTGGTTATATTTAATTGTAATCGTAGCTAGTTCGTTTAACAAATTTTTATGAAACAAGTAAGAACAAGAAATACAAATAATATATGAAATAAAATAAATTAACAATAAAACCAAACACAAATTGAATGCTTATCTGTCTGGCACTAAGTGCTAGATGTTGCAGATTATTTTTCGAAAAAATTATTGTTATTATTTTCATTCACCCAGCATGACAGCTAATCAAACTGATATGTATCAGGGTTGTTTAATCATAGCATAGCGGTACTTCATACAATGGACAATGAAACTTGATATCAAACAATAACAATTGTGACGTCACATACTCTTATACTTCGCTCTTATACCAATATATGTAGCTGCGCATTGCCAATTGATTGTACTCTTATTGTTTCTCTTTGACGAGCATATTCACAAGCAAACGCACAAACATGCTCTTGCATGCTCAAAAACAAAAAGGTTACATATCTCGCTACATTTGTCGTTAAGAGTCATTCTATACGTGCACGGGGTACTAATTTTTTGTAAGCATGAACATATATATAAGTTCGCTAAGTCCTTCGAGCTAATAAGTAAAAAACACCTCCACACTTACCGAACTCATGTTTACACAAGTGTCCCTTTTTAGTGTTTTTAGTCCGTTGTCTAGGCTCATTTTACATTCTTAGCAGACTCTGCCTTGGTCCGTATTCTTCATTATATATGACATGTTCATACTTGAACATTCTGCCAGAAAGCAGTTGTGGTTGTGGTCTAGAAATTTAATTTTAGTTTGATAACGCGTAGATGATCGGATATATTTTTTAGCCATTATTCAACTATAGATTGCTAAAATCACAGCAAAGTAAATGGTGTAAAACAAAGCCAGTTTAAAATATCTTATACTATTATCCTATAATTATTGCTATCGTAGCACACGTTTTAGCACTTTTCAACACTAATAAAGCAATTCAACCCATTTGTATTGCTGAAGTCTTATACGCATGGAAACTTCACCTGTTACGCTTAAATGTAGGCAATGCGCTGCTTTATATGAGTTGTGCTCTCCAATATAATTTACAGTGAAAATTAATCTATTATAATATAATACACGCTGTACTTGGCTGCAGAAGAATTTGTATAAGAATTAAATCCACCTATGAATTTTTTTATGACAATTGGTCCAGCATGCGCATTCCTTCGCTGCGGCTCAAAATTAGCTTACTATAGATCGAGGTCTTCGGTTTTTATGTTTGTCTCGTTTTAGCCTTTAAGAACAGTCCAACCTGAACTGACGTTTTGACATCATAGTTAAAACCCAACTACACATATGTACATAAATGTGCATACACGTAAACGGGTACTTTTTATTAATCCTTTTTTAAGAGAGCTCAATTGTCACAGTGTAAAAACATACAGTTGTCATAGCAAGCAGCTTCAAGTCGTTGTGTGGAGACTAAAGTAATCTGTGCGCGTCGACATTTTTCGACATCTTATACATTTGTGTATGTATACACGAAAACGAGTGGCAACGAGAACAAGCAAATCAGTAAAGCTCATCGCTGGACCTTATTAAATATAAATTTACAATGGCACGCTTGCATACATACACAATAATCACGCCAAAGATCTAGGATTAACTATTTGAATAACAATTAACAAATATAATTTGTCATAATGCAATCAAAATCAAAACGAATTTCTTAGTGCCAGCGGGCGTGTCTGGTCTTGTTAATGTTCGAGCTTTATGGACCGTTTTAGCTTCATGCACTAGAGAATCATGAAACAAACAACAAAGCAAGAATAATAGATAAAGGCAAGGATAGAGGAATTTGACAAAATAAACGTCAGGGATCATCGACTGGCACATATGTGTGCATGCAGACATCAGCATGTGTTTTTTTTGAGTGTGTATTTGCGTGTTTGTGTGAAGTATATAAGAAGCAAATGAAAAAATTCGAGTTCAGTTCGTTGTGAAATCTCTAGATGAGCGCAGCTTGAGTTACGCGGGTTTTTATGTAGCCCAATAAGGAAGAGGCGAGAATCGAATTGCACAAATTCGGTGCGATAAGAATTTAATAAAATGGATTACAAACCTGTAAGTTTTGGCAATTGTAATTAAATTATTAAATACATGTCTTAATCATAATAACATAAAAATGGGATATTCGTATACAGTTAAACATGAAATTTGAACTGCCCAAAAGTCCAGCTTCCACACTGCACAATGATGGAAGCGATGATAATGATGATAATGGTGATGTAGAGTATATGGGCACAATAGTTTCACCTGCGGGCGAGCAGACACTTATCGGCACCAATCAGAATCGGAGTCCAAATCCGAATCTGGCGACAATGCCTTCCCTATTGGTCACACCCCCACTCTCGCCCCTGGGTGCGCAACAGTCGAGTATGCCCTTCCTAACAGCCATGTTGTCGCAGAATAACAGTGCGAACCTCACCCAGGGCTACGTGGTGCATATACCCTGCTATCTGTGCAAGCGGCCATTCAGCGATATCGAACTACTGCGTGAGCACCTGACCATGCATGCGCGCCAATTGAATATACACCTACGTCCAGGTGCGACAGACGCACCCAATCTCTATACATTTCCTCCAACCGCCACCATTGAACCAAACAATTTTAATAAAAGTGTTCAGAAGGAGACACAACAACAGCAACGGGTGGAAACGGCGCAGGTCAGCTGCGAGGATTGCGGGAAGCACTACAGCTCCAAAGCATCCTTGAGGGCGCATCAGCGTCAACATCGGCTGCCCACTGAAAACAATAAAAGATGCTGGTCCAAAAGGCAATACAGATGCCATATATGCCGCAAGAGCTACAAACGTGAAAGCTTCCTGCACAAGCACAGGCTCTACAAGCACAGCCAACAGCAGTACTCACATGCGGAGGCAGATCCAGCTGCAGCAGAAGCAAGTGCCGAACAGAAGCAACGTTGTGTCTGGACGACAAAGGTGTTTAATGCCGTTGCGGCAGCCAATTACAGTCCGGCCACAGAGACGGCATCGAAGTATCTGCCACCGACGCCCGCAGCATCCGAGCCACTAAATCCCAGCGGGAGAACTGTCCCAAAGCAAAAGTATGCGCTGCGTTCCCCCTACTTCAATCCGTAAGTGCCAAAGCTGAAAATCAGTTTGAAATCATTAAATAAAACTCAGTCGAAATCGTTATCTTTCAGCAATCTCTGGGTGGACTACGATGCTTATATATAATAGAATGTCTATAGCGTAAATATATATGTTGTGTACCTAAGTTAATATTAAATATTTATGAAAAGGTGAAATACGCGCATAAGGTTATCTCTAACAGCATTTCTGAACAGCCCAGCTGCCGTACATACATATCTATATCTGTGTATATGATAGTATTAATAATTAAAATTGATAAGGATTCGCGCTTGATTTGCGCAATCGACTGTATCTGTTCAATATTTTCAAATAATGAATTGCTGGATTTCGAATACTCAATTTAAATTGAGTAGAGTCTGTCGATAAGGCATATTTTGAAGCTCTGAATAAATAATAAACAAAATGCTCGAGTCAGCACATTCTACATTGTATAAAAGGAAATACGATCGCTGAATGCGCTGAATCGGCTGAATATGCATACGATTCCAATCACAATTAAAACTCATTCAGTTGAGATCTGTGCCCCAACAGAGCGACGACAGCGACGGCAAAGTGAAATGTGTTGCAGTAAGTATATTAAATTCGAGTCGAGTGATAAATTAAATACGCTGTACTTATAAGCACAATCAAAATTCTTTAAGAATATAATATTTATGTATGTATATTATAAGTATAAAAGATGATGTTTAAGACAAAATTCTATTTGTATTTTAAATATATTTAATTAAGATCGTAACAGAGAAAACATAAGATTGATGTGAACAATAAGATGACTTGAAATATATGTGCTGAACTATCTCAATGGAAAGAACGTTGTTATACCTGAATTTAAATAATTATAAGCTCCAATTTGAGAATTTTGGGTGCAGAAACCATAAAATCATATCAGAGTCATGTCATATTTAGTCAATTCTATAGTCAATGATTTCTATGTTATTCACTAGAGTTGCTAAAATATGCCATTATTTGGGAACTTTTCTGTATAACAGAAATTATTATTAAAATGAAATCAAGCTTGAAATATTTTTTTAATACGTACATATGTATATAAATTGATACACATACAGTGGTTCACAGCTTATTTCAACCAGCACCTTAAAAAAAGTTTGTTGGGCTATAAAATCTAAACTATTGAGGGTATCCCGAAAATTTAAATGTAGGTTGTTAGTGTGATGCTTAAACTAATAAAAAATCAATTCATTTATTTTTTAAATATTTTTTCAATATTTAATAATGTTTAAAAACTAAAAAATGAGACCAAAACAGTTCCACAGCTTATTTCAACCACAAACTTTGCAGCTGATGAAAGATCCGTTATTTTGCAATGCAACGGTAGATTCTTGTTCTATGCTTTATTCACTGTTTTCGCATTGTGATAAAATAAATTTTTGCAGAATTTTGAAAGCTCAACTTTCAGAAAAGTGAATTTAGCAACATGGGACCACGCACACCTATTGAGCAGCGGGAACTCGTTCTCAAACACTATAAAAATGGTCATTCCCGTAGAAAAATTGCTGAGATGGTTGGATTTAGTGATTCTACAGTTCAAAGCATCATATACCGGTTTGTCCGTGAAAATAGAACCCACGATAAAGGCAGAAATGCTCCAAACAAAATTTTTAATCCCACGGACGAGCGCTATATTGTGAGAAAAATCCGGGATAACCCAAGGATATCGGCTCGACAAGTAGCCAATGATGTTAAGGAGGAGTTGGGCAAGTCATGCCACCCAGAAACTATTCGCCGTGTGCTTCGGGAACATGACTTTAATGGCAGAGTACCACGCAAGAAGCCTTTTATAAGCGACAAAAACAAGAAGTGTCGCTTAAAATTTGCCCAGGAGCACTTGCACAAGGACATTGGATTCTGGAATACTGTTTTATTTTGCGATGAGTCCAAATTTAATTTGTTTGGGTCGGATGGGCCCTCATATGTGTGGCGTAAGCCTAACACAGAGCTTGACGCAAAACATTTGAGGGCTACAGTAAAGCATGGCGGAGGCAGCCTTATGGTTTGGGCCTGTATGTCAGCAGCCGGCGTTGGGAACTTAGAGTTCATTGAGACTACGATGGATAAAGGCAAATATCTTGATATTTTGAAGTCCAATTTAATTCAAAGTGCTCAGAAACTGGGCATAAAGGAGGACTTCAGATTTTATCAAGATAATGACCCGAAACACACTGCGGGAATTGTCCAGACTTGGTTGATCTGGAAATGTCCGCACGTTATGAAACCACCAGCCCAGTCACCAGATTTAAATGTAATCGAGAATTTGTGGTCGATTTTGGAAAAAAACATTCGCAAACACAATATATCCAACAAATCGGACCTAAAAGCTGCATTGGTTGAAGAATGGGACAAAATTACTCCAGAAGTCACCAAAAAGTTGGTTGAATCTATCCCAAAAAGACTTAAAATAATAGTTAACCAAAAGGGTGGTCACACTAAGTATTAATTTCTTATTATTTTATGTTATTTTAGTGTTATATAATGTTATTTCATAAGTGGTTGAAATAAGCTGTGGAACTGTTTTGGTCTCATTTTTTAGTTTTTAAACATTTTTAAATATTGAAAAAATATTTAAAAATTAAATGAATTGATTTTATATTAGTTTAAACATCACACTAACAACCTGCATTTAAATTTTCGGGATACCCCCAATAGTTTAGATTTTATAGCCCAACAAACTTTTTTTAAGGTGCTGGTTGAAATAAGCTGTGAACCACTGTATGTATACAAAAGTAACCTGCTATGTGCAAATGATCGCCCCGCGCATGTCCGAACTGTATTCTTCGCCCGAGTGACCATTCCTCAAATAAATAACATAGATAAGACCAATAATTTGTTCAAATCTTCACACATATAAGAGAAAATTCCTCTTAAAACCCATAAATATATATATTGTTTATATACATATATACATACATATAAATAGATATATACATGCACACACGCAATCATACATGCACGCACACACAGTCATACATATCATATTCTTGAATTCCATTTGTCGGACTTCTTTTGCTTTCCACAATAAAATGCACAACTAAACTTAAGTATGACATATACATACACATATAAACACATATGTATATTTGTACACAGTTACAGTTAACTACAGCAATGGGGATGAATATCCCTGCTGTGCATACCCATGTTTCAAGTGCCATTGAAATATTTCCTTTTTATGACCTTTATCACGCATTCTTAACATTATACATACAGACACGCACACAAGCATACAAGCGTATACAGAGCGGCTCATTCTATCGCTCAGGAAGGCAGCTTCGTTAGTCGTTGTTCACAGTTCTAATCTTTCTAGCGACGCGGACAGACCGACAAAGCAAGTATTCAAACATATACAATTTATGTATTTGTGAATGCATAAGAGATAAATATTATAGAGGCATTCGGTTAGTATAGCCTTTGGGGAAATATGAAGTTAAATATTCCCACTCAAGTTTGGTATAGTTATAAGAGTTGAAGTCGTATAAGTGTGTAGCATAATTAGTTGATTTACAACACTGATTAATTGCAGACACAATTTGATATGCTGCTCTCACAACTGTTATCGAATTCGATAAGTCAAATCGAAATGGAAGGAGAGGAAGTTGATTTTAATGAATACGGCATAAGGTGTTTCCTTTGCCAACAGCTTTACACGGACATCGATGAGCTGCAGCAACATTTGCAGGAACACTCCATTGAAAGTACTGAAAATACAACTCCTACATATTACAATTGTGATGTTTGTGGCAGAAGTTTACGTTCGGAAGAAGAGCTGAACAAGCACATGGCACGATTTCATGCGACCCATCTGATTAAAAAAGATATCGAATCCGGCAATCGATTTAAATGCGATAAGTGCAATGATATCTACATAAGTTTTAATTACTTAGAGAAACACATACAATCGGCACACAATGCTAGAGATGAGAGAACGAATTCACCCTTACGAAAGGATCACAAACTAGTCACGCGTATAATACCAGCGAAGCAAAAATACGCACCACGTTCTCCCTTCTTCAATCCGTATGTTTAGCTAAAATGCAATCATTTCGCATTCTTCATTCATAATAACAAATTACTTTTTTTTTTAGAAATCTGCGACGAGATTGCGATGCGTATATATAAAGATTTACTAAGAAATAATAAACAATTTCTAAATTAACTAATTGCGATGATCTTACTAAAATCATTGATGCAATTTCTAGAATTCATGATCATCAAATAATACTCACATTGCAGTGAATCAGAATCTGACACCATAAATATATTTTTTATAAAATATAGTATACATAGAGCGTTATTTGGAATTGGCTGTGGAATTAAATGGAATCAAAAAATGATTTTGCAATAATTTAATCAAACTTGTATCGGCAATAGGCGGATTAAATTACAAGAGTTTCAAATATGAAATTATTTTTCACTTATCAAATTTGGAATTGAAAGAAATGTTATATTTTTTTAATAAAAAACCTCACCGACAGAAAATGTGTTTTGCTTTATTTAAAATTTTATTCTTGCTTTCTATTTGTATGGTATATGATTTATAGTTTATAGTACAACATATGTTTATTTATTTCGCTCGGTTGTTTAATACATTTCAATGAAATCAATTGATTATTCGCAATTCCTTGAATCGTACAAAAGGTGTTTTTCGCCCAAATACTTTGCATGTGTGTTTTCTTGAATTATCTAGATTTGCATTTTAGTTTTTGTCTCTTGTTATATTACGCATAATATATATATGTATATTATATATATATGTATATTATGTATATATCTATATCTTTTTAAGCTTAAGACAAACATTTCTTAGCAGTCGAATGCATTCCCACACAATACCAGTTAAATATACCTACTGTTCCCAGTACAAACATTGAAATATAAGTTGGCTAACTACATACGTTATAACGAACTAACTGCACACATATACCATCGTTATGTCAATCCAATACCTTATCGATAACTATATAAAATTATTTGGAAAATAAATACTATGAAAAACAGCTGAAGCAAAGGCAAATCAATGCAATAACAATCAAGATACTAAGCGTTAAGTTAGGAGTGGGAAACAGAAATAGAACGAAAGTTATAGGTTTTTTTTGTGTAATTTAAGGCTTTGTTTTTGGAACCGCAAAGCACATGTGACTAAAAACAATATACAATTTGGATTGATTGCTATAATAAATAACTATGCTCATCGCTCTCCTAACTAGTATTTGCAGGCTACGAGGACTAAAATATATATTGTGACAGCTTTTCGCCTTTCATTGTTTTTATTGAAATTGTAAATTATTTTTAAGATGTGTGTTTTTTCTTGTCTTCCTTTTTTATATTTTTTTAGTGCAATAAATCAACAAATAAATAAATACATGCACTTTATAAATTATCTATACCGCGGGCGACAGCTATTTGATTTGTGTTATCATTTTTCTCGTTTACTTACTTAGTTTTATTTTGTATATATTTAACATTCACATGATTTCATGTCTTATGCATATATCTTTGTATTGGGGAGGGGACTGTATGAATGTATCTAATATGAATCTTAGCTGGTTGCAGCATCTCCCGACTGGTCTGGTCTATCTGCCTGTCTATCTTTAGTCACCAGAGTTACAATTTTGTTGTTGCTATTTTAAGTTCGAAGAAACTCGTATTTATGTTGTATACAATAGTAGTAGGATTTTCGACTTATGTACTATTTAACCTGAGCCCGAATGTGTTGCAAAAATTCATAATATGACAAACTAGATTCACTACGATCGTCCGTTAATCTCTCAATAAACTGCGCCTTAGCAGTGCTCGTATCCCTGCAAGAAAGGATTATTAGAGTACAAATCTAAGATTGAATTGATTGAGTTAGGCTTGCCTGATAATTTGCACTAAAGGCGGATAGGGTTTATCGTAATTCAGACGCAACATAAAACGTTTCAGAGCATCACTCTCGGCGCTGACAACGTTTGGCAAACCATATACATAATCGGGTAGTTCTGCAGTCGAACGAATGCCTGCGAATGAAAGTGATTAATTTGTGAACTAAAACGATTAAGGATCCGACTTACCCAGCAAAGCTTCCAACACATCTGTGGGTACATTAAGACCCACATAGAGCATTATCAGCGTGCCGCAATCCATCAGGAATATCGAGCGCGAGTCCAGACTGAAAGATACGAATTAAATACATCAATTAGCAAAAGATCAGATGACTCTCTTAAAAGTAAAATCTTACTGCTCCGCGGACAATTGAAGACGTTGCATTTCAGGCAGCAGCTCGTCATCATCGTAATCTTCGTCCTGTGTTAAGCTTATGTTAGAGTTGCGCACATGGTAGACGAGTGCATCTATTTTGTACAGCTCGGGATAGATGTACTTCATGAGCTGGTCCAGTGGCAACGTTTTCATGCTATCCATGGCAAAGACGCGATCATCCAGACGCGTGCTGGTGCCCACGCGAAATGCGGGCTAAAAGGTCAAAGAAACAATAATTAATTAACAACAACAAATGTGTTTGTTATAGTATAAATCTTACATGCTTGAGCAGCGCCAGAATGTAAAGCGGCAGAAGGGCCAAGCTGCGTGGTGCTATCAATTGACCACTCTGGCCGGAGGGAAGATTTTGTGCAATCTTAAATGCATTGAACACGTCGATGGTCGCATTGATAAAGGCGTCCCTTGCATCCGATAGATTCGACGCTGTCGAACGATCTACGGCCATTTTGGAGAGCAATCCTATAATAGCTTCCGAGTCAGCAGAATGCATTACCTCGGGCAGGGAAGCAGTCACCGGGAGACATATGGTATGGACACGTATACGTCGTTCACCCTCGCTGTTCGTATAGAGCAACGCGGCCTGGAAGCAAATAGTCTTCACATCGGTGAGGCTCTCCTCGTACGATATTTGCATGCCATAGCCCGCATCCGGATTAACATTGGGCAGCGACAATAGATCCGTGCTGCGCACAAAGAAGTTGCCATGGAATGTGTGCACCTGCAGGCCGCGTGTACAACGTAAACGCATCACAGCTTCAAAGCCAATCTTGCGGGTGAGATAGCGCTTGAAGCACTGCTTAAAAGAGTCCACCATATGCTGTTTGGTCTTCTGGAACAGGGGAAAATGATGCACACAACCACCACTGTGTTTGCTAACGCCAGCTGCAACATTCAAAATTGATTAGAATTAGAAATGCTTTAAAGAGATTCCATTGAACCTACATATGGTGGCCATATCGCTATACTGTTGGTTCATCAGAAACAGATCGACTGCAATCTGATAGCCGGAGCACTCGAGAGCGAAACGCTTATAGAAGTCAGTCGCTGGGTTCAGATGTGCCACGTCTTTGGCCGAACGATTGTTGGGATCTTCGCGCGCTTCCAGCGCTCCGGGTCCCTTGTTGGGAAGGCACGATTGAAATACCGTTATACGACCGCCCGATGCTTGCTGCAGAGGGTAAGCATAAAATGTAGATTAGATTAGATGCTTCACTTGTTATCAGCTATTAAATCTTCTTACCATCAGCTTGAAGGCCACCTGGAGGGCCGCGCCCAGTGCCGAGCCAGGATCGTGGGTGTGAGCAAAACGTTTGGGCAGCTGCTTCAGCAGATCCCTAACCAGTTCCTTGCATTCCTTGAGATTGACCAACAAACTGTCTGGGCGCGGCAGGAAGGGGTCATCAATGTCCAGCAGAGTCATCTCGTGCGGTTGATTCAGGCCCTCGGCCATGCTGTAGAAGTGCACAAAGCTATCGTAGCATAAGAAACCCACTTGGGTGCGCGCATCGCCCGGCATCTCATCCAAGTGGCGATTGAGCACTGAGCAAGCTGTCTCCAGATAGCCGCTCTGCTGCGCTATGATCGACACATCGAACAGGAACAAGTACATCGCCGGCTGTGGTGGACGCAACATATACTCCGATGGGGCTATGAATTCAATAGTGCTGGACCGCACCTCGGGTCGTCGTGTCACATCACCGTAGGTCTTTGTAGCCGGATCAAACTGGAAGTCCTCGGGCACTGCGAATAGAAAAGATTAGAATAAATTAATTAATTAACTGAAATTGATTGATAGTTCTTGTTTAACTTACGCTCATTGACGCGATAGCAGAGATTGCATTTCCACATTTTGCTGTCCACAAAGTAGACAAAGGGATTAATGTACGTGCGGCACAGGCGGCAACGCACAATATTGACGCACTGTATCACAGGCAGGCTCTGTGGAGGAGTATTCAGATATTAACAATTGCTGCATTTAAGCAAATATTTTATGCACTCACGTTAACGTCACGAAATGGATGAATGACAATGCCCAATGGCAGCCGTGACTTCTGTAGCAGCGAATTGCTTTCCGGGATTTTTGCCAGGGTGCAGCGTATAATGCTTCCACTGCAGTTGATGGACTCGTGGAATTGATTGTGCAGTACAACCTTTGGAGGTGCAATCGTAGCCGGCGATAGAATATGCCTGTTTTGCATCAGATCAATGGTGTCTTGACCCCACAGTCGACTGAAACCCTGCTGTGCCACGCTCAGCGGCTGCTGCTGCACATTCTGCGCCTGATACTGCAGCGGTGCATTTCCATGCTGTTGCTGCTGTGCTCCGAACATTCCAGGAGCAGGTAACTGCTGCTGCTGAGGTGGAAATGCTTGCTTATATGGATATTGCTGCTGTGCTTGTTGAGGATGCTGCTGTTGCTGCTGCTGCTGCTGTTGCTGCTGAGGATATTGTTGCTGTTGCTGCTGCTGTTGGCGTTGCCGGTCTATTGTTGGTGGCGGTCCAAAGGGCGGCAGCTGTACCTGTGATGGCACATTTTGACTTGCTGGCAGCGGAGGCGGCATAAATCCCTGTGAATTTCCCAAAGCACTCTGCATTATGCTATTGGCGGGCATGGCAGCAACGCCTGGCTGCCAAAGCGGCGGTCGTTGCGCTGTTGGCGGCATCGTTGGCTGCACTGCACGTGGTGCATTGTTGTTTGGTTCCGGCCCAGCTGCCGTTGGCGCTGGGACGCCGTATGGCAGTTTTTGCTCGGTTGGTGGCCTAGTGACCAATTTGGGTGCTGTCGCCACGCCACCAAATACACTCGCCGGACTCTTGTTGCTGGGCACGTTGGCGTTGAATGGTACAGCCATGGGATTTGGCAGACTTGGCGCCGGTCCACTCGCTGCCAGCAAAGTATTCGCAGCACTTGTCTGCAATTGCTGCGCAGAACTAGGCTGACTCGAGGCAACGCCACGGTAATCCCTACGCGCCAGGGATTGCCCAGGATTGGGCCCGTTAATGGGATTCAGGTTCATGCTTTGCATACTGCTAGTCAAGTTGGACACCTGGCTGCTTGGCTGTTGCTGCTGCTGCTGCTGCTGTTGTTGTTGTTGTTGTTGTTGTTTTTGTTGTAGTGTCAGCAATGAAGGGCCTGTCTGACTGATAGTTGAAACCGTCTGGCTGAGGGAGAGCTGTGTCAGCGTTCCTGAAGTTGTTAGCGTGGCAGGCAACTGATCAGAAAATGACTGCTGAGCAGATATCGGTGGACCAACTTGTTGCACCTGCTTGGGTGGCACACTCGTCGTCGACTCCACATAGTTGCCCAAAGGACCTGCCACATAATGCGGCTTGGATGGCGTCAGCTTTTGAGTGATGCCCGATTCTGCATTGACCAAGCCAGGCGATGCGGTGCGTGAGGAGTTGGCACTCAGTGCGCCATTGCTGCCGTTGATAACTGGTGTTGCTGCCGATGTAATGGAAGCGACAGGTGTGGGCCCGTTTAGCGTGGGTGGACGCAGGTGTGCGGGCAGATTACTGAGCGATGCAGTCGCCGTCCCTGGCGGCGGTGGTGCTGGACCATTGCTCATAGCTGGTGGCAAAAACTTGTTCATCACATTGCTATTAAACTGAGGCGGCGGCGGCGGCAGTTGAGCGTTGCCAGTGGGCGTGGCATTAATGGGATACTGCGTTGGTTGTTGCTGGAATTGATTCAGGGGCTTTTGAGGGGGTACGGGCTTCTGCTGTGGCTGTTGTTGATGCTGTTGCTGCGGTTGCGACTGCTGCTGCACGTAATGTTGCTGCTCCTGCTGTTGCAGTTGCTGCTGCTGCTGCTGGTGTAGTTGTTGTTGCTGCAACTGCTGCTGTTGCAGTTGCTGCTGTTGTTGACCATTTACCAAACTGCCATTTGGCGCGGGTGGCACAAAATTTGTATTGTATGCTGACATTCTTCTAATTCATGGAATGCAGCTAAAAAGAGGGTAGAGGATGGAAAACAAGCATTAGTCGATTGATTGTTTAAGATAGGTTTGTCTTTGAGTTATCCTATTTTTAGATACTCTAATACAGACGGTTTCAAATGAGCGATCTACATGATATGCCGCTTAACGCCGGCCAACATATCAATGTCATCAAATTGACGTTTTAGGCTTCTACGTGAAGGCCGTAGCAATTGAAGAACTATTGTTGTTCCTGTTGTTGTTGCCTTATCTTATCAATTCAATGGCAAAACCTTTATGAAACCAGAAATAGTTGAATCAACACTTAGCATAATCGCCGTCAAACGTGCTCAGATAACAACAACAAACGAGACAATGAATGAGAACAGAGGGCTGGCAAATAGATATACACTACTTTTAATATATACATCATATTCACCATATTTTCGGAAAAAACTTTATATGTGTATAAGAAACACATTGTTTATTTAGCTTGGCGCCATTTTCCAAGTTATTTAGTTAAATAATAAATCTAGACTAAATCAATAACAACAAATGTTATATGATATTGAGTAAGCAAGTGGCCAAGGTAACAACAAGTAAACGGGACTCCTTCTGTACACCTTTTGAATTTCGAATTACGAGCCCATGTAACTGCGGTAACCCATCGAAGAGAACTAATTGCCATTTGCATTGCACTTTGCGTATCGAATTAGTGTTTAGCTTCTTGACGTCAACTTTTTATGGAGCACAACCCTAATTTACACTATATGAACACCATTATATTGGGCATTACTAATTTGTCAACAGATATGTATATTATTTTCATGTAGAACAAAGTCGAAGATTGTAATCCTATATACCAAGTGCAAATTTTTATCACATTTATACTCTTTTTTGATATACAGATAAGGTGACTTTTTTTTTATATGAGCTTGGTAACAATTGTGAATATATATGGCATGAACAACAATGAATATGTATAAGAGATATATATAAGACAGCAGCTGACATATTTAATCCTCTTGAACTAGTTCTTTTTTTGTAATTAAAATTTATAAATATATAAATATAGCATAAACAACAATTAGTTGTATAAGAGATAAATAAGACAACAGCTGACATATTCAACACTCCTGAACTAGTTCTTTTTTGGTATAAGTAAAAACGCAACGCATCTTAGTAAGTGTATTTAAGGTTCGACGTCCGCAGATAACGGTTGTCTTTTTTTTTTGAAGAGTGTATTACAAGCTACGTGGTTTTTCATTTATACACTGCGAACGCGAACAAAAGCGAAGATGAATTCGACTCAATAAAGTCGGTGGACTTGATAAAGCGTTTATTGAACTGACAAAGCGACATTGGACATGAGTTTAAGCTTGGAATGCTGTCGCTGTCGCTGATGCTGCTGCTGTTTCTGATCTGTTGCTGTTGCTAATAAGCAAAAAATGAAACGCTTTATCAGAGATAATTGGGCATGTGATAAGGCAAATAACTATTCACATACATAATACATATATATGTCAGCAAATAGCCTCTATCAGCAAATATTGATGACGTCGTTCTACGTCGTCGCTGTCGCCGGGCAGTTGCCAGAGTGGAAAGGCATTTCCCATTTATTAAGCTTACCTTCTTGTTGTCTATGTTGCCAAACTAATGGGATCGTTGGAAAAAGGGCGTTGGAACGTGTGTACTAATGTATGAACGTGTGTGTGTTTCACTTTGTGTACTTGACCAGCACTTGCACTTTGTAGTTGGCTCTTCTTCTTGCTCTGCTTTCGTTAATTGACTGATGAAGCATGCACACACTTTTTCACTGCGTTTTCGCCTAATATCTGCTGCTAATATATTTTCTTTCTTTTGTGTCTGCAATTGCAGTTGGTGCGCTTTGTGTTAACAATTATTTTCCAATTGGCACGCAACAAACGAAATTTCTATTATATCTCTTTTTTTTGTAGCTGACAATGAACAACGGCGCTGCCTTGCGGGCTGCGGCCTCTATCTCGCACACACAATCACTCTCGCTCTCTTTTACTCACTGAGCGATTTTCGCAGTTTTCACTGATGTACTTGATGCGTACTTCTTGGAATATTTTAAATCCGTTCCAGCACCAGATTAACCGTTTAATTTAATGGACCAATTGCGTGCAAAACTTTTCGCATTGCAATTTCAGCCTCTTAATACACCTAAACACTAAAATTTAGAGCCACGTCAATTTCATGCTTAGGCTGGCATCACCAGCAAATGTCAAATATGTAGCGTTGCCACCTCGCTGCAATAAGGTTCAAATGAACATGATTCTTTAGCCCGCCAAATTGCAAACTTTGAAAAATTAAAGAGTTTTATTTATTTGCATTAACAAGTTTCATTTTGCAATTGAAGTATAATGGCTGTATTAAATTCTATGCGGTGTGTGTATTATTCTTGTTTAACTTCTAAAGAATTTCGTAAAAATATATGTTTATATGTATATTGCTTTCATTCGTAAGTAGGTTTAATTTTTGTTCTATATTTATTTCTGAGGCTGCCTGCATTGGATATTCTATATAGTTTTGTATAATTGATTATTTTCAACAGTTATAAAGCGTAATATTCTTTATTCGTTTCATTTTGCGTTAACTTTGCGTGAGAGTATTCGGTAGTTTACAAAGAAAAACAATTGCTTTGCCGTGTGATTGTTGAACTGTTGGCAAATGCCAACTAAATTATATGCTAACTATTGATTAAATACAGTAAATTGATATTTTATTTTGCTTTGCTTTTTTACAGGCAATTCGTTGGATTTCTGGCTGCGGGTGTGTTTTTTTGTATAAGTAAAGCTTTCATCTTTATTATCGTGATAATGGAAAAAATTAGGAAATAAAAATGATGAATATATAATACTTAAGTTATTTTTAATTGTTTTATTTGACAAAATCAATTGTGCAGTTTGCTGTAAAGTTTTGAAAACAGGAATTAATTATTAATAGTATGTATCTATTAGATATCTCTTGTATTGTATTTTCATCTATTAGAGTCTTTTATTTAAAAAATAGAATTTCTATGCTTAAGTCTCTAATTTTTTTTCCTTTTCGTTTTCGGTAATCTACAACGTTTTTTCACTTCTTTTAAATACATATCGCATTATGTGTCGTGTGTGTGTGTTTGTGTTAAGTTTATATTGTAAAAGGTATTTTGTTTTTAGGTGTTCTTTGTTTTGCAGTTTACTGCGATTGCCTTTGAAACACGCTAGTACATATGTATGTTAATTATAATATGTTGCTTTATACGAGTATGTTTTTTGCGTAGAGACTATTCTATTAAAGTGTTTGCTCTGTATAATTAGTTATTGCAGTTTATATTAGATTCATTAAATTTCAACCATTGCATGCATGCACCTAAAAAACATCTTACGTTGTGTCGTTCAAATATTGTTTGTTGTTCTTTTAACTGTCTACTTAACGTTCGCTTCTCCACTTTCGAAGTGTGTGTATGTATGTATAAACTATTTACAATCATTAAACGGACACTAGATGGTTGTTTCTTATCGCTTAACGCCTAAAGCTTAACTCATATCTCATAATTCATTATACTGTAAAACATTAAGTTTCCTGCATATGTTACGTTGTATCATCGTCAGTATTTGTGTCTGGGATTTGCGCACTTGTGGAAATTATACAATAGTTGAGGCTCCTTAATCTTGATCTTGATCTTGATCTTGATATGAATCACATATATCTATACATAGAATATATATTGATATATGTTTGTATAAACATTGCTGTTGGCGTTTCCTACTTCTCGTTTCAGTTGCTGCCCATTCGTGCATTATCTTTTGGCCTCCTTTTCCTGCAAATACATGCGCTGACTCAGCGGCTTTGTATATATCCAATTGTCGCCCACAGGCTTGAAGTGCTGTAAATGTATAAGTATTTAATATCGAAATATATATATGCTTGATCGAGTTTACTTTATGCTCCCAAGCCAAGTCGTATTCCTTGCGAACCTTCGCTTGATCGCGTTGCTGCTGCTCCACAACAAATTTGGCATTAGTCGCACGCTCGATATCATTAAATCTATTTTGGAATGGAATATCATTAGAATATATAAAAAATAACGGTAAAAATTATATTTAATGCAGCTCGTTAAATATATAGAAATATGAATTTTACTTGAGTCCCGCAGTCACTTCCTTCCAAACACGTCGCGATTCATATTCATCCTGCTCAACGATTGGTCGAACTTGTTTCTTAAATATGGGTATGCGATTTACGTCGACGAATACTTCGGTTTTCTAGAAAATTAAAGATGCACGTGGATTTAAGCTTTTGAAGGAACAAAAATACACAGGCACACACAGATAGATAGAACATCTACACAATAATATGACGAAGTGGGAATTGAAAACGTGGGCAGGCAGAGTTTAGAGTATTGGTTTAATTTTCTAGATAAACAAAGTAAATACACACAGGAAAATGTGGTCCCAAACTATTTAAGAGAAAAGTACAAGTATCGCAAAAAGTAAATTGGAGCAGGTTAAAAAGGTAGGCAGGTGGATAGATAGACATATAGATATAGATACAGATACAGATATAGATATAGATATAGATAGATGTAGCTGCCAACTCGTAGGGTTGTTTGTTGCAGCGTTTTAGGCGCATTGTTACAGAGAAGGAAAAACAAATACGTTTTCAACATATAACAATATAAGTTAATACACACAACACTACATGTGGGAATTCTAACTTAGACTGTAGTGCAGCATGCGTGTTGCAACTTACATTCTTGTCGTGCCATTTGGCCTCCATTAAGCCGCTCCACTCGCCGGCAATCGAAACAAATGGCTTTTTGTCATTGGGCGAATAAATCTAAGAAGTTAAGTAATGTATTTAACATCAGTGGATAATTAATTATTATATATAACGCACCTCGGCGCTAACTTTGTTACGCTTGCCGCCATAGAAGGGCTTTGTAAGAAACTCTACGTTGGCATAGTAACCCGTCTGTGGGCATTTGATTTCAACTGAGCCGCCCAGCTCAATCCAAGGCACAGTTAAAATAGACCTAAGAATGGAGAACAATCGTTAATTTTTTAACAATAATGAATCTTTCTGTAATGTACCGGCCATAACCATTGGGGAACGTTACTATGTACTCCTCACTGCGATCCACCAGAGTAACAACGCCCTCGCCGATGTTGTGCACACCAATGGATAGGCCTAGGAATTTCGATTTTGTCCAGACGTGAGCGGTAAATGTTATCTTCTTATTATAATGCTCGGCATAAAAGGCTGAAACTGTATTAAATATAAACAAAAATTAATTGAAACTACCGTAGGCTGCTTGACGAGCTGTAACTCACTTGGCGGATGATGCGACACCTGCTCGGCTAAGAAGGTTAGCTGATCCCGGCGGCACCAAGGCACAGGACCATCCCGCACTTCCTTTTCATTTTGGGTTTCACCTGCAATATAGACCAACCATATTAATTGTCAAACAAGGCAAAATTTTCTGTTTTCTAGTTGACTACCAGGAATATCCCAATGGCACTGAAATACTTCGCCCAGAATGGGGTTGTAGGGCTTTTTGGCCACCGCGCTCTTACGGCCCGCATGATAAGCGCTCAAATACCAACGACAGACCTGGACAATACGATCACGTGGGTCATCTAGCTCCGAGATTCTAGAAGAAATTTATATACATATATTTATACCCATGTGAAGTAACTGGTGCAACTCACTTGAGAAACAAATCGGGATGGGCAAAATAGTCGGCATACATTTCGAGTAAAGAACGGCGCTCCAATATGAATGTGGGTAGCACCACCTTGGTGAGATCCATGCCAATCTTCACCTGGGACAACAGATGCGTTATCATTGAGCCATGCGCCTCCATGCTGAGGTCCATCTCCTCCTCCTCCTCGTACAGTGCATCATAATCGATGCCATTGTCATAGCTCGACGACCGAGAGCTTGGCACCTTGCTCGATCCGGTCTCATCAACCTCGGCTACTGTAGCAGCAGTACTTGGCTTTGGCGTTGTTGTTCCGGCCAAATCGATGCCGCTAACATGGCTCTCCGGCGGCTTGTCGTGCGTGGGCGATGTCTCCACAAATCCTCGCGTAGTGCTGCAGAGTATATTGAAGACTTGTTGATTAGTATTCTGCACAGTATCTTAGAGAGCCGAACATTTCATGCATAACTTATGAATTGCTAAAATTTAAATCTTTAAATGATGTCAGCCTTGGTCCTATATTACTCTCCTTCACTCTTTCTCTCGCTTTCTCTCTCTCTCATTACGTGCCTTGGCTCATTAACAATTTATACAACAGATGGACGAATGGACACATTCGCACATTCGCACACTCACACATATACACACACACACGCACACAAATAGATCTGCAAGTGGTGCTTACCTTAGGCTTACGCGTCGTACCCACTTCTTAAACATGGCAACACTGGCGATGCGGTTGCAAATTCAGTTTAAGGTGCATTCAAGTCTTTAATATGGCGAGAGCAAACTTTTGTTTTGCATACTTTGCGGCGCCAGCTGTGCGCAACAAATTAAACAGCTTAAACATACATATACAAACACAAACACGCAAGGAAACACATTTACACACATACACACTCACACAGAAACATAAATCAAAGCAGAACCTATGAGCATTTCGCCATGTTAAACGAAACAAAAAAAGAAACAATGAGGAAAGGCGAACGGTCAACAGTCAACAGTCAGCGACGAACGCAACTACAAACTGACAGGACGAAATCGTAAATTGCACGACGTACCCCGGAGGCCTGAGTTTAGTTGAGTTGAACTGGGGACGACGACGACGACGACAACGACGACGGTAACAACAACAGTTTCGTCAGCTGTGACGTGTTGGCGTTGCCAAATCGGCTGACGCCGCTACTTGCAATATTGCATAAAATCTTTACAGGCGACTGACCAACTTAAATACTACACACACACATACATATGTATGTAAATGTATTTGGGTGTACTTCTCTGTGTGCTACCTGTGCTGCAAATGCATTGCGCATGCGCAATTCAAAACACCTACTAAAAAAATCGAACAGACATTTAAATAAAAATAAGCACACATACAAACACATGTTTGTTTGTACAAGTGCACATTTAAATGCAGTTGTACGCATAGGGGGAACCGGCATCTGTTCACATGGCAACACTGGTAGATAACTGTTTGTTTAATTTTTGCATACACACACACACACACACACACTTACCAGCCAATCGGAGAGTTGCCCAGACTGGTGAACGGATCATCGTTGGCATCGTAAAAGTCATCTTCACCTTCGCTGCTCGAATACGAGGTTTCAGGTACGACCAGTCCCAATGGCGCTGTGGTCGCTGCAATCAAACAAACGAAACAAAGACGAATATCTATTAATCAATTGCATTTCACTCAAATTCTAATTGCCAATTCATCGATTACCAAACTCATAAACAGCGCACTTGGGACGTCCACATGCATGCAAGCTCTTATATGTATGCATGTGTGTGCTTGTTTGAGTAAGTGTGACCCTGAATCATGAAATGCCATATTTTGTTTACTAGTTTTACGTACATATCGTATGAGAGATGACAGAAGTTTAAATACCCTATGTATTATGTTTATTTGAACTAAGAGAAGTTATTTTAGGCCGAATAAAAAGTTAGGAAAAAAATTGATAACAATGTCCTCAACTATATTCGTAATTATCTTTTTTAATATATGACAACCAAGAGTTTATCTGCATATAAACACACATATCTGTATATGAGATAAGATAATCTCAAATCGCTTAAGATAACTAATATACCCCATGCTAATATCAAGTGTAAATAGTCAAATACAAATGAAACTACATGCATTGCGAATGTGACCACCAAAAAAAAAAACACTTGGATGACATTTACCGTTTTCCGTTGCTGAATCATCCTCATCGTCGCCGACCAGCTCATTCTTGAGCGACAAATGGGTCTCGTTTGCCTTGTCGCCGATGCCAATGCCGCTGCCACCGCTGCTGCTGCTGCCGCCGCCAACATCGCCGCCGTCGCCGCTGCCTGGCGATGCCATCATGATGCCCGATGTTGCCGTTGTAATTGTGGGGCCATTGTAAATGCCATTGATGGGGTGCGCCATATTTTTGGCAATTTGTAGACTAACAATTGAGTGTTTGATATGATCCAACATGGCCTGCGAATGCAATAAATAAACAGAAGCAGAGTGTGAATGGCTTAAAATAAAATCAGCACGAAAAAATGTCAAGACCCCGATTAAATAACAATGCCGGATGGACTGCGCCGCCTGCCCCGACTGAACGCCTGACCACTGATTCGTTCTGTTTCGAAAACAGTTTGCCTCGAAGTTTGCAAAAGAAATGAGCAGCTGGTTTCTGGCAGCAGCTGGCGCAAGTTGGCAAATTTTCCCATACCTCTCATGCATATCTAATAATACGAGCCCTTCTCGGGCCTAACCCTGAACTTGCATTGAAAATCAATAATTCATTAAACTCTTGACTAAATTCAAAAACAAAACCGAATTGTTATAAACGTCTAACATACAGCTCACACAGATTTACGGGGGAAATTGTGTAATTTTGGTTGAATGGCTGATGAACTTCTCGATCCAATGGGACATACCATTGATGAGATACGACACAATTTTGAGATATATAAGCTACGCTGTGCCCGTTTGCTTCGCACGAACAAGTCGCAAGATTCAGAGTTCCAAATGGATAAGGAGCTACAGGATTTGCGTGCCGACTTACAGGAGTTGCGCTTGGAAATGGGCGTTTTGCACGTACGGCAGTCCGAGCTTATAGGCTGGCAGGATGTTAATGCAATCGAGGAGTTGCCCTCGAGCATTAATGAAACAGATCTACTTAATAACCAGCAACCTGGTGAAGCTATCGCTCATAGCCGACAGCCACAGCAGGCGGAGTTAGAGGCTTGCCAGGAGAACCAACTACAGCGGGAGAATCAGCTGGTCATCAGTTGCGAATCCAGTCCGTGTCTCTTTGACAATTGCCGCATGCACGTGGACAATCAGCTGCTGTTGCTGCACTACCTCTGCGATCACAATGAGGAAACTTTCGCTTCCCAACGCTGCCACAAGCTGTGCGAGGGCCAGCGTGTCATCATCTCCTTTGACAGCAGAAACTGTCAGTTTAGACAGAATCATGTGATTGGATTACTCGCATATATTGGCTCATTGATGCAGAAGCAGCAGCAACAGCAACTGCAAGAGATGTGCAATTCTTATCTGCCCCAGGAGCATGCTCGTCTGGCCAGCAACGTGCCGATTGTGGTGCTCATTTGCTTAACGGCTTCGAGTGCTGCATTGCAGGATAAGCTAATCACACGCCACTCCTTGGCTCCGGCTAACGCCAACGATCAAGTGTTTGTCATTTGGCTAGCAATGCAACAAGATCTCCAGCTGCAGCTGCAACTGCATGCCAGCCTGAACCTTTGTGGACGTGATGCAGCCGTCCAGGCGCACACTCAGGTGGCCGTCTGTCAGGTACAACCCAGTGGAGGCACGAGCCGTTCTATGACAGTGGATGCCAACTATTGGCGTCTATCATTCAGCGAGATGCAAAAGATATCGAATAATTTTCGTGATGAGCTGCATCTGGAGATTGTTCTCACTCAGCTTAGCGCCAAATCGTGTCCTGATTTCTGAATAAAACCTGAATTTTACTCACACTTGCGTTATCCTGCAGCGCCTTGCACTTGGCCTGCTCCGCAGTGTCGCTCAGCTCGGCGATGCGTTTTTCCAGCGACTGTTTAGGATTTAAAGTTTAAGAACTTTGATTACACAAGAGTTTAAGTTTGCATATTGCATTTGGCACTCACGTTGGTCTGCTCTATCATCAACTGCAGGTAGGCATCCGCTTCGGATACGCGACGACCAACCAGCTCCAAATGATTGGCCCGTTTGCCACTCGACTCCTTCGTGTAGCCGCCGGCAATGTAGAAGGCGCTCTGGCTGTCCCACAGACGCGAACGATTCGCGTGCCGTCGTATTGTGTCCTCCAGACGTCGCACCCACTGCTCGCGCTCATCGCTGTGCCGCGCCTGCATGCCATTCAGTTTGATTGGGTGGTTGGGTGGTGCGATAGTTGGCCGTTCGTTTCGTTTGCCAATAAGTTTTATCGTTACAAAAAAGGTGTAGCAGCAGCGCCAAAGGATAAAGGGGACAGAAAAGCACAGAAACGAAATCAGTGAAAATACTTAAGAAATATATTATCCACAATGTGTTCAGCTGTGTGGGAGTGCGAGGCTCCTCTGTGTGAGCGGGAGCGTGTGTGTGGCTCTTTAGAGTTCAAAAGTTTAGTGCCCACTTAGACTTAAGCGTGTGATATCATATATATGTACATAATCTTGTATATAAAGCTATATATCTATGTATATATGAATATGTATATATTATATATGTATATATTATGTATATGTATATATGTATATGTTTGTAATTATATTTATTTGATATGCTTGTCTTACTGAAGTAGAGATTAAGCTCGTCTGAAAGACTGCAATTTTTGTGGATTTCGAATATTACTACAGAGCTGGGTAAGTATATGCAATATTATGTTGGTCCGACTCATATATATGTACATACTAAAACAATCCCATATATAAAAAATTAAAAAAAAATCGTGAGAATCGACAAGGAAGTCACTGCCCAAAAATACATTGCATTTAAATTGAATCTATGATTAGCTATATTGATATATGTGTGCACATATATACAAGCAAACATACACTCATGTATGTATATATACAGACAGACTGTAATGCATATTATTTTATAACAAATACATTAGAAATGTTGTTCTTAAGTCGAAAAATAAATTCTATATTGATGTTATGAGATTACCGGGAATAAATAAATTAAGCAATTTAAGTAAAGCTAATAAAAAGTAAATTCAATCATTTTATGTGGAATTTTACCAAATAAATATATAACGTAAACAATTAAGCTGTCATGGTACCGTTTAAAGGTCTTATACACATCAAACATACAGTATATAAGATAAGTAAATAAGTGTATGTATATAGAGCAATGTTAGGGTCAAGTACGCAATAGTTCTGCGTCCAAAAATTTAAATTGTTTTCCATTTAATCGTTTTTGCATACTTAATAAATTAATTGCATTTTTTACAGTGTACAAGTGTTCCATAAGCTTAACAAATAAAATATACAAGTTGTATATGATATAAGCTGAACACAAGATTACAATATTATCTTACTTATTACATATATTCTTATATTCAGCTTATATACAAATTTTATATTTTATTTGTTAATAATATATTTAAAACAAAATAATTTTAAATGAAAAATTTGAATACAAATTGACGAGTATTTGAGAGTTATCTGAATACACATACCTGAAAATGGAAGGTCTTGTGATCGACAGTTATGGTAAATGTATTATCCTCTTGATCATCGATGCCAATGAGCGCATCTTTTAGCCTGACGCAACCGCGACGCACGCCCTTCATCATTTTCTCCTTGGACTGTAATTGGAAAGAAAGATAGACATATATATAAATACTATATAGGTACTACGCATTTGGAAGGGTCTGTGACGCGCACATAGGCCAGCGTAACGCCGGAATGGTCAATGGCACATTTCGAAATGAGTTTAATTGTATAAATTAATTCAGTTTGCTGCGTCGCTAAGGTGTTCAAAAACAAGAGAATCATTTGACAATTCTCCACATATCAGCGATTAGTCGGGGCGTGCACATTCCCAGCGCTAATCGCAACGATTAGTCAATATATAAGGATACGGCACACGGAATACAGAATACAGTTCAAAATGGATAATCCATGTAAGAAATTTGCATTGCATTTGATTTGAGTGCCCTTTGGAAATTATAAACAATTTTTTATTTAAAGTATATAATGTTGAACATCCTGCAATAATGGCCACGCCGTGGTTCATGCTGAGTGTCCTGGGCTTATATCTTTTTATAGTGACTAACCTGGGACCCAAGTGAGTATCGAAAGTATGAAAGTTTTGTGCTTTAAGAACTCGAATTTCAATGCGATTGGCAGAATAATTAAAGAACAACGGACTCTGAACTTTGAATTCAAGTTGAATTGACCCATTGTGGAATATGTTACGCCCTGAAACTGTAATCGAATTTTGTATTTTACACTTTCAAGTTTTATGCTCTTTCGAAAACCGTATGAACTGAAAAAATTGATTATAGTGCATAATATTGTTCAGGTTGTGTCATGCATATTCGTTGTCTATGAGGTGGGTCCACATTGATGATCGTTAATATCTCTCTGCCCTAAATATATTCAACACTTGCTACCATCGGCAGATTCTCCACATAACGGAGTATACGATTCTATACTTTTGGAGATGCAGCGTTGTGGAGGAGACGCCCGAACGGATGGCGCGTCATTTTCGCTTGGCATATTTCCTATTCTGGCTAAAATTGTCGGAGCTCATGGAAACCGTAATATTCGTGATGCGCCAGAAACAGAATCAGGTGACCAAGCTGCACGTGTTCCATCATATCAGCACCGTCACCCTCATCTATTTGCTGATCAATCACAATCGTAAGAATGGTGCGTACACGAGTTGCTGTTGTTGTCCTTGAAGACGCTTTTTGCTGATAATCCTTCATTGTTGCAGGCTGCGATGCGCTCTTTCCTATTCTGCTCAACTCCAATGTCCATATCATTATGTACACCTATTATCTGATTGCCGCCGTGGCGGATAAGCGAACGGTGCGCGCTCTGATGCCCGTTAAGAAGTCAATTACCGTTTTGCAGATGGTACAGTTTACACTCATCTTGGTCCATGCCCTATTGGTGTCGTTTACTTGCGGCGTTGAGAAGTCAATCTTCATATACTTTATATTTGTTATCGGGCTCATGTTCTATGGATTTTACGATTTCTATGGCAAGTCCTACCAGAGCTCCAAGCGTAGAAAAAGTTCTATTGCGGTCGCTGTTGTTGCTGCTGCCGCTGAAGCAGCTGAGGCGAAATTACAGTAAATAAATATACAGTCGTACATACATATGTATGTATGTGTGTACAGACAAACAGACATAAATACACACAGCCACACACATGTGTGTGAATTTTGAAATTTGATTAATTGACGACAATTGGGTTGAGGGAGGCGAAGCTGTTATTTGTGACTGACTGCCAGATAAGATAACAATTAACGCAGCTCCAATTTAAGCAGATAAACATGAATAATATTTCCATCACTTGTCAAGTGAGCAGTGAGGATCACTTACCGTGTAGTAGGAAAGTAGGCCCGCATTCTCGTCTAAAACGAAGAAGCGATATTGCCATCCTTTCATTACGTTAGTCCATTTGCTCAGCGTCCCCTCCAGAGTGCCGGCTGAGGTGGATGTCATGTTTCAAATGTTGGAGCTGCAGTTTCACCTAATACTGAGCGCTGATGCCACTTCCACTGCCACTGTCACTGCCTCAGCCTCTGCCGTCGTTGTCAGCTGATCTCCCGGGCTGCCGTTTGAGCGGTGTGTGAGTGGGATAGGCGCTGGTGTATGTGCCTGGTGACGCAACAGTCCTCCTACTCGCTCGTACAATCCAAACTTTACTACGCTCGTAGCAGGGCTTGGAAAAACAAAGCATTTATTGTTATGCCGTGATTGTACCTTATTAATGGTTCGCTTGTTGTCTCGCTCAATAGAGCGAGTGAGGTAATCTGAAAAAGAGTTACCAACGTAAGCATATTTTGCGGGTATTTTTATATACCGTATGACGGTAACACTGTTTTCAATCGTTTACAATCAAGTAATCGGCGCGCACTAGATAGTTATCGAAATAAAATTTGTCTATATTTTAAAACATGATCTTTATTTATAAACTTTTGTCCTTAAAACTAGGAATGAATGAGTTTTTTTTTGTATGTGAAATTAACAGATTCGAATAGTGTTCTTGCCCATAACAACTATGGCACCTTCATCTTGAACTTCTTTCAGAGCATCTTCGAACTGTTCACGGGTTATCAACTAAAATAGAGATGTATTTGAATTAGTATTCAATTTAGCGAATATTGAAAATGAACTTACAATTTGAGAAGACTCCTTGATCTCTTTGAATAATTTCTGGTACGGCACAGTTGGCACTTTACCCTTCTTTTTAAGATTTTCCTTGATGGCAGCCACTAGATCGGCGCGTTTCTTACGAGCTGCCGTAGACAAACCGGTGGTGAGGATACCAACATCGATTTTGCCCGACAACGGATCCGTAGCCGATTGCTTCAAGGCCTCACGATGCAGGCGCCAAGCCTCCTCCACATCCTGCAGCTCCACCGCGTTGCTCAGACGAACCTTGGCATGTGCCTCGGACAAACGAATCAAACTCTCCAGTTGTCTGGGATAAGCTGAGATTTGACCACGTCCCGCGCCTACCTTGCGCATGTCCACATACGCCTGGATCAGACGCTGTTGTGCCTCATCCGAGAGAGTAGGCGACAGATGTTCACGAGCATAGGCAATGTAGTCACGCAGCACGCTCATATCCTGCAAACGAAGGAATTAATAGGAGCTCTCAAATGGTATGTTCTAAATCTTACAAACATGGTGTCCTCCTCCTCATGGCGGGTCACATAGTAAAGAGATACCAAATGGCTTGCCAGACGTTTATCAAAGACCTCATCTTGAGGATCCAGTACCAGAAAAATCAAGTCAAAACGCGAAAGCAAGGTATGGGGCAATTGGACATTATCAATGATATTTTTACGCTTATTCCATTGCGACTCTGCGGGATTTGCGGCAGCCAAAATTGATGTTCTTGCATTCAACTGACAAATGATGCCTGCCTTAGCAATGCTCAAAGTCTGCTGCTCCATCACCTCGTGCAGGACACTGCGTGTAGAATCGTTCATCTTATCGAACTCATCTATGCAACAAACACCATTGTCAGCCAACACTAGGGCTCCACTAGAAATGAACAAATCTTTTAGTATATAGTTTACATAGGGAATACGGATCACCTACGTTTGCAGCACTAGTTGGCGTGTCTCTGGATCCTTGGTAACATAGGCAGTTAAGCCCACAGCTGAGGAGCCGCGTCCCGATGTATACTGTGAGCGCGGCACCAGATTGAAGACGTACTGCAACATTTGGGACTTGGATGTGCCGGGATCACCGCAGAGCAGCAAATGAATTTCAGACCTGAAGTTCTGGCGGCCAAGCGTCGAGTGCTTCTTCTTAGTGCCGCCGAAGAGCTGCAACAGAATGCCCTTCTTAATATCATCATTCTCATAGATTGAGGGTGCAATAGCACGGGCCAAGCGATCATAGATATCGGGCTTCTTCGACAGCAATTGCAGCAGCTCCACACGTTCTGGCGGAAATATGTGATCCTTGCTGCAAGGGGATTGATAGTTAATAACTCAGGAGTGTTCAGCTAGCAGATCATCGTAACTGCTTACCCTTCCTCCTCCTCATACAATCGCTTGTTATCCACCTTACGGAAGTGAACCACATCGACGTGCGTCTTGTACACACTCTTCACATTCTGCCCTTTGCCTTTTAGAGGTGTGGCACGATAGATGCCAGTAACTGTGACACGATCGCCAGCTTGCACTTTATCCACCAGGTCGTTGTGGGCATATAGCAAGACATTGTGGGGAGTCTGGCCAGCTGCCATGTCATCGGGTGATTCCTGCAGCTTGATGAGCTGTTTGTCTGTGAACTCGCTGCGATTGTGTATGATGCGGAAGCAGTGATTGGTGTTGCAATTGGTGCACAGCGTTGGCTGGGCTATGCGACCGCGATCCACCTCGACGGTGGTGCAGAAGGAGCATATGTTGCACATGAAGAACGCTTCACGCATTTCGGGTATAACGTTCGAGGAGCGAATGACCATGCCGCTAATGCTGATCAATTGATCCATATCTTCGGGATTCAGAGAGCGCATATTACGCGTCTTATCTGCATTGAAAGGTCGCACCTGAATCTGATGCTCTAGCTGAGCGGCCGGATAACGTTCAAAGAACATCTCATTGATGGCCATATCAAAGCCGGGAATCACCTCCTGTGGATAGCATATTAACTGCCGGTACAAGTCCTGATCAAATGTTTTCAAATGCGCACAATTTAGATTCAGATAGGGCTCCTCCAGCGTATGGATCTCCTCTAGCTTTTGTAGGTATAGTGGTTGATTGACATCAATGTTCTCCGAGATCTCATCCTGTTCCGCACTTGGATCGATGAAGCGCATAATAAATGATTTGAACTTTGACTTGCATTGACTAACAACCACATTAGTGCCCCAGACAACCAGCTGGGGAGCTGCCGAAGACTCCGACACTGGATCGGTCTCTGAACCCTTTTCGGCTATGGGATCCAGCTGTAAACGTATATGATTTATAGTATATTCCACATGTAATATTTAAGAAAACAAAATTTCTTACACCGGATGTGCCGCCAATGGCCACTTGGCGTATGCGCTTATCCGTGCGTATATCTGGACGTGCACGTAATGGAGTGCCACGTATACCGGAGCGTGGTGTACGTATGGAACCCATGGAACTGGGCGTGCCATAGTTCAGCGGAGAACTCAAGTCGATCTCGCTCATGCCGCCTAAGCCTCGAGCCGGACTCGTTGCGGGCAAGCTAACATTAGCTGGCGACGTGGGCGGCAGACTAATGTTATCCGATGCCCTGCCGGGCACACGTCCAGGGCCCATTCGCATGGGTGTATCAACATCCTGTGTAGCAATTCCTATACAAACATGTATTGTTAATAAATATAATTTCAAAGGTGCATGCAAAATTTACGTCGTGTGGGTGTGCGCGCTCCTTGCTTCGGTGTGCCAGATCTGACACTGGGCGATCTAGCAGGACTTGACATTTTTTAAGTTCTCGTTTTTGCTTCCAAGTATTTCACAAAAAATAGCACCACTTCCCGACCTTGTTTGTTGAGGAACGCGCTGTCTTTGGCTTTGCGCGGGAAATGTTGACAGCTGCAGCTGTAAAGCGTATGTGCAGTGCTAGTGAACGTCAGTAGTGAACTAGGCAGTGTTGTAAAGTGTAAACTTAGCAATTGCCGCGAAAAACTCCAATTCGAATAATCGCGATGAAAATGGTAATGAAATATGGTACAACAGCTGCAAGTGCACATTTCAAATATACAAGTAGTCAACCCATAACACATGCCAATTGTTTGTAACATTGTTAACTTGGCCAGAACAGTAGAACCATGTGGCAACCCTGCCCTTTTTGGCAACACAACATTCTATGTCAGTCAGACTTAGTTTAGACACGGGACCGGGGCGAGCAGTGTTTATTGTTGGCAGTGTCTTCTAAATTACCAATGTAGCAAAATTTTTCAAATAATCAGGCCTATACTAAAAAGTTAACCAAAATTATTTTTTGATTTTTTAGATAAGTCTCAATAACTTTTCAAGTAAAATTAACAAGAAAACAAACGAAATAAAATAAAACAGTAAAAATAAAAGTGAATTTAAAAAAATATTTCCTGGGCCCCAAATTGGAATTGAGAAGACAGAAATAACGGGTTTTATGCACATTTCAATTGCACCGTGCGCGGTAGAAGTAAGGCGGTACGTCGAAGCAGAGTATTGAGTGCCCGGCGAAGCTGTACTTAGGCACTTGGACAACACGACACTTCTGTTGCTACTACAGCTGCTGCTGCAATCATGTCAAGCGAGGAGATGCTATACGCAAAGGTACACATTTACACATTATATTGATGCCCTACAAGTGCATTGTTGGCAATTGCGCGCTGTCGTCGTCGACGTCAGCTAGCCTCATAGTGTTAAGAATGGGAGGCTTATAAAAACGCATACATAATAACAATAACAACGTGCGCTGCATATGTGTGTGTGTGTGCTGTGTGTGTGGTGTATGTGCATGTGTGTGTGCGCCAATTTCATTTCGTTTTGCATTTCTTCATTTCTTACAAGTGTCTTCCAGGTCAACCCTTATTGATGTCATGTTGCATTTTTGGAGTAGAAAAAATATGTTTAGAAATGAATCATCTGCTTATCAAAATCAAAACAAAAAAAAACTTCGCGCTGATAAGCGTGTCATGCTTGTGTGTGCATGGGCTTCAATCACCATTGAGTTGAGTGAGCGTGTGAATCTGTGTGCTGGAGTAAGGCGAGAAGTTGTGGAAGCGGGGGCAGAATTTGAGCTCTGGCTTTAGGCTGCTAAGGCTGCGTGGCAGTGTGTGCAATCGTTGTAAACTTGACCCAGGTCATGTTCAATGTTTTGATTTATAGCTCTCGCTTTCTCTTTGTCGCCACTTTTTTAGGGTTCCAAGATTTGGATACCCCATGCGGAACAGGTGTGGGAGAGTGCCACATTGGAGGAGAGCTATCGCAAGGGTGACAATATATTGAAAATTCAAACCGAATCGGGTGCTTTGAGCCAGATTAACTTGAAACCAGATGGCAGTAACTTACCTCCGCTGCGTAATCCAGCCATTCTCGTGGGCCAAAACGACCTAACCACTCTATCGTATCTGCATGAGCCCGGTGTGCTATACAATTTACGTGTACGCTTTTGCGAGCGTCAAATAATTTATACCTATTGTGGCATCATTCTGGTTGCTATCAATCCGTACGCGGATCTACCACTATATGGCCCGAATATTATACGGGCCTATCGCGGACATGCCATGGGCGACCTGGAGCCGCACATCTTTGCCCTAGCGGAGGAGGCGTACACCAAGCTGGAGCGTGAGAATTGTAATCTGAGCATCATTGTTAGCGGCGAATCGGGCGCGGGCAAGACGGTGTCTGCAAAGTATGCAATGCGCTACTTTGCTGCCGTCGGTGGGTCCGAATCGGAGACACAGGTCGAGCGCAAGGTGCTGGCATCTTCACCGATCATGGAGGCCTTTGGCAACGCCAAAACAACTCGCAATGACAATAGCTCCCGTTTCGGCAAGTTCACCAAGTTGCTATTCACCAACCAGATGGGCGTCATGTATCTCCAGGGGGCCACCATGCACACCTACCTGCTGGAGAAGTCTCGTGTGGTGTATCAGGCGCAGGGCGAGCGCAATTATCATATATTCTATCAGCTTTGTGCCGCGCGTGCCAAATATCCAGAACTAGTCCTGGGTAAGCCTTCTAGTCCAATTATATAGTAAGATTCTTGACAGTAATATATATAACTTATAATCTTGCAGAGCATCAGGATAATTATCAGTTCTTAAACATGGGCGGCTCGCCAGACATTGAACGCATCTCTGATGCCGATCAGTTTAACGAGACCGTCCAAGCAATGACTGTGTTGGGCTTCTCAATACAACAAATCGCTGACATAGTAAAGATTTTGGCTGGCATCCTACATCTGGGCAACATGGAGGTGTCCAAAAAGTACAAGGAAGGCAGCGATGAGGAAGACACCGATTCTTGTGATATATTTGTAAGTAGCCGAGGCATTCCGCCCCCCATCACCCCATCACTCAATTGTGAGTCAACTCTCAAATAATTGCAGCAAAACGATCTGCATTTGCAAGTAACTGGCGATCTATTAAAGATAAATGCTGATGATTTGCGTCGCTGGCTATTGATGCGTAAGATAGAGTCGGTTAATGAATATGTGCTGATACCGAATAACAAAGAGATGGCGCTGGCAGCGCGAGATGCGCTGGCCAAGCACATATATGCGAAGCTATTCCAGTATATAGTCAATGTGCTGAATAAGAACTTGCATAACGGTAGCAAACAGTGCAGCTTCATTGGCGTCCTCGATATCTACGGCTTCGAAACGTTCGAAGTGAACTCGTTTGAACAGTTTTGCATAAACTATGCGAACGAAAAGCTCCAGCAGCAATTCAACCAGCATGTCTTCAAGCTGGAACAGGAGGAGTACCTCAAAGAAGGTATTACCTGGACCATGATCGATTTCTATGACAACCAGCCCTGCATTGATCTTATTGAATTTCGTTTGGGTGTGCTAGATCTGCTCGACGAGGAGTGCAGAGTAAATAGCTAAAATTTGCTTTACTTTGCGTGTGAATGTTTTGTAATAACCGTTGCCTTACAGATGCCCAAAGGTTCAGATGAGAGCTGGGCGGTTAAGCTTGTAGAGAAATGCAACAAATTTCCACACTTTGAGAAGCCGCGCTTTGGCACCACAAGTGAGCATTGTACCAGCTGGTTCAATAAGCTGCAAAATACACATCTCTCTCCTGTACTTCAGGTTTCTTTATTAAACACTTTTCGGACACGGTTGAGTACGATGTGAATGGCTTTCTGGAGAAGAATCGCGATACGGTGTCCAAGGAGCTGACCAATGTGCTGGCACAGTCAAACATGTTGCTATGCAAACAAGTGATGAACCTCGAAGAGGTGGACACTCTTGGCACGGATACTAATAAGATTGCAACCACCTTAGGTGGGCGCGTTGTAATTAGTGCTAATCGTAAACAGGTGGGTGACTCGGCACGTGCAGTCAACAAAACTCGACGGCTTATTTAAGCTATTTGTAATAATTGTATTGCTCATTTGTATTTCCATACGCTTGTTGTCTATCACACACTGTCCACTGTTCACTGTCCACTGTATCGCCAAACTGGGTCAACAGCAACTCAACGAGACACGTCGAAGAGTTAGTTATTTGTCTTATAAACAGCTTTTACTATATGTCTCTTATGCATTAGATAGTGTGTTTAATGTTAACTTCTTTGCCTAGGTGGTGCCGTCCAAACAGCATAAGAAAACTGTTGGCTCACAGTTTCAGGAGAGTCTGGCCTCACTCATCTCAACGTTACATTCCACAACGCCGCACTATGTGCGCTGCATTAAGGTAGGAATTAATATATATATATATATAAATACGTCTCTTAAGCAGCTTACGTTCGTCTGCAGCCCAACGATGACAAGATTGCTTTTAAATGGGAGACCGCGAAGATTATACAACAGTTGCGAGCCTGTGGAGTTCTGGAAACTGTGCGCATTTCAGCTGCTGGCTTTCCATCTCGCTGGCTTTATCCCGATTTCTATATGCGTTATCAGCTGCTGGCACATCGCAGCCAAATTGATAAGAATGATATGAAGCAATCGTGCCGTAACATTGTGCTCAAGTGGATACAGGACGAGGACAAATACCGTTTTGGCAATACCCAGATCTTCTTTAGAGCCGGCCAGGTGGCCTATTTGGAGCAGGTGCGCGCCAATCTTCGCAAGAAATACATCACTATCGTGCAATCGGTGGTGCGACGCTTTATTAAGCGCCGCCGCTACGTCAAACTTCAAACCGTCATCTTCGGCATACAGCGTCATGCACGTGGCTATATGGCCAGATTGCGTGCCCAGAAATTAAGAGAGGCGCGCGCTGCGCTGATATTATCCAAGTATGCACGTGGCTGGCTATGCCGTCGTCGCTACTTACGTCTGTGCCACTCGGTTGCCGGCATACAGCAATATGCAAGAGGCATGCTGGCACGCAATCGATTCTATGCCATGCGGGACTACTTCCGAGCTGTGCAAATCCAACGCTTTGTGCGTGGCGTTCTAGCACGTCGCGCTTATCAGAAACGCCGGCGTAGCATCATTATTTGTCAGGCTGCTGTAAGGCGCTTTTTGGCCCGCCGCAAGTTCAAGCGCATGAAGGCCGAGGCAAAGACCATTTCCCATATGGAGAATAAGTACATGGGATTGGAGAACAAGATCATCTCCATGCAGCAACGCATCGACGAACTCAATCGGGACAACAGCGCCCTAAAGCACAAGACCAGCGAGATAAGCGTTCTAAAGTTTGTATAAAAAATCTTGTTATTAACCTTGCTCTAAAGGCCTGATCTTTACAGAATGAAACTGGAAATGAAAAAGAACTTGGAACATGAGTTCAAGAATATTAAGGCTGCTTGTCTGGATAAGGACAAGCTGATTGAGGCGTTAAATAAGCAGCTGGAATCGGAGCGCGATGAGAAAATGCAATTGCTGGAGGAGAACGGTCATTCCCAGGAGGAATGGAACCAGCAGAAGCAAGTGTGGTGCGCGGAAAACACTGAGTTGCGCAAGCAGGTGGACTCCATGATTGAAATGGCAAAGAGTGCTGAGGGCAGTCAGCGAGAGCACGAGGAGCTCATGCTAACCGAGATAGACAACAAAGAGCTCAACGAAGCCTATCAGCGCGCCATCAAGGACAAGGAGGTGATCGAGAACGAGAACTATCAGCTGAAGGAGGAGCTCAGTCAATTTCAGCAGCAACAGAATGGCATCGGCGCCTTTAACATGCATCACACACGCACCGCCAGCAATGCATCCAGTCAGAACGAGGATGATGTGGGTTACGGCTCTGCTAAAAATACGCTAGACATAAACAGGTTTCCTGATATGAGGAATAAGAACGGTATTGCTATACCGACTGGCATATGCTTGAGATAGTTGTAACAATTGTTATTGTATTGCTTACAGACTCCTTCCTGGACAATACTAGCATTGTGGTCAAGCTGCGCGCGATACTTGAGGAAGAGAAACAGAAGCACAGGAGCTTGCAGGAGCAATATGTTAAGCTGGCTAGTCGCAATAAGCCCACAGAGGATTCTTTCCGGTAAGTAACGCGCTTTTTGCAACTTGTAATTCATATGCATACACACACGCCTATATAGTTAGCTTTAGTCTAATTACAAATTATGTATATTATGTATATTGTTGCCACACACCTGCCATCATAGCGTGTCCGAGCTTGAGGTAGAGAACGAGAAGCTGCGCAGCGACTACGATCAGCTGCGAACGAGCATTAAACACGGTGTTGAGATCAACGAGCTGAATGGTAACATTCGAAAATGCGCATTCGTTGCAGTTGCTTTATTCAATTCAATCACTTTCCCCATCCTCTCTTTCCATATGTGCTTATAGCTCAACATGCTGCCCTCCAAGAGGAAGTGCGTAGGCGGCGAGAGGAATGCATCCAATTAAAGGCTGTACTGCTGCAGCAGAGCCAAACGTTGCGTTCCATTGAGCCGGAGAGCTTGCAACTTCGCGGCAACGATGCCAGCAATGTGCATGAGCTAATGGAGGCATTCCATTCACAAAAGCTAGTGAACAGGCAATTGGAATCGGAGCTTAAAGCCATAACCGAGGAACACAATAGCAAACTAATAGAAATGACACAGGCCATTGAGCGCTTGAATAACGAAAAGGATGAAATGCAGGAAGTGCTTTTCAAGAGCATAGACGAGTTCGATCATGAAAATATTGACACGCTGAAGCAGAACGATCGTTATTTGCGCCTGGAGCTGAAGAAAGCCATAACTCAATATCTGCTGGTTCAGGATGAGCTGAAGCTGGCCAATGCCAAGCTAAAGGCCTACAGGCAGGATGGCGGCAAGCTGGAGAATCAGCTAGAGGAGGAAATGAGCCGCAACAAGACAGCGAATAATACTACCAGCAACGATGTCGGTGCAACTGTGACCAAGCAAAAGTCTCAAAATCCGCTCGGCCTTATGAAATTCCACAACAGCGATCTGGACAAGATACTGCAGCGCCTACTTAGCAGTCTAACGCCACGTACTGTGGTTGGCCTACTACCTGGCTTCCCTGCATATCTTATCTTTATGTGTATTCGGTAAACTGTTGCCAATTTGAATTTATCTACTCGATCCACTGATCTTATTCCTTATCCCTTGGCAGCTATACTGACCTGACCAATGCCGATGATGATGTGCGCGAGCTGCTGAGCAAATTTGTGATGCAAATTAAGAAAATGCATAGAACTCCACATCCCATTGAGAATCGCGTAATTTGGCTAGTCAATTCTATAACGTAAGCAATTTGCGCTTATTGGCCAAAAGCAGTTTAACAAATTTATCTATCAATTTCTAGACTACTGAACCTATTAAAACAATACGGCGATATTGAAGAATACGTTAAGTTTAATTCGGAGAAACAGAACCAACAGCAATTGAAGAACTTCAATCTCTTCGAATATCGTCGCGTTATTCTTGACCTAATTGTGAATTTGTATCAAGCGCTTGTCATGCAGATACAGGGTCTGCTAGATCCCAAAATTGTTCCGGCCATATTAAACAACGATGAGATTCAACGCACCCGTCATCCGCATGGAATGCGGAATCGAAATATGGACGCTTCATCACCCGCTCATGGAAATGTGCCAGCTTGGAAACAGCTAATTGGACAACTCGAGCACTTCTACAAACAATTTCAACACTTCGGACTGGACAACATCTACGCTGAGCAGATCTTCAGCCAACTTCTGTACTTTGTCTGTGCAGTTGCTCTGAATTGCTTAATGTTGCGAGGCGACATCTGCATGTGGGAGACTGGCATGATAATAAGATATAATCTGGGCTGCATTGAGGATTGGGTGCGCGACAAGAAGATGGTGAGTAGTTACTGTAAAATCAGTTGCTTATCGAGTGCTCTCATCTGGAATCCTTTCTTATTTCAGTCGAATGATGTGCTTGCTCCATTAGCACCGTTGAATCAAGTTTCTCAGCTGCTGCAATCGCGCAAGAGCGAGGAGGATGTGCAAACTATTTGCGACCTTTGTACATCACTGAATACCGCCCAGGTGCTAAAGGTCATGAAGTCATACAAACTGGATGATTATGAAAGCGAAATTACTAATGTATTTTTGGATAAATTGACACAAATACTTAATGAACGCAAAATGGTAACTGAGAGATATCTGTTATATATGTTGTTTACTGTAATTTCGTTTAACTTCCAGGCTGAGAGCGATGAATTTACAATGGACCAAAACTTTATACATCCCTTTAAGGTTATGTTCAAGTATAGCGACATCAAATTGGAGGAGATCGAGTTGCCACCACACTTAAATCTCGATGAATTCCTCACGAAAATATAAATTAAGTGCGGCAGTCCGTGTAACATTTTTTGTTCGTTTGCCATTTTGACGTGAATTCAGCTTGTTTTGTATTATATTATATTATTTAAGAGTGAAGAAGTTAAGTGTTGTCAGCTTGATAGGCCGTAATTTGTAGTTCCTGTTTAGTTTAAAGCCAAATTCATATTATTTTACATTCTATCACTTTCGCTTCATACCGCCAGACCCAATCCATGCCTTTATATAGAAATTTATTATAATCCCTTTTATATAGATTTTTGAAACATGTTATGAAAGGGATCTCAGTCAACGGAATATAACAAAGTATATAAGAAAATGTATGTACATCATGTGGTTGGAGTTAAACTCCGCTAAAAAATATCATTCCTAAGTTGCAATAATAAATTAACATTGTACCTTAAATTATACATCTAAAAGATTTATATATATGTATATATATATACATATATGTATATATATCCATATATTGATATATAGAAAATGTACTTTATGATCGTAGAAATGTTATAGAATTGTATGTATACAACGGCCGATTTGTTGCCTTAATCGATTGCAATACAGACTTGTAAATGTTAATATAATAAGAATCTAAATATATATATATATAGTATATATTCACACACATGTAGAGCGCTATATTTGTAACGATGCTGTATTCGATTTATGTATTCTCACATTATTTTGTTTTTGATTTGTAACTTACGTGTAATAGCGTGTCCCCTAAATGAAACTAGGCTGAACGAAACTGAAAAAAAAAGAAAAAATATTAACTGTTGGCATTTGCTTGAAATATTATATGATAAATCCTTTATTTTTTGTTATATATAAATATTTATACATACACATACAGTTGTACAATGAAATTATAATGAAGAATTTGTACAGAGGCGATTTACACATGCATGCCTCAGTAAAAGCTATTAGCAAATTACAGGTGCCTTGGAAAGCTTATTTTTGGGAAGATCGAGGGAGGGCAGTTGATTAGTTATCATGCCAGTTGCTACGGTGGCTCCATTCTCACGTATGGTGAAAGGCTGACCAGGTGTCATAACCATCTTGCGCAGCAGTGTGACGCGCACCTGACCATGTTCGCCAGGCATCAACATCGACTCCTGTGGAACTGGAAGATGTTGAAGATAGTAATGACATTTTAGCAACATCTCGGGCATAAAAACAACTCACTTATATCGATACGAGCTGGCTGATTCCATGTCATGCTGAACAGCTGCTGTATGTACTTGGATAGCATGGGCTTGTTGCGTCCGCCCTCGGCGCGTGAGAGCAAGTACATAGAGCCTTCGAAGTGATTGGATATATCCTCAGAGCCAGATGCACAGAGCAGCATTCCGCGTTCCACAGCTGAAATTTTAATACCCCGCAACAGAGCGCCCACATTTTCACCGGCCAGTGCCTGAGGGACGCTCTTGCGAAATATTTGTATATCACTGACGCTGGTCTTCAAATTCTGGCTGAATCCGAGAAGATCGGCGTCTGCATTGCGGGCTATCGTGCCACGCTTTATAGTACCCACGACTACAGTACCGCGACCCGGCACCGTAAATGCATTATCAATGGGGAGAATAAAGGGTCCCTTTACATCTCGCGTGGGTGTTGGTATATACGTATCGCAGTGGGTTAGAAGCTGCTCGATTGCGGGCACACCAAACGGGGATGGATCATCGCGTAACGCTAGCAATGCCGATCCACAAATCACTGGGGTGTTGACGCCATCGAAACCGAAGTCCGACAGCATTTCACGCATTTCAATTTCTACCAATTCAAGCACCTCCTGGTCGACAAGATCCGCCTTGTTGATGAACACCACAATGCGCTTTATACCTACTTGCTTTGCCAGCAGCAAATGTTCCCGAGTTTGCGGCATTTGTCCATCGGTAGCGGCTACTACTAATATTGCTCCATCCATTTGCGATGCGCCCGAAATCATGTTCTGTAAGACCTTCAGTTAGTAAGCACTAACAAAATTAGGCTAGCAAGCTACCTTTATATAATCCGCATGTCCCGGACAGTCAGTGTGTGCGTAGGTGCGATCTGTGGTCGCATAGCCAATGTGACAAGCATTTATGGTTATGCCTCGGGCCTTTTCCTCGGGCGCTCGATCGATTTGGTCATACGATATGTAATCAGCCAAACCCTTTTTCGACTGAATTTTGGTTATCGCCGCAGTGAGAGTTGTTTTGCCATGATCTACATGTCCAATAGTGCCCACATTGCAGTGGGGTCGTTCTCGTTGATTGGGGTCCCGTTTTGGATTGTCTTGAATACTGGTAGCAAACAAACGTGAATTAATGCATATTCTGTTAGAGCTGCGGCCATTAAAAGTCGTAGTCAATGCTTTATGCAGAACAGCTACATCGCATTGCCTGCGAAGTTTAATTAAAAGACCTCTCATAGTCAGACAAAAAATGCACGTAACCGTTTGCGGATAGCTAACACGCCGCGGTGTTCAATCAAAACAAAAACAGCTGTTTCGTTAGCGATTACCAGCTTGCAGTGCTGTAAAACGTCCAAAAGTTTAAAACTGAAATTTTGTAAAGTGTCGATGGGAGTAAATTTTGTAAATGTCTTTATTTGTTAGAAATATCTTCTGTTTGTGGGAATGTGTTTGAGTACAATGTGCTTTCCGTTGTTTCCGCAACTTTTGAACTATTGCGTATGATTTTATGCGTACGCTTCATGTGTACCCCCAAGCTAACGCGCTCTGAAAATTTCGTATTGCATAGACTGCACTGCAATGTCTTCTCCTTGTGGATGTGACGGTGCTTGACCAAAGCATTTGCGTTTGTGAACGCTTTCTGGCATATTTCGCACACTTTATCGCGTATATTTAGATGAGCCTTTATATGATCCTTGAGATCGCGTTTTGTCAGAAAATCCTTGGGGCACATGCTGCATTTGAATGCCCGTATTTTGGTATGCACAGCCGTCACATGGTTGCTCATTTGAATCTTTTGCTTAAACGATTTGCCACAAAACTCGCAGACAAATGGTTTAGCTATATGTGTCTCGTCATGGGTCCGCAAATGGCTGCTCAATTGGCTCGCGAATGCGAAGCTGCGCTCGCAAACACTGCAGCTAAACGTTTTGCCCATGTGCACACGTTGATTGTGCTGCTGTAAATGGCAGCGCCGCTCGAAATGATTCTCACAGAAGGTGCACTTAAACCAGCCCCCTTCACCAATCTTATGGGCTCTATACTGATGCGCCTGCAGAGCGTGATCGGTGCTAAAGCTGGTCTGGCAGACGTCACAGGGTATTTTTTGACGGAATGTTTTCGTTCTCAGGAAGCTCTTGCATGTCTCAATATATCGTTTTTCAGCCTTCAACAGGCCGATTGTCTGTGTCTCCGTCAGTCCCTTGATTCGACGGGAGTACCATTGCCGTAAATGCAGCACACTATCGTAGACATCATAGTGGGTAACAATGCCCAATGGTATCTCGATGGCAAGCAGGTCAGTCATTGATATATAGGCTGATTTACGTTCACTTAAATTGGCAAAGTCCTTGTGCGTCGGATCGTACAGCTGTGGAAACTTGGAATACAGCTCTATAAACTGTGTTGTCAGCGGATTTGTTTCGGTAAACACTAGCTGTAAAGAGTTTACTATTAGATATTGAATAGAAATTTCGCTCAACAGAGGTACCTTAATTTTATTGTCCCCGCTTTCGTCGTCACTTTCCGCCTCCTCCACATCACAGCGTTTTCCTAGGAAGCTATACATTTCATGATAATACAAAGGTAATTTTGTTAATTTCTTGGTACGCTTCTGACGACTTATCGTCGCGTACTGGCTGTGCAGACTGGCTATACATTTCTTTAGCTTGTAATTAGTTAAATGCACATTAATATTTGTTTTTAACTGTTCAATTAATGTGGCGTAGGCAGCTGAACGTTTGCCTTTATCCTTGAACGAAGCGTTTTTGGGATCCCAGAGACAGGGCTGTGCTTTGTAGAGTTCAATGAATTGCGTAATTCGTGGATTGCGGCGATAAAATGTCGGATTGAACTAAATGCATATATGTAGAATACAACTTCTTTAAATCGTTCAGTTTTTCTTTAGATAAATAATAAAATTATTTACTTTGACTATTGGTGTAAAATTCTTCTTGCTGTACTCTGCTTCGGTTATGGGGGCCTCAGCATCAGTCTGACAATCGTCACCCACCTATGGAAAAGAATTACAAAGTTATTAAAAATACAATTAATTCCACTTTAATTTTTTCACCTCTTCATCAAAATCATATTCGCTATCATCGTCGTCTTCTCTGTCGCTCAATGTATTGGGTAAATCCACGAAAGCTGCTTCTGTCAAACAGTCTTTATTATCAATATCATCTTCACTTCCAATAAGCATTGGCTCTGTTTTCAGCTCCTGTGAGCTATCCCAGGACGCTTTGTCCTCATCTTGTTCCTCTTTGTGTACATTTCGTATATGATAGACAAACTCTTGCCATCTTTCCAGACTCACTTCGACATCGCAGTCACTTTTGCAATAAGCACAGCTTAGAAAGAAATCTTCGTAATTGTTGCGCACTAATACTGTTCCGCAAATAACCATTTTGAGTACATTTCCTTACAGTCAATTGGTTATTACAAATAACTAAAAACAAAGTTAATGTTCCGCAGCTTCAGATAACTCATTATCATTGAATATGATATCGATAAGTTTGTCAGCTGTTGAGCAGTGCTGGTAAGCGACATTGCAAGGCTTGGCGCGCGTAAATGTTGACTGCAAAACGGCTGATAATAAAATAAGTATCGAAAAATGATTGCTGCCGATTTCATGTTTAGTATTTTTTCATCATTCGATAAGTGTTATTCATGGGCCATCACTATTGAGTCTATCAGGTGGTTGAATTGCTTTTTGATAGAAGTGGATTAAACATAAAATAAATAACAATTATGAAAAAGGTGTTGGTAACAGGAGGCACGGGACTGGTAGGCCAAGCCCTGCAAGATATTATCAAAAATGAACAACCAAACGACGAGGAATGGTTCTTTGCCGGCTCCAAAGATGCAGACCTAACGTAAGTTTCTTTTGTTTATATCAGAACACTTGACTTCATAATTATAAACAATTTAGGAATCTGGTTGCCACGCAGGCACTCTTTGAGAAAGTGAAACCAACGCATGTAATACACTTGGCTGCCATGGTCGGTGGACTGTTTCATAATATGAACAACAATCTAGACTTCTTGGTAAGGTGATTCTGCACCTGTTTTGCAACAGCTTAAAATTTAGTTATCTATTTCAGCGCAACAATCTGCTGATTAATGATCATGTGCTGCAAACTGCACACGAGCTGGGCTGCACAAAAGTTGTCTCCTGCCTGTCCACATGCATATTTCCGGACAATACAAGTTATCCCATCGACGAGACGATGGTGCACAATGGACCACCGCATGTGTCCAACTATGGCTATTCCTATGCCAAGCGTCTGATAGATATACAGAATCATGCTTATCATGATAAATATGGTCATTTGTATACCTCTGTGATACCTTGCAACATATTTGGCCCCCACGACAACTATAAACCAGATGTGAGCCATGTCATACCGGGCATGATCAATCGCATGCACAAGTTACGAACAGAGCAGCCAGAAATTCCGGAGAGTGAGAAAGTCTTTACTGTTTACGGCAGTGGCAAACCTTTACGTCAGTTTATATACTCCCTGGATTTGGCAAAGCTTATGATCTGGGTGCTGCGCCACTACAACAGCGTTGAGCCCATAGTGCTAAGTGTCGATGAATCGGCAGAGGTGACAATCTACGAAGTAGCAGAAGCTATAGCAAAGGCCTTTAACTTTAAGGTAAACAATGGGAACCTCATACATGTATAGCATTAATATAAGTAAATTGTTTAATTATTTATATATTTACAGGGCAAACTGATCTGTGATACGAGCAAGGCAGATGGGCAATACAAGAAGACCGCGTCCAATGCAAAGCTACGCAGTCTCTTGCCAGACTTTAAGTTCACAGATTTCGAGGAAGCTATGCAAGCATCTGTGCTCTGGTATACGACAAACTATGATCAAGCTAGAAATTAATATATATATACATATATATATGTATACTTACAAAATGTAATGTGATTTGATTTGTTTACTAACAATAGAAAATGCATTTACGCACGATATTTATATATCTAAATAATTTCTCTTTATTTAAAAATTAAATAAGAAGCTAAATTTAGATGCATAGACACTTTATACAACATATTTAACATATTACATACATACATATTTTATACGATTTTACGATATAGGAAAAGCTTTAAATAACGGTAAATCTCGGTATTGGTGCTCTCATATTGTGAAAAATGTGCGTGGCTAAAAGAATGGGTAGCTTAAGCATAAAATTGTGGAAGGATTTTAAAAAAATATTTTATTTTTATTTTTATAATCTCAATTGCTGTTAAAGGAGTGCTTCTTCATTATGATTGTTTGATATTGATTTTTCTGTTGATTTTGTGTTTCGTTCGTCCGTATTTATTTTTGTTTTTTGTTTTTTTTTTCGTATTGGCAATTCATCGAGCTTGTCCGTAGAACCTAGGCTTATAATTAAATATTTTACAACTTGCTGGACTCTATACCATTTAAAATACAAACAGTTAGAAAGAATTTTCTCATCGCTTACTTCAACTAAAATAGAGAAAGAGAGATAGATTCAAAAAAATAGATACCCTGTGGCAGTTAAACGCAAAATCTAAATAAAAACATAAACAGAATTCTACTTTTCGAATAAATTAGAAAGTGCGGGTCTGACATGAGTGAAGGTGGAAGATGTGGCGGTTGGTGGTTGTTTGTGGTGTTGCTGCTGCTAATCGAAGTGGTGCTTGAAAGAGTTTAACAGCAGCGCAAAGTTGGCTAATATTACAAATAGTTCAACTAATAAAAACGTGAGCAACAGTTCTTCAACTGTCGCCTGATGCTGATTTCTCATCATTCTAATCATCTCTTTCTGTTTTCATCAACTTCTTCGTGTTGGTCTTCTTCTTCATCTGTTTGTTGTACACTTGGTTGGCAGGCACAGGATGCGCTTTAGAAGCGCTTCAGCAGCAAGGGCTTGCTGCGATCAGCGAATGCCTGGTTAATCCATTTGATGTCTGGCTTCGAGAAGCTCACAGATTGGTTCTCGCCGCAGTTGGTCTCAGCGCTGTAGACGCCCTTGAGCCTGACGCTGGCGCCGCTGCCGCAGGCGAGCGCGCTGCCTACATCAAATTCGCACGAATCGAACTTGGTGGCACTGCAGACGCTGGTGGCATCAGCACTGCAAGCGCTGCGCGCCTGCGTCGATGTCTCTGTCACATGCATAATGGCGCCCTCCTCATGAACTGAAAGCGTGTGGCACACAGATTAACATTAATCACTCTTTATATGTGTCTGGCTCATCGCTTACTTGACAACGCCTGCTTGCCCCAGCCGGTGGTTATGCACTGCTCGTTTGCTCCAGGATCCTCGTCGCTGATGCAGATGGGCTGAATGTGCGAGGCGAACTCGAAACGCTTCTCCAGGCGTATGATGGCCATATCGTTGCTTCTGGTCGATGGGTTGTATGACGGATGTATATCAATGGACTTGACGCTCACCAGCTGGAATGGCAGTGGTTCGTTGGTGCTGCCCAGCTCCCATTCGCCAGCCTTGATGCGCACATCGTTCACGGGCACGCTGCAGCAGCATTAAGTCAGATAATGTCATTTAACCTAGATTACGCTTGGCACTTACCCATCCACACAGCTGGCCGAGGTAAGCACGAACTCGTCTCCAATGATGGCACCGCCGCAGAGCAGCGACTTGCTCGACTCACGCAGAACCATGGCTTGCCATGGAATCTCGGCGAAGTTGGCATCAATATCCTTTACACCTGTGGGCTTGGTACTGCCAAGAGAGAAAGGACATTAGGCATATCATGGAATTGGCTGTTGGTTAAGCTGCTTACCGCTTGTTGCGCGTGGCGCAGACTCCAGCAAGATTGACGGGCCAGGGATCAACGTAGTTGGGATCGCGACAGCACTTGCCGGGCGCTCCACTCTCGGGTATCAGGCAGTCGGTGAGCGGCACACGGAAGGCAGCCTCCATGGGGCTCAGCTGCAGCGGCGTGTCGCTCAGCACTCCAATAGCATTGCAATAGTTCTCCGGGGTGCAGACAAGCGCGGAGGCGCACTTGGCGTAGTGCTTGGGCAGATCGGCGGCATTGGGCGTGGGGAAGATCTGGGGCGACAGTTGTTCCTCGCCGCGGTACACGGGCTTCTCATTCGATGGCTGTGGCACACGATCGGGCTCGTAGCGTGTGGGTGGCTGAGTGGGACGTGGCTCACGGTGTGGGATCTCATTGGCGCTCACGGGCGGCAAGTAGCCGCTGTTGGGGCGACGTGTCGTGGGCTGTGGGCGATAAGCGGGCTGTGTGGGTGCGGGCTGTGTGGGCTGTGGGCGGTAGGGCGGCTGCGTGGGCTGTGGGCGGTAGGGTGGCTGCGTGGGCTGTGGGCGGTAGGGCGCCTGTGTGGTCTGTGGTGGCTGAGTAACACGCGGCTGTGTAGGCTGTGGCTGATAGATGGGACGACGAGTGGTTTGCGGTGGCAAATAGTCCACAGAGGGACGACGCGTGGTCACAGGTGGCAGATACTCATTTGTGGGGCGTGGTGCAGGCGTAGTCGTCGGCTGTGGGCGGTAGGTGGGCTGGGTGGTGCGCACGGCAGGCACGGTGGGGTTGGTGGGCAGCGGGAACGTCTTCTCGGGCAGATTGAAGATGTAACCATCCTCGGTCAGCGTAGTCGAGGGCATGCGGCAGCAAATCTCTGGAGCATAGCAACGATTGGCCTGTAAGAACGAGAGAGAGAGAGGGAAGGTTAGTTTATTAGTTGAAGTCTGCGCTGTGTTTGTGTCTGTGTCTGTTTCGTGCCTTGCAGTCCGTGAGGAGGCGCATTAAATTACCAGCAACTAGCGAGTGGCAACTGCTGCCAACCACTTCGACTTGCTAACCGTTCATTAAAGTAGCCAATGCTGCCTGTCAATTGTTTTTGCCTTCCTCTGCCTCTTCTTCGTTTTAGTTAGTTTGCAACGCTTCTTCTTGCCGTTTGCCATGTGGTGTTAATGTTAACCCAGAAATTTGCAGTTTCATGCTGCAATCTGTGCAGCAACATTTTGAAACGTTTCAATTGCAGCTGCTCAAGTGGCAAGTTTGTCGCCTAAGTCTTTCGCTCACAGGCAACACCTACACACACACACACCTATCACTGCTTATTTTTATGCAAAAATCTCTAAACAATTATTGCAAACGGAAAACATTTTCGAATCTTTGTGGGTGCGTGATAAAACACAAAACAGACAAAAGAAGAAAAAAATTGATGACTGAAAAAATCATTTATGAAAATCAAAATGAAAAAACAGACAAAGTCTAGACATATTAATAACATTAATATTAATATAAATGTGCACATTAACGGCTTCATTCAACGGCAATTAGTCGCTTCGTTTACAAAACTAAATGCCGCAAGCTTAAAAGCCAAAATAAATTATGGAGGAAAACATAAATAAATATATAAAAAACAATTTTGAATTGATTGAAAATCAAATTAATAACAGGCCTAACGCACTTAAAAAACTCTCAGGGTAGTTTAATTGAAAAAAAAAATATATATATAATATATTATAAAGCATTATGCATAACGAAGTCTTAAGAGTTCTAGGAAGAAGCCTAGAAGCCTCAGATATACGACTTTTGGAATATAAGATCATAAGAGATTGTATTCTTATAAAAGAGTAAAAGGGTGAAAGAGCTAAGCCCTAGCTAGCTAGGGATTGCCTTAAATGACAATATATTCTTTTTAAGGCAACTTTCATATGCTGCCTGAAAGATGGTTCAATAGCAGTGAAGTTTACTTTTTAATTCTCTAAAAAATTTAAAAGTTAAAAAAAAAGAAATTTCAATAACATTTCTTATATTATTGACTACTCGTTCCAGTTTTATATTTTTATAGACCTATTTAACACATAATAATATTTCAAGTTTAAATTCAAGCTTAAATGCATATTAAATATTCTGCAGCTGTGTAGAAAGCGTAATTAATTTAAGCGATCAAACATTTCTCCATAAGTCTTTCAATTCAATTAAGCTTAAGAGCCAAACAACAAGTTGAAGTCGGCATTAAGCAAACGAACAAATCGACAAACACTCGAAGTGCTTAAAAAGTTATTAAAAACAAACGTGTTTACACCTTATAAGAGATTCAAAGAATTATAATATCAGCTCTGGGCGAACACAGCAACAGCTGAAATTGCTCGACTCATTTGAGTCTCTCGCAAATTAACAGATTATTATTATTGTATTTTTTTTTCTGCAAAACCATAAAAAATGATTGCGTCTTGATACTTGTTTTGTCATAATGCTTACGCAATCGTAATGTGTTTATATAGACGCCCCCACGAAAGAATAGTAATGAAAATTCTGAAATAAAAAAAAAAAAAAAAATATGAAAAGAACAAGAAAAACAGAAACAAATGCAAATCCCAAGCGAAGATCTGCGAGAGTCTTCACACGGCCGCGTTGTTGTCAACGTTTGCGACCTTCTGTTTTATTGTTTCGCGCAATTTGTAACTCATAATTCAAGAAGCAGACGGATGGACGGAGGGAGCTGCTGCTGCAAGGCGTTGGGAAAAAAAGAAGCAGAAGTAATGTGCACATTTGTTAAAAATTAAGCGAGAAATGAGCAGCGACAGGCGATAGTCGAAATTCATTGAATGACAAATTAATAATTATAATTAAATGTGCGATGCTGCGGATGCTACTGCTGATGCTGCTCCTGCTGCTGCTACGGCTACGGCTAGTTGCGGTTGGCCTAAATTTGCAGCATAAGCTGCGATCCGGTTGTCCTTCCTGTCTCAGGCTGAGTTAATTTCTTATCATTATCATTAGCTTGCGACCCTCTTGGCATAATTTTCATCAATTAAGCGTTAATCAAATGTTATCTTAATGTAGACATCACTCAATGACCATTGAGCACGCATTAAATTTTATGTAATACATGTTATCATTAAAGGTAAACAACAACAGCAACAACAATGCGAAAACTGGCATAATTTGTTGTTGTTGCTGTTTCTGTTGCTGATCAATGACAAGGCAGCAGGCAGCAGGCAGCAGCCCTCCACCTGATTGCCGATTAAGTCGCGTCTCTGGCTCTCTTGCTTATGATCAATCATTTTGCAGCTTCAAGATAACAACAGCGGCAACAACAACAACAACAAGAGTCGCAGCTACTTGTACAGGCGACAGCTAAAATATGTAATCGCCAGCAACAACAACAATGACTTCAAAATGCTTTTAATAAATTTTGTTGACCATACAACTTGTTCGCTGTGCTTTAGCTGTTTGTTGTTGCTGCTGCTGCTGCTTGTCCCAATTGCTGCGCACTGCAATTTGTTAATAATGTTGCAATTACAATAAGTATATGAAATTTTATGAAATTTATTTTAATGTCATTGGCGAGGCAACATAAAAAACAAGCCAGGCGCGCCAGCTGTTGCTCCTGCGCCAAAGAAACACGCCAAGAAAAAATCAAATGACTTAGGCAACGAACTGACCAAAGGCTAACAGTTCATGAACTGAAAGATTGCTATGGCACAGTGGCTTGAGAAACTTTAGATGAGGCAGAGAGTATCAAAGGCTTGAAAATACAGAGAGAACTAGAGAGATATATAGAGAATGAGCTGTTAAGAAAGAGAAAGAAATAAACGAGGAGACAGGGAAAATCGATGGAAAGAAACAGAAAGACACAGTTAGTGAGAGGCAGATGTGGGTCTGTACTTGTGAGAGAGATTAAAAAGGAAGAGAGGTAGAGATAGAAAGAGAGTGAGAGAGATAGAAATATAGATTTAACAAAAACGAGAGGGAGTGATACGTATATACTGCATAGATTCTATACTAAATAGATCTATATATTTCATATACAAGAAAAGCATTTGAGTTCTATTTATATATATCAGATATCTATATGCAGAGGTATTACTAAAGAGTTCTTTTAGTAGTTATTAACAACTTTGTATTATGTATCAGTTTCACCTACAACAAAATTACTGCCGTCTCACGCTGTTTCCTAGACGTAACTGAGATTAAGCTGTAGGCCATTCGGCTAGTCTCATAGGAGTCTCTTGGAGACTTGTAACTTAAGCCTGGCCCCAGCAGAAGTCTGTGCGAAATGTCAAATGTTCTTCTTGGGCCTTATGTAAAATTCAAATTTATGACACAAATATTGCGCGGAATTGTTTTTTATGACAGCGTTAATGTGGCAAATACCACAGCTTTAAATTCCTCGATCTTGTAGCATTTTTTTCTTTGGCAATTTATGCGCCTATAAAAAATACAAAATTTTTTTTTGATTTTGAGTTTTTTCTTTGTGTGTGTGTGTAGCTCTTTGGCCTCTTGCAACTGAGATGCCTGCTCGGCTCGGCCCGGCCCTGATGTGCATTGAGCAGCTGACAGCATTTAATGGCCCAAGTTTGTCGCTAAAGTCTTTTGTTTATGCAACATCTTCTTGGCCATAAATAATGCATGCCAGCTAGCGCTAGCTAATTTATAGCGCGCGCCAACTCTGATGGCAAATAAATTATATCAAATTTGTAGCTCATTTCGAGCGCAGCTTCAGAGTGTGATTAAAGTTTCATATAAATTATATATAGATGCGCGCCTAACTATAACAGACAGATCACACGATATGCATGCATTCATAGTAATAATTATTATAATTGACGAGGAAAAATTAAAAACCAAATGCAGACAATGAAATACATAAAAATGACCAAATATGTATGAAATAAAAACAAAATCAATAAATATTCAAAACAAAAACAGAGATAAAAACCCCGAAACAAAAAAAAACTAAATTTTAAACGCTGTCAACGCGAACTGCCTGGCGGCGGCTGGCGCCCCGCACAGCCTCTGGCTGTCTCCGACTACGACCTAGACCTTGAAGTTGTAGTTGTTGTCATTATCATCATCATCATCATCATCATCATCATAATTATCTTTGGCGCTGTTGTTGTTGTTCACTCGACATGCTCTGTTTGCTGAGTTAGCCTTTTGCCTTGTTGTTTGTGTCGTCTGTGTCGTGTCTTGCGCTGTTTTTTCCTCTTCAACATGACAGTTAGCTACTCATATGTCTGTCTATGGCTAAAAGCTTAAATAACGCAACATTTGAGACGGCAAAAAGCAAAAACCTTAATGCCTGCCTTAGCGGAATGCTAGGTCAGTAGCGGGCTTCAATGCAAAACGAGCTAATGGTCAAGATTTGCAAAGATTATTGTGAGATTTCGAGAGTTTCGAATAATTCACCTGATGTACGTGATTATTCGAATTTATCTTAAACTGAACGAGATTTAAGGGAAGTTAATAGAAGTATAAGATTAGAATTTCTTGATGCTTGGATCTCAATTAGTTCATAAGCCAACTGTTATGCAAAGTTATAACAGAATAAAGATTATATTAATAAGGAATATTGCTTAAGAAATTGGATGCTGCACAAGAGGAAAACTAAAATTGATGCTTTGAAATTATTTTTAAAAATATTTATGTTAGTTAAACTTGTATAATATTATTTTAGTGCTGACAAACAGCCAAAAATAATATTTATAAATACTCAAAAATAATTTTATCAGCTCTAAAATAATATTAATATTTTTTTTTACATTTTTAATAAAACTTATTTATGTTTTATTTTTAATTAAGTTTATTTAATTTATTTTTATTTTTTAAATTGATTTAAAAACCGAAATATTTTTATGATTTAATTAAAATATTTTTAAAATATTATTTGTCAATATTTATATTAAATTTTTAAATATATAATTTTTAAATTTTAATTGAATTTGAAAATATTGAAAAATATTTTAATATATTTCTCACGCACACAGCAAACATTGTAGATGCTCTACAAGAAAATTCTTAAATGCAATAAATTAAATGTAATTTACTATGTAAAATGTCAATAAACAAGGTTTATCCGTAGCTTAAAATTTGTCAAAAAATGCAAGTGTTAAACCGGCTCGATGCGCAGAAGAAGAAGAAGAGGAAAAAAACATTTCGTTTAACATAAATTACATGAAACTGGAACTAAAAATAAAAATGTTAAAAAAAACAAAAATAAAATAAACATAAAATGGAGTTCACGCAATGCAGCATGTTACGAAAATGTAAAACATGCAACGTGCAGCAGCCCAAATGATAAATGGCCATAATGAAAATATGCGCCATAATCATCAGCATAATTATACGATGCGAATATGTATATATATATATATGTCTATATATGTTCGATTTATTTAGTTCAGTTGGTCAGAGAATTCATTTAGCTAAGCTCAAAGGTCGGTCAATAGCCGTTATGCAAAGTGCACTCATGTTAACATTAATTGATCAGATAGAGAGAGAGAGGGAGAGAGATGTAGTGAGGGAGGGAGCAAGGTAGAGATTGAGAGTGAGGGGGCCTAGGCCACTCAATGTGTCCTCTTTCGTTGCGAACGACCTTGCGCTGTTGCATTCCGCGCATTTTTCACTGCCTAAAGTACCTCAGTTATTTTGTGCCTCTTCGCACTCTTGTAAATTAGGGACACAACTGGTTCGCTTATGGGCGACGGACACACAGGCACAACCTGTGCGCCGGTTGCAATTCCCCAGCGTGCATTTTGTAGCATGCCACGCAATTGGCGTCAATGCCTGCATAACTTAACGAGTTCGAGTCACCTTTTCGGTGCGTAATTGTCGCTGGGCCGGGTAGCGGTGCCCAGCTGCTGCCGTTGAGTCGAGGCAAATTATGAGGCTGTGGCCCACCGAAATGAGCAAACAACAGGGAAAAAACAGAAAAAAACGAGAAGGAAAAACTGCATAAGAAAACATCAACTGGCTGAAACGATTTCGGCTTTAAGTGCGTGGCTGCTGCAACATAATTCACTTGCTGTGCTGATTTTTTGTCTGCTTCTTCTGCTTCTTGTTGTTGCTGTGCTTTGCGTGCAACAAGCGGCAACAGGCAACAAGAGCGTTGAGTACGCAACTGACCCGTTTTGTTGGCCATTGCATGTAAACAAATTATGCAATTGCAATGCCAGCAGCGGCCGGTCTGTATAAATCAGCCATCTCGCTCACACATCTCAGCATCTCCCTTTCCCTCGCCCTCTGCCGCTCGCTCTGCCACTCTCACTCTGCCTATAGCTGTCTCTTTTGGGCCGTAATTTAACACATTTTTTCGGCTTGAATGCATTTCATGCACATTGCTCGTAAGTTCAACTGCATTCCATTGCTTGATTGCCAGTTGATGGCAGCAAGTTCGTTGCCTGAGTCTTTCGTTTTTGACATTGCCAACAGCAGCGCAGCTTGTGGCAATGTCATTGCATACACTATGTAAATCAGTTACATTTACAACGTCTCTCAGGCGCGCATAGCTTTCGTCTGCGTTATGAAGAAACAACGAAATCTTCTCTGATTTTATATGAGAGCCAAGCAAATCTATTTTTGTATTTCACTTCAATACCCAAATGAGATGACAAACTGTATTTTTTTTTTTTCAATTTCCCATTCAACAATCTGTCTTGTCTGACAGTATCGGATGACAACTTCAGCAGCCACTCCCAGCTTCACTCCCACACCGCATTAACACTCAACTAAGCGGATTCTATTGCATGTCGTGTCAAATCCGATTTCAATCTGAGATTGCAAAGTCGTACAATTCGTCATTTCACAGAATTTGAGTAGTACAAATACAACGACAACAACAACAACAAAAACCAAATAGATCAAAAGTTGACTGCAATTTGCATCTACTTATAGATACAACAGCTTGAACAACAACAACAACAACAAAAGAATATTTTGCCTCAAAATGTAAACTAATTGTGTGCTAATAAGCTGCAACTGTAGCTGCTGTTGTTGTTGCTGCAGTTGCATCGCTTGTGAAATGTGCTGCGATTGCTGCAGTTAGCCGAGGAACGCTTTGTTTTCGGGGCATCGCATCATTGGCACATCCAAATGCGATGCTGCCTCTTGGCCACTTTTGCTACGCCCAGACAATTTTCCGCTGCTAATGATTACATTTTTTTTTATCACGTGTGTTCGTGTGTGTGCATTGCTCAAGCTGAGCCAATTAAACGTGTCTTTGGGGCCCTGACAAATAACGCATCAGACGAAACACTTACCCCCTGTTTTTTGACATAGTTGATGGCGCTGATTTCGCCATTGCGACAGTCTTGCGGCGCAACACAGTCCGAGTCGCGTGGACAGGTGGCGTACGGCACAGGTGTGGTGGTTCTCCTGGTGGTTGTGGTGGTGGTGGTGGTTGCTGGTGGGCGATATGTACAGCAAATGTTGGCGTCTGGCTTGCAGTTCTGTAAGAGTAGAATCATAAAAAAATATAATAAATAAATGAAAGACTTGGGCAACGAACTCAACTCGTTGAATGTTTGCTTTACAAATACTTGGAAAACGAACGTGGCTAGCTCAAAGCCTAAGGCACATATAAAAAGACTTAAGACACAAGCCAGTGGCAGGCAATAACTTCGCTCAAGCAACATAAAGTTGGCAATAATTTTGATATATGATATCCTTTGGCGCTTCATTTTTACAGGCTAACATAAAGAAGTGACTGAGGCAACGAGCTTGCATACGAGTCAAGAGGTTAACAACTCTATTACATTAGGCGCAATTGTGTGTATCCAACACATCCTTAATAGTTGGGCTTTAATGGGCCATTAAACAAACGACTGGGGCAACGAACCTGAAGCATGTGCAGCGCGCTTGAGATCCTTTTGTTTAGCGTCGCATTCTTTATGCTGGCCATTAAACGACAAATGACTGCTGCAACGAACTTGGCAAATGACAGATACAAAGCTCACCGTCCAGCTTTGCCTTGTCGCACAATCAATCAATGTGTTTAGTAGCCGCGTACTTGACCAACACTGTTAGCCATAAAGTTGCCACTCGTTGGCATCGGCATTAATTAAGCGGCCTAAACGATCGTTGCTGCCGTTGCAACGCCTCTGGCAAAAGGTCAGCAAAGCGGCCATTGCAGTTGCATAAATGATGTGCTAAAATAATGTCCAAACACATAGCCGACTATGCTATGCGATGCGGTGCTTTTTCTTGCAGCATCTTTGGCGACTTTTTATTATCGTTTAGCCAGTTGGCTGGCATTGCAGCATTTGCATTGAACTTTGCCGCCTTCATTCAACGGTTTTATGAGATTCTAATGGAACCTTCGCATACGCCTTGCGCGCTGGCTAATTTGTTTAAGCCAACGTCCAGCTGGCATTTGAACAATTGCAAATTAATAATAATAATCATGTTATCTCACTGTTGTCTGCTCGACGGCGGGCCAAGAGTTCAAGAATTTCCAAGGTGTTTTAGGCAGATGCTTAACTACGGTAGCCCAGAGGCGTCTATGCAAATCAATTAGATTGGCCGTGCGACCACTTAAGTGCAGCCTAACGCGAACTCAAAGATTAAGCCATTAATCTTAATTATGCACTTCATTCATTATTTGAACCTATTTCCTAGGCAAATGACAAAAACCAGTTCAACGCTATGGCCAAAGCGCTGCATGCTAGTTATCAGTCAGGCTTTCAGGCCAAATTGATTTTGTTGTCTAATTTATGTTCACATTTTACAGACGCAGACGAAAACGCGCTTTCAATAGATATATTTATATATATAAATATATATATATTTAGATTTGTAAGAAGCATCAAACTGATCGACCTTCGACGTTTAAATCGATATTCGAAAACGAGAAATTCTTGTCAAAGCTCATGTAGAACATATATATAGGGGCTCTGCGTAGTAACAAACACTTAAATCGTGGCGTATTTAAATCAAGCTTGACAAATTTATGAAACGCTTTTATAAGCACATAAAAACCAGAACACAAACTGAATGACTGTAAAGCACTTTAAGACACAATGTGCATATATTAACCAAACTTGTTTACACGATCAATAACGAAACACGATAAAGACTAATCATGATTGGCTCTAAGAACAATCAAACAACTGTCGCTGATTGAGCTTGTTTCAATCTTGGCAACTGCCTCAAAGGCTTCGTCATTTAAGCCAAAATAAATGTTGATATATATATATATATATATAAAATATAGAAAATGTAAAAAATATATATATACAAAGCACTTTATTTAATAAGATTCAGTTTCAGCTTTAGTCTAGGCTTCTGCTCACATTCAAAAATTGTTTTTAAAATTTCGCACTCAAACCCGTTCGACACATAGCTCTACTATGCATAAATTACTTCTATTGTTTTCATAATAATACGATTATCGTGTTATGTGTTATGTATTATGTGAGGTGCGTGTGAACGCTGACTAGAACACTTGATTAGACTATGAACTATTCCCGTCAAACCGGATGAGTTGTGTTCGTCCGATGAAATTTCAAATACGTTTTCCCTGACGCACAGGTTGTTAAACCTTTTGAAACAAACGGAACGTGCAGACACGAAAAGTAAATAATTATCATAATAGTAATAATAATAATAATAATAATAATAATAATCACACACTGCCACTTGACATCATCGAGCTGAGAATTTATCTACTATATTTAACTTTAATTGGCTGTGTGCGCAATAATGTTTGCAAATTATATTCCAAAAAATTTCGCACAAATATTTGGCTTGCTTATTGACTTACGATCTCTGCGCGCTAATGAGACAGGCAGCAGAAAAAAGTAAAGCTGCTAAAGAATTTCTAAAATATATACTAATAAGAATCGTTAGCATTCCAAGCAAATTTCCCTTAAGCGTTAAGCTGTGAATTGTTCAGGAAGTGCAAACGGTTGCCACATAACTGCGCTCTCTCGTCTGTGTCAAAGTCAAGTTAACACTAAAGTTGTTAGCTGGTCGTTGGCTGCCTTATTTGGACAGACAGACGGCCAACTACACCACTGGCTGACTCAGCTAGACGCCCACGCGTTAAATATTTGTCTACTGATTTGGCTCTGTGTCTATTAACGCGGGTCAACATTTGTTGCTAGCAAATATTTACTGGCAAAACAAAAATACGCACAGATACCGATCCAAATAGAGTTACAGATACATCTTCAGGTACAGATGCAGATACTTTTATAGATACGAAGACAGAAGTAGCTGTAGATGCAGATACAGATACAGACAAAGATTCAGATACATGTTCAGATACAGATATAAGTACTGAAGACACAGATACAGATACACCTAAAGCTACTGCTACACTTTCAGCCTTAGCTCGACTGATTACTTTAGTTACTGCTTGTACCATTGATTGATGATCAATTTGTCTCAATTTGATAGCTAATTGAAGCTAAGCTTTAATGGAGTCAATTAATTTAAGCAACTATTAAAAGTCGCACTTTTTATAGACATTCTCTTGATGTTCAGGTTCAATGCTCTAACGCCAAATTCCAGCAGCTAAACTGAGATGAGCTGAGTTGAGCTGCCCATTTTGGCAGACACTAAATTAAGTCTTATTAGCTACGGCAAATCAACTCCACACACACACGCACACCCGTCTCTTAAGCTGCCATCGATAATTTATTGTTTAGAACCAAAATGAAAAAAAATAAATCTTTATTACTTAAACGACATTGCTAATCAAATTAAATTTAATGCCCGATATGCATACCTAAATTTTATTAATTTATTTTGACTATAAGAAGGAAGCATGAAACATGATCTACCAGATACTTAAGCCCCTAATTCGCAATGAGTTAAGGCTGGAAATCCTACAGCTGAGCTGGGAGACTCTTAGTGTAGCTGCTTACTATTTGATATTTATATCTTGCAATTTCATTGATCATATAATTGCTATAAATATTTATTCTAAAACTATTCGAATGATTTTTACATAATAATTAGGCAAGAAGTTATGACCGACTAGCAAATACCGCGATTAGCGTCTTCCGTAGCTCCTCTTGTTTACCCAATTTCTATGTGTATTTGTTACTATTCAGAGAGCATGGGCAATAATATATATCTAAGAGATGAGTTTGGGATTGTAGAGAAGAGCAGAGATAATACTGGCTGCTTTCTCTATATACAGATTAGCATTTCTGCACCATTTCTAATTGTTTATTACAGGGTATTTGCTAGTCTTGCTCTAGTACATAGCTGGCCACATTCTTGTGCCTTCTTATTTGTATACGTAATTAAGTTTGTCATCAATAAAATTGCATTTGCTGCTGTTATTTGAGTTGCCAAACTTGTCGCCGCTGGTCAATGGGTCAAATTTGCACTTGAGACGTCGCAGCCGCTGTCGCTGCCGACGACGACGTAGACGACGTCGCCGCAGACATCGATCGTCTTCAATAATTTTTAATTAAAAAACATAATTCAGTTGCTTGGTTTTGCAATTTAAGCGCGAAATAAAATGCATTTTTTATATGCACACACATAAATGTCGATTGGCTGTTTAAATTGCAGCAGCAAGTTTGTTGCCTAAGTCTTTTGTTAGCTGCCGAAATAAGTTGTTAAGAAACAGAAGAGGCAGCAGCAGCAGCAGCAGCAACAGCAACAGCAGCAGCGTTTGCAATTTGCATACAACTTTGAGGTCGCATAAGGAAGAGCAAACAAAAAGCTGAGACGCCAACTACAGCTTGGCGTCTGCTTCGTGGTGCAGGTGCATCAATTGGGGTCTGTGATCTGTTTTGTTTACGTTATTTATGGGACTGAAAATGTGCAACAGCGACAGCAACTGGCTTTTGCATTTACATAAATTTCTTTTTGGCAAGCGTCGAACTTGGCCAGCAGCAATTAAACATGAACTTCACTTTTTATTTCACTCTCCAGTTATTACGAAATGCCCAGCCGACGAAAGGTTGAATGTGTTTTTTCTGGTATAACAACAAACCGGAAAATAACGGTAACTGTGCCAACAATAATAAAAAATGCAGATCAGATCGGGCTAATCAAGCGCATTGCAATATTTTTGTTTTTACCTTTGCCTTTGCCTTTGCCTTTGCTTTTGTTTTTGTTTTTTTTTTTTGTGCCTTATCCCGACCGTAGACAGGCTTTTAATTTGGCTGTTGGCCTTTTGTCCGCTTGTCAAGCGCCGCCTGCCACATTTAGTCGTATATTTCACGAATGTCGGGTTTATCCGCACCGCATTCGTCGATGCGCATTATGCAATTGCTAGCCAACTAGCAGTCGAGGAGTCTGCCGTCTGTCGGACTTCGATTTCTACTACCGCAATTGCTACTGATAGTTGGCTTACCTGAATTTTGGGCAGCTGCTGGCTGTAGTAGCCATTCTGGCACTGATCCTGGCGCACACACTGCTGGCCATTGGTGCACTTGAGCTGCTCCAGCGGCGGCAAGTATGTGGGTGCCTGGAACGGTGCTGCCTGCCGGCTAATCACGGCATGATGCAGGAAGACATTGCTGGCTGGGTTCACAGAGAAATGCGTTTCGGGCTGCTGATTAATCTCGTTCTGGTACTGGCCATTGAGGAACATGTTGCCCTGGTAGCTGGCATGAACGGCGCCTTGCATGGCCACCAGCAGCAGTGGCAGGACCAAAGCGATTGGGCTTTGAAACCGGAACATGGCGTTTGATCTTATATTCCAAGTGCTTGGGCTGCTGCAAGAAGAAAAATAGGAAAAATACTTTCGTTATTATTTATATTAGCTACATTATTTAATATAATTTTTACACATTTTTAAATATTGTGTATTTATAATATTTTTTATTAATTTTTCAGAAATATTAGTCGAAAATATATTTTATTTGTTAAGATTAATGCTTATCAATATATTATTCTTAAAAGATTTTCATAATCCAAAATGAAATGAATATTTAATTTCGTAGACAAATAATTAATAATAATAAATAAATATAAATAATTAATTTTTTGAATAGTTTAAAATTATTAATACAAATTTGTTAAACAACAACCAGAAGTAATATAAAATAATTAAATTATTTTTATTTAGTTTTTAGGTTTTATTCCAAATTATTTCATTATAATTTATTTTTTCCGTATAATTAATCGATTCTGCTTTAAGTCTTCTCTAACGATTTCAGTAAATATTTCTGCTATAAAGAGCGAGTTCATAGCACTTTTGAAAGTTCTCAATAAGTTTTTAAGAGATTTGTATTTGCAAACACGTCAGAACTAGTCCAAGCTCGACTCGCATAAACACATGTGCAGCGAATTAAACTATAACAATAAACTTAAGTCGAGTTATATAATATAATCTGACTTAATTTACACCTTTTCAGCCCGTCTAAAATTAGATAAGCCAGAGAACGACATTTAACAATTAGAAATCGCTGACTAAGCGCTTGCCGGCCGGCTATAAAAAACACTTGGTGTTGTTTTGGTTGTTGTTGTTGTTGTCGTCATCAATGAAATGCAAAAATATCGTGATGACATAATTTCGCAACAGGAACGTGCAAAATGCCATAAAAGTGCACGCGCCGGATGCCCCCGAAGATGATGCTGATGAGAGTAGGCCTTAAAAGCTGCAGCCAGCCTACACGCTGTGCCACGGATAGCCAGCTATGGATATTGCAATGAGCCGGCTCCATGACAACAGCAGCAGCAGCAGCAGCAGCAGCAGCAACAACTGCAACAACATGGTTAACACGGCAAATGGCACTTGCTGCTGACAGACGGACAGACGGACAGACGGACGAACGGACAGCCTGACTGTCGAGTGGATTCTACTTTGGTGTCCACAGTTAGCCTTTTGGGCAGAGAGTTGTCTACAAGTTGTTTGCGCGAAAGGAATTTCAGTGTCTAGCGCCTAACTTGTTTTGGCCGCAACAGACTTCCGAAAAGACTTGCAAAAGTTATGCCTAAATAACATATATGTATACGTATATCAATATATATATATATATATATCTGTATAATATATGTTTATCTATATTGTTTTGCGGCCCCCCTGCGTGCGGCTGCTGTGCAATTTGTCAAAGATTCTAAGTCAGATAAATTACAAAAGCGATTGCTGCTGCTGCGTCAGCTATGATGCTGATGTATCTGTTGGATGTGTCCATCCGCATATGTCTGTCTACTGAGTCTGTCTGTCTGTCAATTCATTAAAGCGTTGCTAAGCCGTTTGACCGCTTGGATTACGCAAAGAGGCGTCGCTTGGTCAATGCTGAGATTCTCTTCCCCCAATTGGCTACTGGCCAAGTGGCTCTTGGCTCTGGCTCTGGCGGCAATTTCATAATTGATGGCAGCTGACAAGTTAGTGTCTAAATTGACAAACTTGAAGCTAATTCATTTGCATACGTTATGTTGTTTAGGAACTTGTCAGGATGTCAGACCGAACGCGAGACCAGTTTATGTATGAAAAGCCAAATCCTGATGGCTGACTCAGGCCATAAGTATTTGCTGGCGACAATAGAAAATGATAAGTCAAGAAATTTGCATGCAAAGAGATAAACACACGCGGATAAAAACAGATCTAACAAGTATTCCAAAGCGTTCTGTGCGTGCCAAGCTGACTCAGTGCTATAAATAAACTCAATAAGACAGCCCCCTGACTATCGTCAAATTAAGCATATGTATAAATATATTTAAGAAAACAGAAAAACAACTAAATACAAATCAAAAATTGTTGGTTTTACCACAGCGAATTTCGTTGCTAATTTGCATAAAATATGTTATGCGATTTTCGACTGTCGGCTGGCAGCGCTCGCTCATTAAGGAATAGAAACACAACTTGGCAATTTGGCGAGTTTCTAATACTTTCTCTCAGAATTGAATTGGCAAAAATATTTGTGTCTCTCGGATCTCGGATCTGTGATTGATGCGCTGCCGCCAATAATTGGCTTAGTTCTGGGAATTTGACGGCCTCGGGGTTGACACACTTTTCAAACGGGAATTGATGGACATGGCGCATCCAAACAAAAGACTTAGGCAACGAACTGAGCTCTTGCCCAAATAGAATAGCAGCTAATGCTGATTAATTAACATTTCTAATCAAATGCAGCACATTAATTCACACTCGCTCGGTTCTAATGGTCAGTGGCTCAAGTAACTTTAGCTGGACATATGCTAATTTAGCGACTGATGCTGCTGCTGCTGCTGGAAAGTGAGGCTTCCGTTTGCTGAGCTCTTAAGCTGCTGTGGCTGAGTTTCACATAAATTAAAACTGCAAATGTTTGTCTTGTCTCTCGCCCTGTCTCTCTTCGGTCTGTATGTAGTTTTGCAACAGCGGCGCAAAGTTCAGATCGCATCTCTAACAAATAAATTTCAACTGAGTTAAACACAATGCACAGACAAGGCGGACAGCAAGACAGCCAAAACAGACAGATCTGCGGTTAAGCAGAACTGCAGCTAGGCATAGACCAGCAGCAGCAGAAGCAGCAGCAGCGGCAGCAGTTGAATCAATCAAACCATCCATCAATCAATCAACCGCAAATGAATTTAATTTTCAACCACAACAAAAATAACGTCACGGCACAATTTACAGTTAATTTTCGCTGCCTTATAAAGCGCATGCAAAGTCGAAGCGTCAAGAGTCTAAGCAGTTATCCTTAAAGCCACAAATCCTGGATGCCTGGCACTTTTTCACTTGTTTCACACGAATTGTAGCACAAAGTCTTTAGCTTAAAGTTCATTGTCTTTCATGAATAGCACTTAAATTCTGTATATATATATATATGTATAGTCGGCTTACACAGTTGGATTTTAGTTATATATATTATTTAAATGGTTTACACTCGCACAACTGAACGCACGTAACGTGCAACTTCAATACTTCAATATGATTGTGAATATTTTTTACCAAGTTCGGCGTTTTTATATGCGGCCCAGCAAACGTTTGGCTGCGTCGGCGTCACTGCTCGCTGCGCAGCCTCACAGCTAGGCAGCACCCAAGCAGCGCTCAGCAGAACAACAAACACAATAGCTGACGACGGCAACGACGACGACGCTGCCTCGAAGATGCGAACAAGTGGATACAAGCAGAAGACAGCAGCAGCAACAGAGGCGGCGGCAGTGGCAGCAGCAGCAGCTGCGTGGCAGCGCAGCTTTTGCTCACTTTCGTTGGCGGCAGCGTGAGAGAGCGGCAGAGCGGCAGACGGTCAGACAGAGAGAGAGAGAGAGAGTGGACCTGGGCCTCTGACTGTGTTTGGCTGCGTTGGCTTTCAGTGCGGGCGTGCATGCTCAGCAGAGCAGATCAGATCAGTTTGGAGCAGAGCAGAGCAGCTGCTGCTGCTTCAGCTTCAGCTTCAGCTTCTTGTTGAGCTTCTTAGGCTTTCAGCACAGTCGAGCGGAAAGTCTTTTCGACGTTTTAATTTAAATTCCAGTGTTTCTCTAGTTTTTCTAGTTTAGTTTTAGTATTTTTTAACGTTCTCTGTGGGCGCAGCATTTGTTAATGTTTTTGTTTTTGTGCTTTAAGTTTTAAGACCGGCAGCTAATTGATTTTTTCTGCTTATGCGATTTTAGCAGTATTAGGCAAATTTCAAATTTCTAGAGCCGACAAAAATGTTTATGACAACCCGCACGCATTTAATTTATACGGTAATTCAATTTCATAAAACAGATAATTTGTCAAAATAAAAATAAAAAAAATTGATTTCCTTTTCGTTGGGATTTTTTTTATGTCTCTCTCCTTCACGTAGTTATTGCTGGGAAATAATTGAATTCCAGCGTTTGTTTAAAAATCTGGCAATTAAAGCTGCGCAAACAAATCCGGGTTGATAAATTCTAAACGCAACGTCACACAGTCATTCGGGCCCTGTCATAGCCAAAGTCAAGCTGCTGATTCACACACAACAATAACAACAACAACGACAACTACCAATACCAATGCAAATGTTTAGTTTAAAAATGCGAAGACCGTAAACAACATAAGCAAAACAATTAATTAACAAAATTAAATATTGAACAAGCTGAAGCAAAAGCCCCCCAAAAAAGAGACGCAAGCCAATAACAATTGTCAGCAGTGGCCCAGTCCAAGCTTCAAATCGTGTTAAACATCACGCGGGCATGGGGAAACTCGAACTGCTCATCATTTCGTATATAAACTAAATCGAATTGGAGTTTTCATGTTGCAATTTGATTCACTTTTGTTTCGACACAACACAACCAAAACAAAAACGCGGAGATGCAACATTTGAAGGTCGCACAAATTAACATGCAACAAATTTCGCATGTGCCAAAAAGTAAACACCGAATTTGCAGTTGAATTTGGAATGCCTATTGGCATGTGGCTTTAAAGTCCACAGATGCTTGCAGTCTGCTAGAAGTCTCGCTAGCTGAAGCTAATGTGAATATCTATGCAGTCTAAGTGACGGGCTTAGCAGCGTCGTTAGATAGAGATTATGCTAGGCAACGCTGTCTACTTAGAGTAGGCACGTCATAGAGCCATAATCTCGCTACCTAATGTACCCTTGCATAACTTGAAGTCTTGCTCAATATTTCATATTATATTTCCTAATTATATGAATACATATATGCAGATAAAAAAGAGAACTCTCTAAAAATAAATTAAGTTGTGCTTCATTCGCTGCTTCTATGAGTTATATAATATGGAAAAATATATATTTTATAAAGTATTAAATACAAACAGCAGTGTCAGGCTATTCTAGAGCTCTCTGATCTGATCTTAAAGTTCTTACAGATCAGCCGTAGAGAGCAAGAGTTTTTGATAACATAGCCAAGAGTAAGCTCAAGCCAAACCATTCTGAAGTCCTGCAAATTCAGGCGACTTTGGAGCTTTGTCGCTGCCAGCCTCAACGCCTACTTATCGTACAGTTAGATTAGATTAAGACTTAAATAATTTAACTATTAAAAATATTAACTAACCTTTTAGTTGTTAAGTAACAGCCATAAATTTAAAAAATAATATGCTACCAGTATTAAAAATATCGGTCTAGACAATAGTCCTAGTAGCTAAGTTCAAATACCAAGAGTAGTTAAGTAATTCCAATAAAATCGTGAGCAGTTGCTACTGTGCGCTACAGCTTAGTTGTCCAATATAAAGGCATAAATGTAGTTTATTGGACGTTGAATGTCTAATTAATTTATATAGATCATTCTGCATGATTTTGAGTTAAATGTGGGTCAAGGCAGCACGCGAAATTATTTCGCAGCTTGGCGTTTTCTTATGCTTTCTGCAAATCATTATGTTGACAAAACACAAATGTGTTTGGTAATGCCAAAGGGCTACCTAGTTATATGGCAATGCATAGATAAGGCAAGTCATAAATATAAACTAATATAGCTGGTCTACCAAGCTGAAGGGATTTTCTTTTTTTTCTCTGTGTTTTGTGGCTTGTTTTTATTGGGGCAGTCTGCATGATGAAAGCTCCATTTGCTGTACAAATATGTGTAGCGATGGGTGTTATGTATATTGTGTAATTAGTGGTCGGGTCAATAGCAGTCTGATTCGCAAATCAAATGCACATTATAATTAAAGCACTTCAGTTGAATTTTATCTGATTTCTTTTGTACCTCTGTCAGTGGCTGGAATTGGGTTATTATTAATTGAAGAAGTGAACAATGGCGAGTGCATTGGACCATTGCCGGGTGAAATTTCAAATGCTCCAAACACTCCAAAATTGACTTCAATTCAGTTGAGTTGAGCTTTGGGCATTTCCTTTCACCACATTCCTAATGCAACGCACCTCGACTCCAACAAGTTATTGTGGCACATAAATATTTATTAGATTATGCATAGCCCAAGACTTGTTTTCATCTGCTTTTGGCAATACAAGCTAGAAATTCCTGATATAAAATGTATATTTTAATAAGTGATAAAAGCAAAAAAATATATATAAATATTTGTATTATTATATTTAAGAGCAAAAAACAAGTTTTTATTGAAAATTCCCATTGAATTGCTTCGCAAATTATCGGCCCAAATGGCACGTGAGTTCTGGAAGAATTTATTACATTCCCAAACTATTTCCGAACTTAAGTCTTGGACTAGACAACTGTGGTAACCGATAATCAGAACTAGTTATTTTCCAGCGACCGGTTTTGGGCATTTACTTAACTAAATTAATGCTAAAAATTCCTTAAATAATATTTAATACGTCTTTAAATTACAAAAAAGCGAATCTTAAGTATTTTTTTATAGCGAGAACGTAAACTTGTTTTGCTTGAAATATGTAAATTTCAAAAAACATATTTTCTTAGTTTATATAAATATATAAATTAATTTGAAATAAATAGCAAAATGATAAACAGTTTCGAAACAAACAAATTGAATTCTTTAATTGAATCTGGTTTTTGATGTGTTTTTTGTGTTTTTGAAGCCGACCTTATTTGTGTCACGTCGACTAAAGTTATGCTCCAGCAGAGTGAATACATTATGGAAGTGTTCAGTAGCGACGATCAATCAATAACATATTTATACAGGCTCTTGAGAAAAATATATCAGCGATTCGATTTAATCATGGTTTGAAAGGAAATATTTTTGTGCAAAGCGATTTTTCTTTTACGTTGATTTGATTCTAGTTTTCAGCTGTGTTTTAAGCTGACTAAGTTGAGTTCATTAACTCTGGTTTAGACTGCCTAACTAGGAGTTAGACGGCTGAGTTATTTCCTATATATTATGACTATGTTAAACATTTAAAGATTCTAACTTTTATCTAAAGCCTTTTACCCAAAACCTTATGAATCAGGTTCAAGTTTATTTGACTTTTAGCGATTGATCTAAACTAGTTCTTCGACAGCTTGGCTGATTAACACATTTCACAAGCGAACCTCCGGAAATTATGCATAATAAAAATGTTATTGAAAAAAATATGAAATAGTTTTCTAGAAAAGATTTCACACTAAAACTATGAATCAGATTCATTTATAAGACAGCTAGGGCAAATCAAATATCAATGTTAATAGGTTATTGAACTATTTGGCAAAATCAATGGGGCTTTTCTTGGTTTGGTTCAAGAATGCGTGAGTCAATTGCTGCAAGCTGAAGGCCCAGGTTTACTCATGTATCTTTCCCATGCTGCAGCAATACGCATTTATGCTTTAAATATTGAACCATCAAAATGAATCAGCTTTATATATAGACTTGAATTGACGTCAGTCTGTCAAATCCTTTCACTTGAATTGAAGATTGATTGTCGGGCAGATCCTATTCCAAAGCAACAACATCAGCTTGACACAATCATAATTAATAAAGCTCAGTCAGGAGCTACTCAGCAATATTGACAGTCCAGCTAAATAATTAGTTAATTGAAATATTTAAAAAAAACAATGTGGGTGAAGAAATCGGCGAGAAAACAAAAAAAGCGAATCCATTCAACTAAATGGCCAATAATATAGCATAAAAATCTGATCTTTACCGGCAGTTTTATGGCCAACGGAACTCAAATGTCTTTGACATTGCTTGAAAAATTTGTTTTTTCTAGTGGAATTTTTTTTATTTCGTTTTGTGTCTGTTGCTGTTTTTATGACCAAAAATGCTAGATAATTAAATTACATTTTTGGGCCAAAATTAATTAGAATACTCATCGATATTGTTTTTTATTTTAATTTTAGTTTTCATCTCAAATACCAAAGTCAAGCAGCGGAAAAATTGTGAATATGCGTGGCTGGTGCTAAAATGTTCATTAAATCCATAAAAAGTCGTAAATGGATTTCAAAAACACGCTGAGATCAAGTTCCAATGCGATAAGTTTTTTAATTTATAATTTTTTTTTATATCAGCCCGCCTGACAAATGTCTTTGAGCTACCGTGTGCCAAGAGACATGGCGACACGACGAACTAATGTTAAGAACGCTGCTAGGGTGTAATAGA